TAATTTTAATAATTGACATTTTGCTTATATTTCACATACATTGTTAGTTAGTCTACATTTTATTATTACCGACTCTTATAATATCACTTATATGTTAACAAGAAATTCATTATTCCCTCAATACACATATCCATCATTTTTATAGAGGTTTTTAAACCACATTTCAATCAATTGATTTTTCCACTATATTTAATTAAGTAGCAAATAAAATGCACTCTACATTTGCCAATGACTTACTATAACCCTAACTTCGCGTCAAATATTAATATTAGTATTTTTATTGTTATTATTTGCAATCTTTTCTTTTTTAAGACTTAAAGCTTTTTATGCAAACCTCATAAACTTCAACTTCTTTAAAAAGTAATCAAAGGATCGCAACTTTTTGTTGTTATTTATTATTAGCATTAAGTGTTATTTTTAAAGCTCAAACCCAATTGTGTTGAATAGGTTTAATAAAAAATACTGATTGATAAGTAACATAACAATATTTTTGGGATTATATTACATTTTATACGGTATAAGATTATGATTATTATGATGTTGTTTGACTCAATAAGTTTTCTCATGAATATTAAGCTTATAGACTAACTACTTATCAACAAAAACATCAACAATAATATAACAAATATGAAAATAAAAGAGATTTACAATTAAAATTAATTTCAAAAAATTCAGTGAATATATCAACAAAATTTATCTGAAAATTATGTATAACATAATTAACACTTAAAAAGACAATCCCTTAGTTTTATTTTTCTTAATTTGTCATATTTTTAAAACAGGTGTTCAATTGATGCAAACATTTTGCCAAACTTTCAACTGATGTCAAGTCCGCCCTCAGATTTTAAAGTTTATTTCACAACTTTTCCTGCATTTAAGTTTCCCGACAAAACCAATTTGAATATTCAGTGTACTGTCATTTTATGCAATACTACATGTCCTCAGGTAATATAATGAGTATTATATATTTTTTTTTAAATTGAAAAATCTCATTCAATAATAAGATTAGTAGTAAAATTTATTTCATTAAAGTGTTGAAATAATTTGATACTTTAGTAGTTTATAGGTTTGGGTTTTAATTTCTAATAATACAATAATAATATTTGTATTAATAGTAACTTTAGTGTTGAGAAATCTATACTCTAAAAGAGCTTTTAATGTGTGCTTCCAGTGCTTTGGGTCAGAGATCTAAAACTTTCAAAAGTTATTACTAAATAGTCAATGGCTTTTTCAGTCAAATCATTTTTGTTATTGAACTGAAATAAAGAAAAAAAAAACAGAAATAAATGATAGGTTTAGTAGTGAAAGTCATGCACACATACAGTAGTGGTGAGCATTAAATACTAGGTATTTGAGCGTTGAATGGCCACAAATAACTTCAATAACTTTAATATACATTCAGATGCAATGTGACAACACTAAAGCCAGAGGTATAACCATTACTGAAAGTCGACCAGCGCTTCACCGAATAAAGAGACTTACATTGGCTTCAAATGTCAACAAAACTATAATTATTGAGAGAAAGTTGATGGCAAACAACTACAATAAACAACACTATCATCACTGGGATTGGGATTTAGGCGATACACTCGATCCCATCAAACTACAAATCACACAACTAAACATTAATACACCTATTAATGCTACCTTACAAACAGCCCTCACCGATAGTGACGGTGATGGTGGCCGTGACGGTGGCACTCACACAAACCACCATCACTTGAGCGACAATGAAAATCACAAAATTGTCAAAACATTCAGCTGTAAGGCAATTGGCGAGACTTTATGTTTACAACTATTTCATTAAATAATGATTTCAAACTTTTTTAATTTTTTCTCTCTAATAGCTATCCATGAAATATATATCAAAAAATTTGGTCAAAGATGTCTTACTTCACAGTACCTGATGCTGACATTCATTGTACTCATACTAATAGCACTGTTAGCCTACCTATGCATCAATTGTTATGGGATTCGATCTAAATTAAAACACAACAATCAGCTGAAAAATCATAAATTAGTTAATCATCACTATCTCCATATAGAAATGCATACAAACAAATAGAGTATAGATATGTATGCAAATTAATAGTAAATAATACTATAATAATACTGTTTCAAATCAATCATAAGCATATTCGTCCTATAAAATTAATTAATGTTTCAATAATTTACTAATTATTATTTAATATTTATTTATTTGATATTTAAACTTAATTTTATAAATAAATAATTAAAATTTTTAAAATGCAATAAATGTAAATTAATGTCAAGATTGTATATTAGTGTATAATATTTTGTTGATTAACTATAATAGTAGAATATCTTATTGTACTATAATTACAATAATATAAGTATACAAAACTAAGTGAATCTAACTTATGAAACAACTATTTAGTGAATCAAATCACATAATATTTACTTATCTTTTTTTAAAAGCAACGATTGATTGTTTGATTGATTCTTTCACAGACATAGACACACATACACACATCTATATATATATATATATATATACATATACTGTATATATACTTATAGGTTATAACACATACATACACATAGATATCGACATGAAAGGCGGGTGCAATCAAATGCATTATTTTAAAGCCATTTTTTTAACTTTCAGGACATCTCAAAATTATGAAGCCTTATGTCTAACTTTAACCCCAACATTAAGAAATAGCTCAATGAGTTCATTGCATTTTGACAATAATAATGTGCAGTTCATTGCATTAAAGCTTTGAATTTCATAACATAACACACAACACAGTCTAATATTGCATTACTCTAACATTTGTAACAATAATAACAATAATATTGTAATATTAGGTATAAAAGTACTATAACTTATCAAATGTTGACCAAAACACTAGTTCTCCACAAAAGTTGCATCAAATCAAATGTATACGAGAAGTAAAACCAGTATTTATGCCAAAAATTATTATTTTTCTTTAAAAAGTAAATAAATTTATTTGTAAACAACACATAAAGTACATTAATGTAGAACTAAAGTATCTTTACTTAAAAAAGATAATTTTAAATTTTATTATATCAAGGGATTAATATTTTAAATATATATACTTTTTATGTTAACAATTGTTAATAAGAAAATATAATATTTTTACTTTTTTTCTCACTCTCTCTCTCTCTCTCTCTCTCTCTCTCTCTCTCTCTCTCAATCACTCTTTCTCTCTCTCTTTCTCTCTCTCACTCTTTCTTTCTCTCTCTCTCTCTCTCTCTCTCTCTCAATCACTCTTTCTCTCTCTCTTTCTCTCTCTCACTCTTTCTTTCTTTCTCTCTCTCTCTCTCTCTCTTTCTTTCTTTCTCTTTCTCTTTCTCTCTCGCTTTCAGTTTTTTAAGTGAGTTTATATAAATTTTTTTGTTTGATTTGCACACAACAATACCTATGTTATTAATAGACAAGTGATAGGTTTACAAACCACTAGAGTTACATTTGAATTGATAATAATATGATATTTGGTGAATAAAAAATGAAAGTATATAAGCCAGGGTTGCTAAAGGGGGAGGTAGGGTAGGGTAAGACCTCTTACCCCCTGAGATCTAGAATTTTTGGATCTTACCCCCCTGGCATAAAGCCAAAAAGTTATGGGACCCCCTACTAATTTTCGGCGCCGAAATTTTTTTCATCTATGTAAAATTTTATATTAAACAAAAAAAATATTAAATTAGTTTTAATATAAAATTTATATTATAAATTAATATCTTATGTATACAAAATAAATAGATAAAAATATTTAATTACATCTATTTAATATTATTACGTTAACAAAATGAACTTAACTAAAGTAATGCGAACCAATTAAATGATTCATTTGACAAAATAAACTCAACTATTGTCATGTAGGATATGAAATGATTGAGTATTAAAATTTATAAATAGATTTATAAAAAATTATTGAATTACTTCTATATTAATAATATAAATCTTAGAAAATCATACATTACATCATTAATTTTTTTATTACTTTTTCCGCATTTTTTTTGAAAAAAACTGATCTATATTTTATTTTTGATGATCTATACAATACTTAACGTTAAAATTTTTATCTAAAATTTTTTTACTTTTGTCGCCATATTCTCTATGTTCCCGAAGAGATATCAAAATTTGAATTTTGATTTCCTATACATTATTTTTGATGTTATAATCGAATCTGAAAACAAAATTTCAAAATTGGGAATATGATAGTCAATAGACACACACATAGTGTATATATATATACAGTATATATACATTTCAATCAACTATTTTTTCTAAAAAAGTTTGTTTGAAAACGAAAAAATCTATTCATCCATATATCACATTAAATCAAAAAATATTTTTTAATATTATAATACAGTAATATGTTATTTTCAATAATAATAATAATAATAATACTAATAATTAATAAAAATATAATAATAATAATAATAATAATAATAATAATAATAATAATAATAATAATAATAATAATAATAATAATAATAATAATATACAGTATTGTAATATACTATATGACACACCTATCTGTAATCTTATTGGACAACTCTCTCAACATAAAACTTACATAATATAAACACTTTGACTGATGAGAGTCAGTCTGTATTAACCTTTACTTTACTGTAGTTCTAAAATATTGAATACTTATATAATAAATAAAGTTATTTCCTTACAATTGTGTATTTTTATTACACATTTATAGCATTATTTGATCTCTTTATAAAACTTTAGGCAGCTTTCAGTGGATTGAAAATGTTATATCAAACTAATGAAAAGCAGTACAGACTTCATATCAAGCCTTATAAGCACTGGTTGTTTGCAACGATTTCCCTAATATTTTCAGTGAGACTTATATTTAATAATCATTTATAGTATTAAAACTTTAATTATTATTTTGATTCTATGAATAGTCAACTAGTTTTGTGTATCCATTGGAACCAATAAATAGTTTATTATTATTAAATGGCAATCAAAGCAATGAAAGTGAAAAACTGTTACTTTTGAGCACACAATCAGACTCTTTGATTGAGTCAACAGTGATGTCCAACACAGTTGATGACACAACCGGCAACTCATCGATTTCTGCAATATATGTAACCACAGAAAGTCCTATCAATTCAACGACAACCACAACAACACTTGTCGATACACTGCTGGCATCGGGAAGTGAAAACCGTTTCCGATGGATGGACTTTCGTCGGCCTCAGTCGTATCCCCCAAGAATGCCAGCCCTTCCAGGAATTCCCAGTGGATTTCGAAATCCTGCGGCAAATAATAATAATAATCAGGTTTTCAATCCGGGAATGCCTTTCACTGGCTTTGGTGGCAGTAGTACTCAACCGGTGGGCTTCGGAGGCAGTGTTGTCATGAGTAACCATTTGGGACCAAATTCTGGATCTGTTAGACGACCGGCGCTCAACATTACACGAGTTGAACGTATGAAACAAACTTTTTTTTATTTTTTTATTATTTACTATTATTTTTCATTTTATTAAAAGCTTTGCAAAGTAGAAATAAAATTAAATATACAGTTATTTTTGAAATATTTTCGATAAAAAACTTATGATAATTAAAAAAATCAGATTTAATAGAAATTGTTTGAGCTATTAATGACAAAACTTTACAACAAAAAAGTCATTAAATTTGTGACAATTGTAATGAAAGACAACAAATGACAATAGTTTTGGTAAACATTGAAAGGGTAAGACATTGAAAGGATTGTAATGAATAGGTTAGGTATATGTATAACAATAGGATATAATAATTATGATATAAATGTTAGATAATGTCATGTGTTGTATGTGTTTGTATGTTGTGATCCATTATATTAGACATAACCGCTGAATGCAGTGATGAGTACATGAAAGTGAGTATTCATTTCAACGGAACGTTTACCGGATTGGTGTACAGCTCTGGATATGTTCACGACGTTAACTGCATCTACGTTAACGGATCCGGAAGAAATCACTACGAATTCTTCATTAGACTTAACCAATGCGGTACTTTAGGGCGACAAGAAATGTATCACCCAACACTTCCAGGAGAAGCACGGGTATCATCATTACCATAATCATACCATACCATTACTACCATTACTACCATTGCTTCTATTAATATCATATCTATGAATACAGAGAAGGGATCAGTTGATGTGGAATACTCTTTCCATACAATATAATGCATTGATTGAAGAGGAATTTGATGAACACTATCGGGTCACTTGTGAATATGGCAGTGACTTCTGGAAAACTGTCACTTTTCCATCCGTTAATGTCGAGTAAGTCAAACATTTTCAATATCAACAAAACTATTGTTAATAGGAATTATTTATTTAAATAAACACTTTTTAAGTTAAATTTTTAATTAATTGCATTTATCTCCGGTCATTGACAGTAAATGATTCATTAAACACTTTTACCGATCAGGTCTATGATTACTTACATCTAACCAACTGTTAGTTTTAGACTACCGTAAAGTCGTGTTTTATATCCCATATGGAATTTTAAAAAATGAAAAATAACATTTTCATACGGTAAAAAACTCGCATTTTTTACCACCCCTGATAAATTAAACGAGTCTGTGGGGAAAAGCAAAATTGGGGGAATAGGGAACTGTAATGACCGATAATTAACATTAATCTATTAAAACCGGTAAATTTAGATATTACCGGTAATTAATTAATTAGTTATAACAATGTTTAACAATAAATAATTTTTGTATACATTTATAGTATTTTTATATATTATAAATCGGTAAATATATAGCATATTCAAAGGGTTTAGAACAACTAGAGACGTCCAAATACAAGGGGTGGGAAATCTTGAAAATATAAAAAACAGGGATGGGAAATTAATATTTAAAGTAAAAAACTATATTTTTCTTATGGGAGAAAATTTGCATTATTCCCCATGACTTTGACATTTCCATATGGGAGAGAATACACAATTTAACGGTAAATAAAATAAAAGACAGCTTTTGAGAAAAATATATTGAAAATAACAAATATTGTACACAAAAAACTTTTTTTATACAACAAAACTTTTATCAAAGTGCTAATGAAAGCAATGCCACAAATTTAACCATTTTTTTCAATTAAATAAAACTTGATTACAAAACAATCGAAGCATTAATTTTCGAATCACATGATAATAGGAAAGTCATTATCTATAAAAAAAATAACTGAAAATAATTGTAAAATCAGGAAATACTATTAAATTTTGAATAATTACTTTAAATGAGATTTAAATTAAAAAATTGTAAAGACTTTAAATAAAACTACATTTAAAAACTCAACATTTTTAACGATAAATCTAATCAATTTGATAAATGATTATTAAATATATTTTTTCTCAAGCAATTAGTATAAAATAAGCTAAACTTTCGATAAAAATAATATATCATATTATTTAAATATAAACAATAATACGTTGCTATAAATGTTTTATACATTACTTGAGTAACACATTATAATCCTAAAGATAAAATCTGTATGATTTTGAAAACGATAAAAAATTATATAATAAAATTATTTATTTATCACTTATTATAGGAAATATATTTTTCTAAGTCAACTTTTCAAAAAGTTAATAAATATAATTTTGAAAATTATCATTTATTATAATTTAATTAGTGATTTATTAAAATTAATTATTCAAATCAAACATTACAAGAAATTACAAAAAACAAATAACATTTATATACTATAATTACTGTATTATATTAATTAATTATTCTTTAAGATAAATGATGACAGAATTTTATTATTATGAGATATGATTTTTTAGCACTGATATTATAATCAAATAATAAGATAACAATTTAATTATTAAATGTTGATAAATAAAATTTAATTTAAAGATGAGTTCTATAACTAGAGTAAACAAAATACTATATAAAAATTGTGATCAAAAATACTCGTCTCTCAACTTAGTATATGTGAGATATAGCCCCCTACCAAATGTTGAATTTTAAATTTCAAAAATTTGTGAGGGGGTATATACAGTGTTATACGGTACTACTGTTATACTGTATTTATCAATATCAAATTATTATTTTTTTTAATTTTATGGCCAAAGTTAGCTTATTAATTTTTTTATTGTATTTAATCCTAATAGTTGAATATGAAAATATGAATAAAATTTAAATATTGTAAATTTAAACTTTACTTTGATCACACTTTATTTTTTTTGCAAAAAATATATGCATTTATTTTATAGGAAATTTTTAATGACTTACTTTAAAATTTATATTTTTTATCTATTATTCCTTTTAACTATATAAATATTATAATAATTTAAGAAACATTTACTTATACTTTCTATAGAATTTAGAATTTGAATAATATTAATTTTTTATTATTATCTATCTTATATTAAGACATAAATATTAATTATTTAAAAAATAATGAATTAATAGATTTTAATAATATAAATATTTGAATATATAGAGTAAACACAGGAAGTCCAGTGGTGTTCACTATAAACCCCCCTCAATGCCAAATGGAAATCCGGAGGGGATTTGGTATCGCCGGCACCCGTACTTCAGGTCCCGTTACAGTGGGTGACCCTTTGACTCTACTAATTCACATGAAAAGCGAAAAGAGTAAATGAGTTTTTATATTAATTGATCATTTAGTAAATATATGATAACAACTCATATAATTTAAAATAACTACTATTTTATTGATTTACAGCTGGATTTGACATTTTAGTGAAGAACTGTGTGGCACATAATGGCGCTCAACAGAGATTACAACTAATCGATTCCAGCGGGTATGACATGACATGACATAACATAAGAGAGAGAGAGAGAGAGAGAGAGAGAGAGAGAGAGCTTTAATTAATTTAATTATTCTAATATAATAGAAATTGAAATTATAACATTAAAAAAATAATAAATTTTTAATTATTATATTAAGATTATCAACGATATTACTGTACATATAGTAGAATCTATAATTTATATACTATATATAGACATTTTAAGAGAAAAATTTTTAAACTAAATTATTAATATTAAACTTTATGTTTAATTTGTTTCAGTGTTTTTATTTTTCTCGTGAAGTAAAGCGATAACATTATAATTGATTATTTTAAGCGATAACATAGAAAATACTATAAATAATTTATTATAAAAATTTATTATTTTTATTAAAACTAATAGATATATGACAACAAAATCAAGTTAATCTGAAAAATTATTTGTAATTTGTTATAAAGACAAATTGTTAAATTAATTTTTAAAAATTGTTGAAAAAATTGTTTGATTTTGATATTTGTGAAAACTCACTCAAATATGTTAAAAATCTACAATATATTAATATTTCATATTTATATTATGTTGAGATACATTTGGTATTACAATTATGAACCCCTGAAATAAATACCGGTATAATAACATTACATTTTTCTCAAATTGTTTCAATAAGATTTTCAAGCGATGACTCATTAATTGAATGAAAATATATTTGAAATATTGATATATTGAATACGATATGTTAAAGCTATTTGAATAGTCTATTTAAATTGAAATGAACCCTAAACTGGCCAAACATTTTGTTGGGAAATAAATTTACGGACAAATACTCCATAAAAGTCACGAACTAATAGTTATAACAAATGGCAATAATTTTCTAATTCAGCACTTCTTAGATCTTCATAGCCTTAGATAGACTTCAAAAATATCTTATATTCTCGAATGTGTTATATAAAGTCTAGATTTATTTTGAGTCTCCTTAGGGGCGATTCACATATTACGTTTGCACTTTTTAGGAAATCTAGACCCCTTCCCTCCCCTATGTTCGCAATTGTTCGCATGTAATCATTTAAAAAAATTACTTTCGCATATCCCTAACCACTACCTCCCTCACCACAAGAAATAAAATATCTAAATGCGAACGTTCTTAAAGTCTCTACCCCTCCCCTACCCCTCGTTCGCAAAAGTTCGCTTTGACCAACCCCCCTCAAGTACGAACGTAATATGTGAACCAGCCCTTATGGGTCAGGTATAGGTCAGGCGGTTCGTAGTGTATAAGTCATTAGTTTATATTTAATTCATATTAATATCACATTTATGTGTTATAATAACTAATCTCTTAAAAAGTTTTAGAAAAACCTCAATAGAAATTGCATTAAAAGACAAAACTTTGTAATATATAGCCCAGGGATATATACACACAAAAACTATGGACCAAACAACTAGATTATTGCACTCAAACATCAATAACCGAGAAAGTAATGTTTGAGTGGAGTGTCTGAGTTTGCACGCAATCGACACAACATTTAGACCAATAGACCGATACAATTAAGACAAGACGTGCCACACATTGTGGACACACATATGTTTGATAGTCTCTGTGATCGTTACTTCACTCCAACTGTACTTTCAATTATAATACTGTATAACAAAAGATACATATATTTCCTCTATTATTGCATTAAATTTAATAAACATTACAATCAAAACTTTATAAAGCATTCAATTCTATTACATAATCCAAATCTTTCATAATCTTACAATTGAAACAACAAATTTATTTTTCAATGAAACCATTATAATATGTTATGGTATTATAGTAATAATACAGTAGTATGAATGTGCTCAGGGATGTGTAATGCGCTTGTAATGTCTGTCCCGACCCTTGTTTTGTTTAATATAATATAACAGAAAATTAACTCAACAACTGTTTTGTCTTTTTAAAAGATGTGTTACGAATGAGAAGCTGATCAGTCCTTTTAGAGGAACTTATAATTCAGAAAATGGACATCAAGTCAGCCTTTATTCATATCTTAAAGCATTTAGGTATCCGATCGTAATAATCAATACTATATTTTTTGTAATTTATTTTAAACTTTAAATTGATTTTTAGATTCACTGGCAGTCCTGCACTTTATTTGGAGTGCGATATCCATATGTGTCATAACAAGTGTCCCGTAAGTAAACCTTTAAGTGAAATAATATTGCATTTAATAAATCAAATGAATTGTCAATAATTAGCCGCAACGGTGTTATTGGCGTAATCTCTCCAAACGTTCAGTTGATGCACAGCTAAATACAACTACAGATAAGCCTATTGTCTCTGAGAGTATCAGTTTGTTTCAGTCTTTGGAAGTGAGACAAGAATCAGAAGAAAAGGATATCGCAAACAATACATCGGAATTCAGTTAATATCCATAATTTTAATTACCGGTAATTAATTATGAATTAATATATATATTATTATTATTATTTGTCAGATATGGATATTAGCCAAAGTAATGTGTGTTTGCGATCGGATGGTGTGGCCGTCATAATCATAACAGTGTTTGTACTGTTGGTAATGTCATTCTCGATGTCCATCGGGTGTTGTATGAAAATGAGACGAATGAAGTACTGTCAGAGGCATATGATCGACGCCTCTTCACTATATAAGAACAGTTATGATACCATCTATTCCTATCCTCACAACGAAACACATCATTCAAGACGTTTCTGATAAACACCAAGAAATGCTTCAAATAAAACAATAACTTTTTGCAAATTTATTTCATCAAATTCTACACATAATTTGTATTTAAAACATTTTTATCATTAGTTTAATTGTCTTATAATAAGTAAAATCCTTTGACAACACATCCATTGAGTGGTGAAGGGATGGGATCGGACCTCAATAAAACTCATGTTCATTAACTTTTTTATAAAGTAAATCATATTAATGCTTAATTTAATTTATTGTAGCAATCAATCATTATCAATTTATGTTTTACTAAATTATTAATTGTCAAGTCATAAATAAAACAAATCATTATTTTAAAAAATCATTTAAATTACCGGTAATATTTATTTATTTTTTATTTTAAAAAAAGTAATGCTCAACAAAACTAATATTTTATTTTAAATATATATATAATATATGCTTACAGTATAGTAGTTTTCATAATTATGTTAATTAAATAATCTAATATTTTTAAATATACAGCATATTATTTCTTTAATTTAAATACCTATAAATAAAATTTAATATGATTTATAATTATAATTAAATACATTTTCTATATGTTAATTAATTATATATATATATATATTTATACTTCTAATTTCAATGATATGAGATAATAGCAAGAATTACATTGAATTATATCAATCATTCACTTTCTATCTCTATTTAATTTTATTAATTACTTTCGATAAATAAATCATAAGATAAAATATAATATCACTTTAAATATCGAATCAAAACAATCATTATATACAATAGAAAATTAAAATGTTTTGATCCAAATTGAAAATAAATTTTAAAACATATAAAACAAGAGAAACTAACTATTAGTAAAAGTTATGTTATGAATATTTGGGATTAACTGGACATTGAGTGAATGATCGTAATTCATATGGTAATTGTCCATTAATGGTGGCCACATCCAGATCGTGCTTTCGGAACACTATTATCCTGACATCCGTATGAAGATATATTCGACCCGATTTAGAGCTCTCGACCCTTCAAATCACAAAATAAAACAAAATTACATTTAATATTATATTTTAGTTATATCAATGTGTTTGTCTAGTTTATCATTTTAACATATAGTATAAATAAAATTTCTGTCATTTTAAGCATTATATATTTATTTGTTATTAAATTAATATATACTGTAATCATTTTTTCGCACAGCAAACTAATTTCTAGTTTATATATTATATAACATAACTGTATATATAATATGAAAATTAAACATGTTATCATATTAAAATGACAACATAGAATATTATAATAAATAAACTAAATTATAATATTTAAATGTAAAACAATTTGTCATAATATAAATATCAACTAAACAATAAATGATTTTATACTGTTTGCTAATACATTAACTATAAAATCAGTCGTAAAATAGGCAGAAATAGTTTTTTGATAATAACTTTTTACAATTGAATACAAATATTTTATTTGTAACTACGGTTTTTGTTAACGTAAACATTTTTTTGTAACTACTTTGATATATTATATAAGGGCATTGTTAAGTTACATATGTTTAAAACCTTAAGATAATCTGTAAATACCAAAAACGATACTATTTTAGAAATTATTAAATATATGTATTGAAATTTTTAATATAATTACATATTGTTAAAAAATATCTAATTCTCGAACTATAAATATATACCATTACTATAAATATCAAAATATATTTAATAAATTTAATATATCTTAATTTTAAAAAATATCCGATGCAACACATACAGGTAACTTTATATTGATTTGAACGTAATTAGAACATATGAAAAACATAATTATAAATAAAATATTTTGATTTTTTCCAAATCTAGAGAGAAGTTAATCTGAAAAAACTAGTCCTTCCTATTTAGCAATTTATGTTATACTATATATTATATAAACAAAAATATACAAAAATAGTCACTCTTAATACATTAATACTCAAAAATACAACACCGTTAGTATAATTCACTAAATTTAGATTTAGTTTACATTTTATTTGTATTCACTGAATATTTTAGATTAATGTATATCTCATACTATTTGGAGTCATATATAAATTAACTAAACCTCAAGTCTAATCAATCATTTATCTTTCTGTAAATAAATCTACATATATTTTTAAATTAAATTATTTTCATAAATTTATCATTAAAAATTATCTTAATATATAAATAGTAATATATATATATATATATATTAGACAGTTAATTAATCAGTTATTTTAAGTAGTTATAGAAATAACTATATATTTTGTAAAAACATTTGAACAACCATGTTATATATTTTAGCAATATAAATAAAATAAATAAATAAAATTATATATCTTAATAGTGGATAATACTAATATACATTTCACACATGTATATAATAAAAGCACAAATTAAGATATAAATATACCGGTACTTAAAACTTTCACTGAAATTATATTTATATACAACATATACAAAAACTTTAGGAACAAAGTACATGTGATTTGCAATATATTAACTTTTTAATTGATAACTGTTTTAGGTTACTGTAGTAAATAATATAAAACCTTTTAATATTTACATTATAGATATGTATTATATAAAATTTATAAATATTAAATTAGATTTTTAATTAAAAACTATATTAAAACTAAATTTAAATGCAATCTTTTCAATAATTAAATATTAATCATCCATTATTATGTTATATTAAATATTAGTTAATATAACATAATAACAGATGACGTATTATAGTTTACTTAATTATCAATGAAAACATGAGTTTAATATAGTTATAGATAATATAACATGTGATACAATTTCCTATGTCTTAAAATAGATTTATCTATGAAGTGGTTTCAGTTTATTGATAAAACTGTTTCTATAGATAACTATAATAAAGATTACAATATTTATACTTCAAGTCTACTGTTTATTATATAACATATATTGTAATTTGTTCCACAAATTGTAATAAAATTTTTTAAATTGAATTACCGGTAAAATAATTAATATTTTAAGGACTTTGCGTAAAATCAATTTTAGGATTAAACAAATTAAAAGAAAAAATAACTCGATTTACTTACATATAATCGAATAACAAATATATAAATTTTATCTAATAGCACATTAGACACTACAAAAATTTACTATATAAATATTTATAATAAAATTATATTTACAAAATTATACAAATTATAAAATAATTATACACTAATATCATTATATTTTTTAATTATATGTATAACAATTTACTTTTAATAACATTTTATACATACAATTTTATAGAACTGTTTGAAATAATATTAAAAGTCAAATATTTTTTATGTCATTGAAATTTGTTTATTAAATTTTAAAAGTATTATTCATTTAAATTATCAAAAGTTAATTTTTGTATTTATGGTCATCAAATATATTTAATTTCCTATTCATATATCAATTCCTATACATAAATATCACTTTAATTTATTGACAAATCCTTTAAACTAATTAATCACTTTTCGTTTGATTACATCTCATTTAATTACTTTACTAAACAACAAATTTTTAACAGTAGAAAACATTTTGAATAATTAATTGAGATAGCAATTAGTAAATAAATTAAATGTATGCCACAATCATACCTGAGATGAATGAGATATCGGAGCCATTTTCTATTATCGGGATCTCTCTCATTGGCCTCACTCGGCATAAACAGAGTTCTTTGTCGTATAAATGTCTTACAATTGGGCGGCATATCATTGAGATCGTAGGGCACAACAAACATCTTAACGACAGTGCCGTGAGGGTTGAATAACGTCTATTAGATCATAATTATTCAATCATTATAAACATTATAATACAAGTAATTTAAGTACTAAATAACATACCACTTGAACAGTGCCTTGACGTGGGATATGATAACCTTTTTTACCTAAACTAATGTGACCCTGAAGTTGAAGAATACCGTAATTTAAATTAAATTCATGTCAATGACAACAAAATTAAAAGTAATACCAAATAAGGTGACGACACTTTGTCCATCTTATCCGTGTCTTGTAATGTATAAAAAAATACAGTTACAGCGTATGTCTTATGTCGCGGACAAAAGCTACCGCTGGCCCCCAACTCGGCTGTAAAGCCTTCAACTGTGCTGACGGGCTCTATCCTACCATTTAATACCGATTCCTAGTTTATTGCAATGCATTCATTATCATAAACATAATTATCAAAATTACAATTTTATTGTTAAATACTTCAAAATTTCCTAATAAACTGCTGGTTGTGGTCGACGGCGGGGCACTTGTGCTCAGTGTTATCATTCGAGGATTCACCTCTGGATCAGCTTCGGGATCCTTTTCAAACAGTGCTCTACATTGCAGTTCATTAGTTAACATTAATATATTAAAAAACATAATATATCATAATTAATAATACATTTACACTATTATATAGTTAAATGACTTATTTATTAATCAATTGTGTTATAAGTATTTACTTTTTGATGGCTTTTACAGAAGTCAAGGAACTGTCGAAATCAAAACAAGTGCCGGACTTTCGCATCGGTGCCTAAAATGGATCAAACATTTGTATTATTATTATTAATCAATAATTAATTGTATAAATCATATGGTAATTACATTGTGATTCAAATGTTTTATATGTGAGTTCCAGTATTGCGATAAATTTGAATCAAATTTAGTTAAATAAATCATTTTTAGACATCAATTGTAATGATTATAGTTTACTAATCATACGATTAATTCATTAAATCATTAATTCATTTATCAGATGATGTGTGCGATTGTTGGCTATTAATACCTAATGGTTGGCATCAATACTACTATAACTATAGATATCAATGCATAGACATAATTATACTAAATATTTGGACATATATTACACGTCTCATTGCATCTTATTTTTCAAGAATTATATCAAACAAATTGAATAAACATTTTATTTTTTAAATTGCAATTAAAAGCAATTAAATTATTTGATTTAAATACTAAACGATTTGATAATAATTATTGTGTTAACACTGAATGACATACAATAGCATACAATACTATAGAATGCAATGCAATATACAATGCAATACACAATGCAATGCAATACACATCACACAAACCACTGAATTCACAGCTGACTCACACTTGCGTGAGATTTAATTCAATACTCATGGCTTACATACGTGTGATACAATTGGCACATATGATTGACACACTTTTACTATTACTTAATCGATAAGCGTTTACTTAATTAATTAAATATTCAATTAATATAAAAATTGCAATAAATTTTCAACTCTTGTATTGATTTACTGGAAATCCAGTGTAGAAGTGAAGCATTGAAGGCATCGATATGTTTGGTAAGTCATAGGTATGCATACAATGTAACCATTAGTGGTAATACTGGAGTATTATAAGTGTGTCAATCATATGGTAAACACATGAGTAGACGCCATACAGGAAAGCATTTAAAGGTTTGAATGGCTTCACTAAAAGCTGTGACGCAGTAGACTGTCGTCTGTTGTCTGACAGCGCACTCTATCAATGATATGTCATGTCATGTGACCAATCAATACATTGTTATACAGTTAAGTGTAGTATTGGGCGCATAACACATACACATAACATAATACTCTATAATATTACTGTATTTGTACTTAATTTATATTACTGTATAATACAGTGTATATAATATGTTTATATTAGAAATATTATAATTTATTAATACATGCGTACAGTATATGATTACAACATTGATATACCATTAGATGGCAATCAAGTCAATGATTAATCAATGCATTTAATGGCAATTCATTACATTTACTAATTTAATTAATTAATAACACATATAATATTAAACTGTTAATTATTTCATGTAATGCTAATAAATTATATCATTAAATCCATTATTTATATGAAATAATTTACAAATATTTTACACATTTTCACGAATTCCTGAAAGGAATACGTATATGCATTCTATAAGTTGGTCTGTCTGTCCCACGAGGACATAGGTTCGAATCCACTATCCGCTACAAATTTTTTTTGATTTTTTTTTGTTTTTTTCTTATTTAAGTTTATTTTTAGGAAATTGAAGAAAATGGTGTCCAAAAATTAATTAAAAAAATTTTGAAATTTTTTTTGAATTTTTTTAAAAATTTTTTTGAATATTGATTTTTTATTTTTTTCGTTTTTAAGTTTATTTTTTAGGAAAATAGTAGTTTATTTTGTAATACTGAATCATTTGATACCCCACATGACTATAGTTGTTTATTTTGTCATACTAAATCGTTTGATACCCTACATAACTATAGTTGATTTTATTTTATCATACTGAATTTAATTTTTAATTATGATTAGGAATTCGTGTGGAAATGCTTTCTAGCATTCTCAACTGGTTTACTTTTTATAAACTCTCAAATTAGCAAAAGTACAGTAATTATAATTAAATTAAAATTTACATAAGTTAATATACCGTATATAATTTAACTTTACACTATGTACAGTATATAAGATATCTTTTATATATTGTAATTATATATATATACAATTTGAGACAAAAGTGCTTGACACGGTTTTTTGGCTATAACTTTAAAAGTAATAAAGTTTAAATAATACAAATTTTTTTAGTACTATGGAATCATGGAACGGATGTTATAGCATTAGCACATTTTGTATATTACGGCTCCGGGATGCGGGGACAGGGATGTTCGATATCTAAAAAACTATAAGGGATTTTTAGATTCTGAAAAATGCATAATATACTAGAAACAAAATCATTTGATACGTGTTTAAGGATTTAAAAAAAATTAATGAAATCAAATAAAAAATATATAAATGTGAAAATTGCAATATTTTGACATGGACTAAAATAAAAATGCCAATGTATTTTATTATGAGATTAGTCAATTATTATTTGTTATTTTATAGAGAATAATTAATCTATTTACAATTTTTAATTATGATGTTTAGTTTTTGCAATATTTAATAAAAACATTTTTCCCATTATATAATCTTGTCTTATAAAATATTAATAATGATATTTATTACTAAATTTATATAATGGTAAAACTGTTTTTCCTTAATAGCTTAAAAACTAAACATCATAATTAAAAATTGTAAATAGATTAATTATTCTCTATAAAATAACAAATAATAATTGACTAATCTCATAATAAAATACATTGGCATTTTTATTTTAGTCCATGTCAAAATATTGCAATTTTCACATTTATATATTTTTTATTTGATTTCATTAATTTTTTTTAAATCCTTAAACACGTATCAAATGATTTTGTTTCTAGTATATTATGCATTTTTCAGAATCTAAAAATCCCTTATAGTTTTTTAGATATCGAACATCCCTGTCCCCGCATCCCGGAGCCGTAATATACAAAATGTGCTAATGCTATAACATCCGTTCCATGATTCCATAGTACTAAAAAAATTTGTATTATTTAAACTTTATTACTTTTAAAGTTATAGCCAAAAAACCGTGTCAAGCACTTTTGTCTCAAATTGTATATATATATTTAAATACCGATAAATAACATATGTTTATTGCTATACGTTATATCAATAAATATTTATCAATATATTTATTAATGTAAAAGTTGTTTGATATCCGTACGGAAACATAGTATTAATGTTTGTCTACAGTTAAACACCAAATTAAAACATTGACTAAACAAATAGGGAAATCAATGTTTAGTATTATAAATACATTTACAGAATATAATGACTATATTTCCAACAAATAGATTACAATATTTTTATTTTCATTTATTTGATATATTTAGAGGAAATATGATGTCAAGGTAACTACAAAATATTAATAAATATTTAAAATAATTATGTATTAATATATACTTTAAAACCTAAATATTTATACTTTAAACTTGCAATTTCTAAACTGGTTTAATAATCCTTAACTTATGGTCCATCAGGTTATATATAATATAAATTTATTCAAAAAACATGATATGAGTGTTGAAAATATCCAAAATCATTTGACCAACTCATTTGAATTGTGAATTTGGGTCAAATGTGTTAAAGTATTTCAAGTTTGGATTATTTTGAGTATTTTGTAAGCAACCGATATTATAGATAAAAGTTGATATATCAATAAATTATTGAAGATTATAATTTTTGTGACCAAAAATTTAAATTATTATACCATATACTGTAATTACTATAAATAACTACTTAATATTTAGTTACTATTAAATATAATTTATTTTGTTAGTCATGTGTAATAATGTTGGATAAGTTGAATCATAATTGGACTAAAATTTTATATTCTTTAATGAATTTATTGTAAAATGAAAACTGATTGTGTAATCACTAAATCATGAATCTCTTAACATTAGTTTTTATCGAGTTTTGAGTCAAGGTTAAGCACTGGGGGGGGGGGTGTGTATGACCTTGCTAATCAAATTACTATATTATAAATTAATTAATTTATAATAGAATTATTACCAAATATATTGTATATAAAATTTTTATATATATTATATATTATGTATATTATTAATATAGATTGATAATATTAAAATAGTATATAATTTTAAACAATACAATTTTAAATAGCTTTAACATAATCATTATTTTTAATTTGTGATTTTTTGCCGGAATTTATTTAAAATATAACCTTATGTCCGTTTTACAATATTTTGTTATTATAATGTTATTAGTAATACTGTATTTAATATTTTATTTAATAATATACTGATTTAGTATATGGTTTCAATACAGAATTTCATGACAATATGATTGCATATATTGTACAGTAGTTATTGACAAAAATATATTTCTGTAATAAACAATTTATTTATAAACTCAGTACTTTTGTATAAGTTATAATCAATCTTATTTATTTAATTATGCTAATTTATAATCTACAAGATATTTCTATATTTTATTTATTTTTAAATAAAAATAATATATATATAAATAGCTTAATTTTGTTTAAAATATTAATATTATAAAATTAATAGAATATTCTTATATAAAATTACTTGTCTAACAAATATTTTTTACATTTTATTAAATAATTTACCGTTAATTTTATAATAATCGATTCATATTGATTTATACTATATTCTTGAATTATAATACATACAGTATATCTCAGTTTTTATAATAACGTGTAATTAAAATAAAATAATTAAAAATATTATAAGAATTTTTATTCTTAGTAAAACATATTATATCAATATACCATAAAATAAGATTAAAATATAGTAATAATTTATTAAATTATTAAACTATTCAAACATTTTACAATTGAAAAATATTTTAAATGTTCATTACATTTAAAAATATAATTAACTTTATAAATAATAAGTTATTGCAATTATACCGTACGGTAATAGTATTTGAAATATTAATAAAACAAATAATTATTAATAAATTAATAACTAATTATTTAAAATTTATTAATCTTTGGCTCCTTTCGATTCTTTGCAGATGTTATCACTCAATGTCTGTCCATTGTGTGAATCTTTGTGCGGACGTTTAACTCTTGCAAATGGGCCGATGTTGGGATCAACTATGTATTTCCAGATGACTTTGGTCCAGGATGTGTGATAACAAAGTGTGTCATAATATTCAGGTGCTATTTGGCGGACCTTTGGTAAGAGTGTTCCCGGAATAGATGGGAAGTCGTGGTGTTCGACATGATAACCAACGTTGAATGTTATGGCATTCAAAATTCCGTAATAGGAACAGGTCTCAGGTATAAGAAGTTTACCATTATTTATATAAACACCGTTTTGAAGATTATTTCCGCTGTACTTTCGGACCAACTCTTCATTTTCTTTAAACATGATGTAGTGCTCGGAAATGAAATGACCGGCCACTGGATGTAAGCCCATAGCTATTAGAGAACCCCCAATCATATACCACACTATATGCCAACCAAATGTTTGCCCAATTATAATGTTAAATGTTATTTGAATCACGAAATTAAATAATTCCAAAAGTGTCGGATCTTTCGGGTGAACAAATAGAGGTCGAAGAGCATAGAAGAAAGGCTGAAGAAAAACCCAAATCACTTTAGTTGCAGTCGTTGTGAATACTTGTGCCTCAAATCGTGACGGAATGTCAGTATCAAGAATATCGTCGCCTTGATATCGATGGTGTTCTAAGTGATACTTCTTGAATGACACCGAAAATGGAAAACCAATGGGAAGATTGGCTATAATTCCAAACAATTTGTTGGCCATCGGCTGTGAGGCACCAAAAGCCTGATTGTGTGATATCTCGTGAATGGCTAACATCAGAGAGTGATTAATAACACCACCAAAACAGTAGCCAATAAGCAATAGTTGCCAAAAGGATGTCATGTTTCGCAACAAATAAAACGATACGATTTGTATGAAAACCATAGCCAGAACTGTCCACTTGAAGTTCGTGTCCACTTTCATCAACTCTTTAATCTGCGGATATTTGGCCAAAATTAACTTACGCCGAGTTGCGTGCGGTTCGTCTGAATAGACCTAAAATGTCAAAATTAATACTGACTTCAAATCACTGTTTTTCACATCACTTACCCATTCATAGTCAGTGCGCGAAACACGGGCTCCCATTTGGTCTTAATTAAGTTAATCACCGGTTGATCACTATTTATGCCAATTCAATGCTATCAACAATATTTATGATTGATTTCAAATCAGATCACAGATCAGTTAATTATTATTTTTATTAAACATTAACTTAAATCTAATAAAATTAATCAAAAGACAAACCAAATCAATGGTAATATGAGATTACACTTTAAAAAAGTTTTGTCTTTAAAAAGATGAGATTAACTAATGATTATGGGATTAGTTTGAAAACTAAAAGATATTATTAAATCAATTGTATTATTGAATGTTAGTTATCGATGAAAAAGTTGTCATTAATTTGATTATAGACTCCCATTGATAGACAAACTGTAAGAAAGAAATGAAATAATAGTTATATTACTCGTTGTTGTTATCAATGATTCATTTGATACTATAGAGAGTCACGTAATGCAGTAATCAATGTATTAATACTATTAATATTAACACTGTATTACCAATTGTATAGAAATGATTTTAATGCTTCAATCGACTGTTGTTTTAATGATTTTATTTTTATGACTTTAATTATTATTATATTAATATAGTATATATGCAGTAATCACGCCATTCATATAAACAAACATTTAATCAATCAATCAATTAACTAATAAAATGTGATTTGATGTGACATTTGCTAAAATGTATCACTCATTCAAAATACATGACATTAGCATTGATTTGAATGATCATCACTTTGACAGTTCAATCCTATTAACAATTATTTCTATTAATAATACGGTATTACTGTATATATAAAAACATAATTTATATTCAAAGGGTTTATTGCAACACATTATTTGTGTTAACAACTGTTATAATAATATAACACAACCTATACATACAGTTAGTGACAATTTTTCACAATAATTGCTTGAAATTGCGTGCATAAGGATTGTATAAAAATTGAATTAATTTACAATTATTGCTAACAAATTGTTTCATTATACATATAGATTAAGATTATTTACTGATTTTTTTGTATTTTTAACATGGTTTTTAGATAGTGGCATTTATTGATAAAATAATTATTTTTTATAAATAATTTATGTTTTTTATACATATTGTTTAAACATTTTAAATTTTAGTTTTACCTTGTTAATTTTTAAAAAATTGTCTGTTATAATTGCAATTTTCGCAATAGATTTTTATAGGTAATTTTGTGACAATTTCACGCAATTGCTAATCAATAAAATTGCGCATTTTGCAAATATAACATCACTACTTACAGTTAAAAATCATTACAGTATTTCATAATCTAATTGAACAGAAAACTAATCAAATAATTTAATTACTTTTATTATTTTATATATACATTACTTAAGTAATAGATCATTGATAAATAATCAAATATTATATCATTTTTTTTTGTTTTACAATATTATTAAAAAGTTTTAATAGTTTAAAGTAATTTTCTTGACATTAGTGCTGCAACTCTATTCCCATCCCATTGGGATCTGTTTGTTATACAAGTGTTGTACTGTATTATCATAGAGACGGCTAATTAAAAGTAAATTTAATAAAACTGTTTACATATTTCTACAATTATTATATAATTAATGCAAATTTAATACATAATGTTTGAACAGTATATCTATTGAATTATCATATTATATGATATGACAATCCATTTATAATGACTTGAATTAATGTAAGTTATTATTAATAACATAATTATCATTAGATATGAACTGATATTGTTTTTGATGACAAATACTATTGAAATAATTATTGATTTTTCAGTAATGATTTCAAATGAATCAATGAATTTAAAACAAGTCATAGAAATGGCAAACAATATATGAGATGATATATTATCAACAAATACTGACCACTGTTTAAACGCTACAAACAATCAAATTGATTAATGATATGATGGATAGTAATGGTGTTAATAGTGATGACAGTCATAGTGACAGTCATACAGACCAAAGACAAGAAAGTATTTGCCAAAAGTTGCCGACCGTTGAAGTGGACGAACAACAAGAAAGACAACATTTTTATCATATCGTCAATTGCTTCAGGAGTTACAAACTCAATGGTTTTTGTCGGGTTTCTAAAGCTTATCATTATCTCAATTCACTCAACGATAGACACAAACAAATGTTGACCACTTATAAGACACACTTAGAAAATATATCTAAATGTATTGAACATAACTTCACAATCATTGAGTTGATCATTGAGGACATCTCCAGTTTGTTTGAAAACATTGATTATACCACCGCTTCTAACGTGACTCATGAAGATAATATTGATTTCAAGACTTTCAAACGTCAACCGGCATTAGATTCAGATAAAGTAAACTCTGTTTTTAAACAATTGGTTCGCGAGTGGACTGATGAGGGATATAATGAAAGAAGAACCTGTTTTGAGCCAATTCTGAATGAAATCGAAGAATATTTCAATTATAATGACGACCGAAGTAGTGTACACGTGTTAGTTCCCGGCGCAGGATTAGGAAGATTGCCGTTTGAGATCGCGAAACGTGGCTTTACGTGTCAGGGAAATGAATACAGTCTATTCATGTTAATCACATCTAACTTCATATTAAACAAATGCAAAGACAAATATATTCACACATTTTATCCGTGGGCTCAACACTTCACTAATAATGTCCGATCAGCTGACCAGTTGACTGCAGTTCGCTTTCCGGACATCAATCCATCTGATTTGACGCCAAACACTGACTTTTCAATGGCTGCCGGAAATTTCACAGAAATATATACAGAAGCCAATAGTTGGGATTGTGTGGCCACCACTTTCTTTATTGATACGGCCAGTAATGTCGTTGAATATATTGACACCATTTGGAAAATTCTTAAACCGGGTAGCATTTGGGTCAATATCGGGCCTCTTCTGTGGCACAATTCGGCTGAGTTTTCAGACAATGACTCATTGGAACCGAGTTATGAAATAATACGGGAAATCATTGTTGAAATTGGATTTGAAATGATAAAAGAGATGACAAATGTTAGCTCTTATTATACACAAAACCCGCACTCAATGTTGGCCTATGAATATCGTTCTGTATTTTTTGTTTGCAAAAAACCTATTTCTTAACACTTAATTTAAGTAGTTTTCAATCAATTTTTAAATTAATTTAAAATAATTTTATTTTTGACGACAAAGAGAATTATCAATTACATCATGACTTTCTAATTACATATTTTTAATTCAAAATTAGAAAACTAAATACAGTATATTAAAAATTGAATATTAATTTTGACTAATAAATGTTAAAATCTATTGAAATTAAAATATTTCTTTGTTTTGTTAAAATAAAACATATCATCAAATTATCACACAATCATGTCTTTGACTAATTATTGATTATATTAAATTAAGGATTAGATTAGTGGCTAATGTTGGGATAATTTGCGAAAAACAACATTTGTTTATATATATATATATATATATATATATATACTGTATATATATAGAGCATTCAAATGATTTGTTTTATCACAGAATAAAATCAAAAAATTAAATTACTTGACATTTATATAATTGGCCGTAAAATGCAATCATTTGTATGATTTCAATGACAAATGAATCGCTTGTTTATGTGTTTAACAATGAATATTATTACAACCATTTGATAATACTGTACAATATTAAGAGGTAATGAATTGTATTTTGTTTTGTAATGAGTTTCTTAAGACTTATGAAAGACGACTAGATTTGACTACAATAAGATTCAATCGATTTTAAATATTGAGATATAATTATCATTAATATCAATAGACATCTTACAGTATTTTTGTGACACTAATGGCTGGTTTTCCAATAATCGGGTTTAATAGATGTTGTTGAAGTGTTGGCGCCGCTATTGCTGGACATTTGATATTTGAATCGTTAGAAGACTTCTTCCCTAACGGTTTAGTAACTAAATCTAATTCAGTGTTGATTTTGTTATCAATATCTGTTTGCAACTTAAGCATAACGGGAAGTGCATCGAGTCTCGACTGTCCTCCTGACACTGTAAGTGACTGTAGTGGTCGGCAGCGGACAAATGTCGCTATAATACCCTCTTTTGCGGCCTGGGATAAGGTTTGATTGGTAATTGGAGTTTTGCCAATCAAAGTTGTGTTAGTTTGCACTGAACTTGTAGTCGTTTGAGTGCTTTGAGTAGTCTGTGTTTGTATGGGAACTGATATCTGAATGGGTAACTGTCCCGAAGTTTGGGTCTGAGCCTGAGTTTTAGTTGAACTGTTGGTATTGTTACAAGAGGTGGATGTTGTTATGGTTGTAGTGGTTGTACTACTATTTGTAGTCTCAATGTTTGAATGGTGTACTTTCTTGTGATGTTTCAGTCCGTGAGATGTTTTGTATATTTTGCTACAAAAGTCGCATTTGTACTCTTTGTGTGAAGCGGTTGATTGACTGCATTATAAGATTATGGAAACAGTTAATAACAATAATCAGTAAATGTCATATAATTGCATAATCATTGGTATCATCACCCGGTTGTTTGATCTTCACATTTGTGAGCCATCGGATTATTTCTGTGAATATTTCGTATGTGATATTTGAGTCCATTCGCATTGCGGTATCTTTTCTTGCAGTTGCCATTAGTGCATACATAAGGTCTGTCTTTATCGTCAAAACCGATGGAACCACTACTCGCTTGACTCGATGGCGGACTCATTATTCTTCAGCCGTTATAAAAGCTAATCAATTATATTGTTACGTAAACAACATTCAAATCAAGTCTCACTTAAGTATAGCGTTGGCCGAGTCGTCGGCGGGATTATTAACCCACGAGTCAATACTACTCTCGTCATTATCAGATCCATTATCTTCTTCATCCATTTCACTGCCTATTAGTTTTTCTTTATTAGACAAACTACTAAAACAAGTCTATTATTATGTAAAGGTCTTACCGGTTGGTGTAGTGCTCGACAATGACAGCGCCGGTGAATGCGAACGAATCCCTTTCCGCATGTGATTGTGGCCACCATTGAGTGACTCCTTTCGACAATTGTCAGCAAAAACCCTATAATCAAATAGTTATTGTCTTATCAATCATTTATTGTGATAACAATTTCGTGTCCAAACCTAAGAATATAACTAATAGGAAGACATGACGGCTGTTGTGATTCGTGTTCTTCAATAACTCGCGGATCAAAGTCTGTGCCAACAAATAGTCAATTATTTTTAATTAATATATGTTTATGTTGGGTATGGGTTGGGTTGGGTTGGGTCGGGTTGGGTCGGGTCAAGTCGGGTGAGATGTAAGGTCATGATTGACAGTAATCGCACCTAAATGTGTGTCTTCAATGTGTCGGATCAGTTCAGTGAGTGTGGGGAAAGTGATACCACAAGAGTTGAATTTGCATTGATTTATTAGAAACACTGCCATTAAGTGGCCATAAAATGTCTGCAAAAGTGTCAAATGGGTTAGTAATCAATCAATTAATTGCAACAAATTGTCGATCAATTAAAAGCCATTTTTGTCGATAAAGTCATTGCTTTTGCGCAGACTTTGCATTCAATTTAATACTTATTTCAATTGGCTATCAATTTATCGCAAAATTCAATTCACTTACCATTGATTGTCAATTAATGGACAAACTTTCGGCTTTTATATATCACTAGACATATGACTAATAGACACAAAATATTAATTAATTGTCAGTTAAAATATACGCAAGAATTTTGTTTTATTTATCACATTAAATGTGTATATAATTTGCAAAAAAAAAGTTGAGTTTAGATCAAACTAATCAAAAATATGTTTCATTTAATAAATCATTTATTGATAATTTATTTATTATCAAAATTAAAATGCGTAAACTAATAGTTAATAATTAAACTAATTTGTCATTTATTTATTTTTTAAATATTTTGGTTTATTATAATTTTGAAATTATTTTGTCATTAATTACTTTTACTTTGAGTATCAAAAATTTAATAACTAAAATAACTATTAATAATTGAAATGTTTAATTATACTGTGATTGTGTGTGTGATTTAAGACTAATTATAGTGAAAATAATAGGGTTATCACTGCTATGTGATTATCAATAGTATTTATTTATTAATAATACTGTGATAGGGATTTAGGATGTTTTGGTAGAAAATAATTATAAGATAATAATTAAAGTTATACAGAGACTAACAAAATGTTTCATCTTTTTTCCTAATATTTCTAATAATTTATTTTAAAATTAAATTTTAATTAATATTTAAAATTGAATTATAAGCATTCATTAATAAAATTTAAAAAATACGACATAAATATTTGTAAAATCTTATGCATTTAATTTAAAACTGCATTTAATTTAAAACTAAATTATAAATAGCTTTACTAAAGTTTTAATAAAACTATTTAATTTTGTAATAAATTTCATATAAATTAATTAAACCATTTTAGATAATATATGGTATACTAAACTACTGTATGTCGACACTAATAGGAGATAAACTTTTTTCATCACATATTTTTTGTTAATGAAAAAATGCAAACTAAAGGTATTAATTAATATTTCAATAATATGTCTTAAATTAGTGTTTTATTATGAGATCAAAGATTATATCATAATTAATGCTTTTTATGTTAAAAATATGTAAAAATATATTCAATAATAATTAGAGCTATGTTTCTTCGGGAATTCCCGAAACGTTATTATTCATTAAATTGTCGGGAATTTAATATTTATAGAAATATGGCAACATTTTGAATGAAATTAACGCCTATTATTTTTCCCGATTTTCCCGAATTTTTGTATTTTTTGAGAAAATCCCGAAAAACGCCGAAAAACACTATTTAAGTGTGTTTTTCGCCGAAATTCGCTAAATATTGATTGACATAACACTTAAATACATATTGATTACAATATTATCAGTACATCTAATACAATATTAACTCAATAGCAATGAATTATACGATATCTATCAGAGGAAAACACACTTTAGACAATATTTTGCTATAAAAACTGTAGTTTAATATGTATTGTAAAAATATTTACTGTAATACATAAATTAATTAATGTTTTTGTTTGTTAACTATGGTAGTTTGCTAACAAAGTTTAGTTTATAAATAAAAAATAAATGCATTTTATAATCAATTACTCAATTAAAAACTGAAAATAAATTATTTTTAGCAAATGTAACCGATTTTGGGACGTATAAACTATTTATTATTATTACTATAAGAATAAAACAAAATTTAGTTTCCCGATTTATATCCCGATTTTGCCATTTTTTACTCCCGATTTCCCGACCGATTTTGGTCATTTTTACTCCCGAAGAAACATAGCTATAATAATAATAAATGAATGAAACAAATGTATGATAAAAATTGAAAGTGTATTCAGTTTTAACACATAATTGATGTACACTTTTGTGATGACCTTCTCTACAGTAAAGGATATGCATTGAAGTCAACACTACTATAGTCTATACACTACTAGTCTATAGTCTATAGTATCGGTCAACACATGCGCTCAGTTTGTCTTTGCCTTCATTACAGTCTTCAACAACTCATACCAATGTATGTATTGATTTGATTTGATTTTAATTCAATTATATTTATATTTAATTCATTTTAAATCATATTTAATGTAAATCTAATGAATTGAATGATATGATGAAAACAATAGTGAATTGCATTGAATTGAATGAAATGAATAATAATATCTAAATGACTGATGTATTGGCCGGCAATGTATTGCACTTATATGTCGGCCATTAATGCCTTAAACATAGCATTCAATTGAATTCAATACAAATTTCACTAAAAATTTTCATCAATTGATTCATTTCTTAATAATAATTATAATTTTATTGATTATATTTAAAACAGTCTTTTCGTATATTAATTGTCGTAAATTAAGACATCAATCATTAGAGATGGCATTCATGGCATTGAACTCATGTCAAATGGGTCTGACCCGAGCACTGGTATGTTGTCATAAATTGTTGATATTATAATCAATTAATCAATTTTGATGTGTTTGTCACAAATAGCTATTGAGGGGACAATCTATCCGACCTGTAGTGAGTGCCGTCAATAACAGTCCCGCAATGAACGGTCAGACATCAGTTCCGACCAACGATAAGATGGTTTGTCTTCAATTGTTACGTCGTATTCATTCAACTGCTGTTCAACGAGATATCGATAGTGCGGCCAAATTTATCGGTGCCGGTGCTGCCACTGTTGGTGTGGCCGGTAGTGGAGCTGGTATTGGTTCGGTGTTCGGCTCACTAATCATTGGTTACGCTCGCAACCCATCCCTTAAACAACAACTGTTTTCTTATGCCATTCTTGGATTTGCTTTGTCTGAAGCCATGGGTCTCTTCTGTCTTATGATGGCTTTCCTCTTATTGTTCGCCTTTTAATCAAATCATTTACATATTAATTATGTTTAAAATTGAATGATTAGTTTTTAAGTAATTATTTTTGTTTGAAACAATTTTTCAACAAATTGTAAAAATCGCGATTTTTGAATATATTATATTTGATTTGATTTAATTTTATTATTAAATAGAAATTTTCAAAATCTTAGGCACTTCTAAAATAACCGAAATTAAGTAAAAATGTAATAAAGTTTAGTTTTAAAATTTAATGTTTGCTTAACTGTTTTAAGTGAAAATTATAAATTACCGGTACTTTAAATAATGAAAGTTAAAGACATAAAACAATTGGATTATAGGGTATAATCATATTTTTATGTCTAATGCTATTTGTGACAAATATTGAAATTACAGAATATTGTGTTAAAATATGGTATAACACGTGTTAATGATTTTACTAATCGATAGCAATATCTTATCAACAATTTATAATACTAATTAAATTCAGTAATACTAATAAATAATGGTTAATAATATTTTTAATATACAGGTAAATACGATATTTAAAAAATAATTACAATTACCGGTACTGTAAGTGATGTTTATTAAAAAAAGTGAATAAAATGTTAACAACTGAATTGATATACTCATTAATGACTGTTTGGTATCGATTGACTAACTTTTGTACAAACACTAGACATGTCATCTCATAATAGCGATATAAAAGTTTTTGTTGAAGATTATTGAATCGTTACATCCATTGAGTCGATTTCAATGTGATGTCAAGTTTGGTAAATTTCGGTACTCTTGATCTTCTCGTTTTGATTTTTTTTTCAGTTATTTTTGTTGTCACCAATTGTTTGTTTCTATGTTTTTAATCAATTGATTATAATTTTACAATTAATTACTTTTTTATGAATTTGTTTTTGATTTATATTTGTTTAAGAGTCCAAAACTATATAAATCTTAGAATTCAAAATAAATTTATCTCTCTCTCTCTCTCTCTCTCTCTCTCTCTCTCTCAGCTCATTTAGTATTTTGATCCATAAGCGACTACATGTCTCAATAATAGGTAGTTTTGTTGGTAAGTGTTGTCCACTTTAAGTATTAGTTAGGTTGCAATTTTTGGCCAAATGTAAAAAGTTTGCCGATTAAGCAAAAATAACATAAAGAAAATTGTATTTAAAAAAATAAAATTTCAATAATTATATTATGATTCCTCTAAAATGTCTATTAATTATCTAAATAATAAAAAATCATTTTTATTATAAATTTAAAATTGAAAATAAAGTTTTTCTTACTTTCTTACACACTGTTAATGAAAATGGATAAAAAGTTGTTATATCATATATTTATAACTTAAAGTATTAATTAATAATTATTTTAAATGTATAATATTTTATGTATTAAATTTATAATAGTTACTAAAAAACCAAATAGTTGTGAGTTATTTATTTTTTAATATTTGCAAATAATTACATTAATTTTTCCATTTAATCGATCAGGTGTTTGCCATTTAAAATATTTTCAAATTAAGAAAAAATTCTCAACTGTTATATTGCCAACTATTCCTAACTGTTCCTAAAAAGCCAAATAGTTATTGAAATAATTATTTTTTTTATATTTGAAAATAATTTATGATTCAATTGTTTTTATCGTATTTACAATAATGAAGTAAATAAATATACTAATTATTTATATTGAATTAAAAACATTTTACAGTTTTATATGTTTTTATAGTATCAAAACCCATCAGTTATTTATATTTATAATAAAATTTCTGAAATAGTGTCCATTTATTATGTTCGGTGGATATACTAGTGTTAGACCTAAAAAGTTTTTAATTTTCATTATTAATCCTAAAAGTCCTAGAAATGGTGTATATTTTAAAATTTATATTAATTAAACTAAAATTATATTTAATTTCTAAAATATGTAAAATATACATGAGTTATATTATTTAATCAAATCATTAATTGAATTTACAAATACTTATAAATAAAATATAATTTTTTACATATTTATATACTTTTAATCTAAATACAAGTAATTTTGTTAAAAATGCAATAAAAGTCTACACCAACTTTATACTCTTTTCAATATTTTTTGAGATATTTTATATTTTACACCACTCTATACACCCCCAGAATTTATAATCTTGATTTAAATATACAAACAATTTTAATAATATTGAATCTATATGTATAATAAAAATTATTGAATTTATTATTTTTATTTTATAAAAACATTATACAAATTTATCATACACAAATAACCTAGTTGCACAGTGAATAATTAAAAATTATATTCAAACTATTAATAAATTTAATTAAATTGTAATTTTATAGTCTTTTTAAAGTTTTATAGCAAGTATTTAAAGTAAAATTTATTTATTCAATTTAATTTATAATTTTTTACTTTATAATTGTTTTATTTTAATACAATGAAATTTTATTAATACTAACTATAATCTAATTAGGATTTCAACTGATATTAGAATAAAGTTTTCAATATTTCATTCAACGTTACGTTAAATTGTTGTGTAATACTTAGTTTGAAAATAGTTTTCTAATTAGTATTAATAAGATTATCAATAATTTATTTCTATATTTCAATTTATTTTTTAGCAATTTAGTCATTTAGTTTTTGAAACCTTTAAGTGACAAAATATAATCTAATTTGACTTTTAGATTATTTATTTACTGTAAATATTTTATAAAAAATAATAAGTTTTTAAATTAAATTATCAGTATTTATTTTCAATTTTATTAAACAAAAATAAGTTCAATTTATATATATTTTTTGTTATATTATTTAGTAAACAATTACATATCAGAATTTTATTTGTTAGACTATTAAATTTATACTTAATTATTTACTAAGCAATTCAATTAAACAAAAGCTAACAATAAGTAAATTAAAAGTAAATAACAATTTTTGTGACAAAACAACTTTTGCTTACTTTTTTAGCACTTAGTTCTAGTCATTACAGTATAACTAATTTAATAAAAAAGAGTTTATATATATATTTAATATATTGTATATTGAAAGCTAATTGTGAAACACAATTTCTTTTTATGTTAAATAATTTCTATTATATTATCTAAAGTTGTATAAAAGTGATAATATCAAAAATAAAATAAATGACTAAATAAAATAATAATAATAAATAAGGAAATACTGAATAAACTAAATTCCTATCTAATTCTCTATTAATAAAAATATATCCTTTTTTATTATTTACTTTCAAATAATAAGACAATCATATGGTATTTATATATTATTAAAATATTAAATTATAAGATTATATAATAAGTTATCTTGGATTAGGTTTTATTAAAAATTATACCATTGTTTTTAAAAAGAGAATATAATTTATTAAACAATTTTTAATACACATGGGATTAAATTAATATTTTAAGAACATAAAACATGTTTTATTAAAAAATTAATTTGACAAAATAAAAATAAAAATAGTTTATATTAAATATTCAAAAACACATTAAACATAATAACAATAGGAAATTCCAAGGAAATTATTATTTATAAAAATATTACGTTTTCAAAGCTTTTAAGTGGATATTAATTGAAATGTAAAAAGTTTTTAAGTCTAATGTTTTAGCGCTGAGACTGAAATTTTCACTGTTTATACTGGATTTTCATCCAAAATAGTGCTCCACTTATTTTGTTATCCATGAAATTACAAGTTTGTCATAATATATAAGTTTATTACAATATGAAATAACTTAAAATTATACAATAAAATAACTATAAATGTTTTTATAATAATAATAAAAATCTTATTTTGATTTTTCTCTCCGTTGATATATATGTTAAATTTATATAATATGAGTTCAAAAATACGGAAATCTTGAAAGACATCAATGAATGATTAAAAAAAACTGTTTTCCTATTTTTCATAATAAATTGTGGATAATAGACATAAAAAACTTATTTATAACAATTTATTAATTATAAGAAAGTTAAAAAAGAAAGTTGAAAATAGGATAACTGTTTGAACATTGGGTTGGGTTATAAATGAGACGGCGTTTACTTATACGATATTTTAGTACTAAATTAACATTAATAGTAAAAGTGAGAGAAATATAATAATAATAAGATATTAATGTTAATAATACTTTTATAACAATTATGCTATGTTTGTATTGTTTCTATTTATTTGATATACAGTACACTAGCATTTATAAGTAACAACATTTGTCAACAATTTTAAAATAGATTTTATTAAATAAAGAGATAATGTAAGAAATAAAGTTAAATGCAATGATAAATATGATGTCAATCAAGTGCTAACCAAAAGTGGTACTATAGTTCATATGCAGTATGTTTTGGAAAGTATTGTTAAACATAACACTCCTTTACTCTCAACTATTATTAAACATTTAGATAATATTGTGGTTTATTATTATAAATCTCAAACAAAAATTTACTCAAATATGATAAGAAGTGTAAATTAAGTAAGTCTTTAAACTAATGATTTAACGTTCGCGTGAATGTCTTGTAATACATTTATTGTGTTAAAACTATACACAAGTGTATTACACACTAAAGTAATACATATTTAAAAAAACTATAATAAGTAGTGGATTTAATTTTTTTTTGTTGATATCAAATATATCTATATTTATAACAATTGTCGGACTCCTATATTGAAGAATGTGAACAAATTTCAAAACAAAAGAGAGAAAGAAAAGGCAATTAAAGTTTGAAAAAACTTTTAAATATTATATTATATAACAGTGAATGAGTACATCACGAAATCATTTTAAACACCCGGTTCTCTATTGTGAGAACCGTTTTGATGTTGGAGTGCAAAGTAGGCCAACCTTAACGAAAAGGCTCTCTAATAGAGATTGCTTTCATTTGGACGACTCGATGCCAAACCAGAAAATGCAGTTATAATCCACAAGAGATCACAATTCACTAAAGATTTGTATGTCATTCAAACCACATCTCCAGCAAATATATTCAATGCTTTATTTTTATTATTATCTTAAATATTTGTTGTCTTCTAAATAGTTAGCAAAACTTTTTTCTCATCATTTAATCGATAAATGTCTATAAATACGGAATTCATTTCTAATAATTTCACATTTTGTGTGCAAATTCTTTGGTATTCATTCATGTGATGTCTTGTAATGATTGATACATTGATTTAAAGAATGTTTTTTTCTATTTGCAAAAGAATTGCAGAAGAATTCTAAGCAAACAATTATTTATTCATTTATTGATATTTTTTATTTAAAACTAATGTTTGGATATTCTTAACGTTTATAAATGTTATAAAAATTAGTGTTATAAACCAAAACTGGTATATTAGGAATCGGATCCTAAATGGGATTATGCGAAGAAAACCTGCAGTTTGTTATAATATAATTCAATGTTGTCTAATATATTGCTTACTAATAGCTCTAATTATAGGTAATTATCATAAATCATATATATTTCTAATTTTTTTTACTAAGCTTTCACTGAATATAACTAAAGGCATGACATTAGCGACAGCATTGACAGCTCTCGGAAATTATACGGAAACGAAAAATGCCGGAATCGGTCCGTCCATTAAGTCATCAAAAGTGACCACAAAATATGTCAATACATCTCTAAGTAATTTGTATGAGACAACAATGTCTACACGAGTCAAGAGTCGTACTAAACGTAGTATAATTCAATTGGCGGGTATGATTAGATGTGTGTCGGGTATGATTTGATTTTATTAGTCCATTATCTTTATTAAACTATATATCTCAGGATGTGATCCATTAAGTTATAAGAGTTATGGCTGTTATTGTGGTTATTTAGGCGGTGGAGAGCCGGTCGATGTGATTGATAGGTAGAGATACTTTTGGACGCTTAAGTAGTTATTGACGGTTTGGTCATAAATCTAAATTTGTTGATATGTATAGTTGTTGTCTGGAGCACGACTGGTGCTATACGATGGCCTCATGTCCACAACTACTCATATATTTTGTGCCCTATCAATGGCAGTGTGTAATGCCCGGGTATGCTCGATGTGGTAAGTCATCAAATTTTTTTATCATTTATATTAGCAGCTCTAATGGATACTAATGAATAAAATAACCAATTATTATGACTGGTTATAAATGATAGGTGTAGTGCCATTTGGAGGCATAACCGACAAGTGCTCGTATCAGTTATGCCAATGCGATCGCGCTTTTGCCAAATGTTTGAGTCGTAATCCCTGTCCTATTGATAAACCTCTTTGTCAGTCATCATCAATAATTGCCATTCAAAACATAATTATTGGTTAACATTAAAAATATCATTTGTTTTATATTTCATTTGTTTGTTTAGCAAGAGTTTAATAAATGTTACACTATTTAACAAATAATTTATTTGGATTTTAATCATAATATTATAAAAGTGACCACAAAGTTAACGCACAACATATAGGCAATATAAACAACTTATTAAATATTTTTGGATTTTTAAATTACTTTTTTTTAAATATTTTTGAATATTAGCAGCAAATTATTAAATTTTCCAATATTTTTTTAATAACAACTCAAAATGTTAAACTCAGTGAATCCAATTATTTTAATAATAAATATGAACAACAATTTCTTGTGATATTCATTATTAAATATTTGTTTCCCAGTAATCAAAACATTAACAAAATTATGCAATTACTGACATATTCTATGTTTTATCAACAAAAAAATTATTGGAAATAATAAATTGTTGTTATGTATTTAAACATATATTTAAAAAATTATTTTAAATATAACCATTAAATTCTGTTATCAATGAATAGTTTGTACAATATATGTAGAGTTCTTGTAATTAATTATTGAATAATTATTATTAAAATTAATAAATATCTATTTAAAAAAATAGAAATAAAGCCAAAGTTGTAAAATAATTTTAAGTAAAAACTTCGATTTTAATAATAAAAATTTTAATCAATATAAAACTAATATTGTTTACATATTGATTATTTATTTCTTTATATAATAATTTTTTAAAATAAAAATTATATAAATAATTAAAATATATAAATATAAAAATGTTATAATACAATATATATTTGTCTATAAAACTTGTATGCCTCCCATAATGTTAACAAATCTGTTTTTATAACGTTTAGAAATATCGCTTTCAATCTTTAATTTAAATAATTTAATTATTAGTTAAATAAAAATGTTTTAAACTAAATAAAAACAAAAAATATTTATGATTTACCTTTCGTTGCAAATCTCGAGTTTGATTAATAAGAAGTGGAATTTTAGGTTCAATTTGTCTCATATTTTCAATAGCTGTCAATCGTTTGCTTTCAAAAAGTTTCGACCGATTAGCAGCTCTTTCGGATAAAGTCTCGATATGTTTCAGCTTTTGTGATACATTTTCAATGTATCTAATAATACAATATATTTGCCATTAGTTTATATCAAATCAATTATAATAAAAAAAATCATTACTTAGTGCTATCTTTCATATAATAAAGAACTTTCATTTTGGGTGTCATTAGTTTTGCTAAAAGTCTTTTGACTGCTTCAAGCATTGCTGAGACGCCATCAGGAGTTGTCAACTGTAACAATGGCGGAGCGTTTTGAAACTGATTGGAAGACACTATATCTTCATCGGATCGCAACTCAAATAGTCTCTGATCAAGAAAACCCTCGATCTGTTTGAATAAATACATTAATATAAATGTATTGATTTTTATATCAATTAAAAACATACTTCAATTAATTCATTAATGAAATCATTTCTTGAATTTGTATTCATGAGAACACTTTGTGCGTCCTCTCCTTTGGCAACATTTCCAATGTTATCGTCAGATGACTTTATTTCATCATTGGGTCCACTCGTTATATCCCAATTAATGCCATCACCATCACTGCCAAAATCTATTTGTTCAGAAGATAAGTCATCCTATAAGAAATCAAAAACAATTATCAAATAAAAATTATTGTCAAACCAACCAACCCTTTCAATATGAACGAAATCTCCGTTTCCAGTGGAAGGAGTCTCAGTGCTAGCCGTGTCGTCACCAAAATCAATGCCATCGCCAAAATCAATCTATAAATCATATAAATCATTAAATTTTTCAAAAATTAAATTAGCGTTACTATTGTTATTGTATTACATTATCATTGCCTGCATCTGAGTTAACACCGTTATCATCACTAAAACAAAGTGTAGATTTAAATTCTTCAATAACTTCGGGGACAATACCCGTACGATATTCAAAATAAGTGGTATTTCCCCTCTCAAGCAAATAACACAATACTTTTAAACAATCCATTTTGTCTCTAAGTAAACAAATAAAAATTATTTTAAATAATAAAAAAATAAATATTATTTTACTTTTTGAGAGTAAACGATAAGAATGTCTGATAATAATCTTTAACGAGAGATAATTCTGGGATTTCTTTATATATTTTATCCAATTTTGTGGGCAAATCATTGAGTTGAGCCGTTAACTCTTCTTTTATATTTTGTCCCTTAATTTACATAAAATTAATATACAATTATTGACTAATTTAATAAACTTTTATATAATAATAATATTACAGTAATTCCTAAATTATTTGCAGACAAAGTGTACTCATTTTTGTAAGCATTAGACTGTTTAAGACAATCTTCAACTCCTTTTTCACATTCTTCAATAGTTTGCTGACATTTAGCCAATTGTTTCTTAAGTGATGGCACTTCATAGTTAACATTGCGGATCAAACTCTGAGCCCAATCGGCTATATATTTCAATAAAAACTTTTTAATAAATAGTTTTTGTCGACAATCGATATCATTAAACAAATCAAACCTAAATAAATGCTATCCTTTTCATAGAGTTTTGTGATTTCCAACCAGTCTTTCATCCGTTGAGATGAATAATATCCGAAAACATTTTTTGACTCTTTTTCAGTCACTTTCAACACTTCCGTTATCTTCTGACAAACTGAATACTCGATGTCTAAAATATAATAATTTTTATGTCAATTATCATTTGATCACTATTTTCATTAATTTTCATTAATTTATATTAATATTTATAATCATCTGACATATTGTCATAATTTAGTCAACAATTCTTACAGTTATTAGACAACAATTGTGTAATATTATCATTGGGTGGCATGTCTTCAATTGCAGACTTGATTTTATTACGGATTTCTGTCAACGACTGCTGCCATTCCTTAGGACAATGTCTTCGACTTATTAACCAATCTTTCCATTCAATTGTAAACATTTTCAGTGATAAATATAATCATTATTTAGTGTCCAATACATACCCAACAGTTTATTGGTGTGAATATCAATGGGAAGATTACTTTCACTCATTTGTGACTATAATTATTGATAAAACAAATGATTTATTTAATTAAATATTGTATTAAAAGTCACTTCAATTGATTAAATGCCACGCATTTCATGCTTTACTCTATTATAACAATAATATTAATATTAATATAATACACATATGTTTACCATTTATTACATTAATTACGAACAGAGTATTGAAATTGTTTTTTGTTTGATTTAATTATATAATAACTAAACAGTGAATTTGCAGTATATTTTTACTTTTAATAAAATATTAATTGTAAAATTAGTTATCTATCGAAATGACATAATAATGATTATAATTATTACAATAACAGATAATTTGATTACTTGAATGAATGCATATTTTTATTAATAAGAAATAATTGCTAAAAATAATTGATTTTATGTATTATTAATATATCACTTTTATTCTGTATATTCCTATATATTAATAAAATAAATATTAGAAATAATTACTATTTGTACGGATAATTATAATGACTGTAATTATTTAAAAAACAAATCTTTAATTTTTACAAAATTCTTACACATCATTGTAATAAAAACAAATAAAAAAAAAATATATATATATATATATATATAAATGTAATTTATTATTTAATTACAATATTACACATGAAATATTCAAAAATATTTTAATGCTATTTCAAAGTTACTGATTAATATACAAATCGCAGTATATTGTAATGTATTATACTTTATTATAAGGTAATACATATTAAATTACATAAGTATTTAACAAAATATAAGAAAATAAGTATAATTTTTATATCAAATTAAAAATCAATTACAATAACAATAATAAAAATATTAATTTATAAAAATATAAAAATATTAATTAAAAAAATATTAATAACAGTAATAAGCAGTACAACATACAGTATAATAATTAAACAAAATCACAATTATTAATCTAGATTTGAAAACTTATATTTGAAATATAATTTACAATTATAATTTATATAATTATATTATATAAAATTATGTTGACTTGATTCACACATTTAATATACAAATTTTATATTTGCTAAAAATTCACAAAAATCGATATATATTTTATGATTCATACATAGAGTATATAATCGATTATTGAATAGAAAATCAGTCATCTATTAAATCTATTAGATTTTTGAGCAAATGATAAACTTTTCCTATTTTACAAATTTAATTATAACTTTTGTTCATAAGTTAAATATTCATTAAATCACTCAGTTATCAAATCTAATATTTGTTTTAATATATAAAAATGTCATTCAATATTAGGAGTTAAATCAATAAATTGAGTCAAAAAAATGAATTTCAAATATAAGCCATTTTCACAAATGATAACATTTTTGTGTCAATTGAAGACTTGGTTTCAATGATCAGAAGTGATTGGTTTTCTATCGTAAATAAACTGTGGATTACATAGAATGACATATTTCTTGTAGTGTCGAGCGGTTCCGTATAACAGTAGTCCTGATTTTATCGATAGGAAACTAAATATAATGGCAGGAAAATAGTTATATCCATACATATCAAACATATCTGCAAAATATGATAATAAAAATATATTGTATTAAATATTACCAAACAATTACTAAATTTATTTTTAAATCAAAACCTTGTTTTCGTGTTATAAATAGTGAGAGATAGACACCAAAGGCTACTAAAGAGCTGAGACAAACAATAAGACCCAATAGTTTAAGATTTTCGAGATTATCCGGAGTATACCACTCATCGATCTTATTCTTCAGATATAAATAGTTCAGATGAAACACACAAAACGAAAATATCGCTAATAATTGCAATTATTTTTAAAATAAATAATTATAATTAAATTTGATATTTCATTAAAAAATATAAACTCAAAGTTATACCAGTAATGAATCCCCAAAGAGATGCGTTATAATTGTTGTATTGTATGATAAATATCAGAAATATGGATCCACCGGACAGTATGCCAACCATAGCAATGGTTAGCTTACATATTACGGAACAACTGCTACAACACAACATTCCCCACAATGTATTCATCATTTCAAACATTTATTATCAAATATATTCATAGATAAAAAAAATTACATCAAAATATATATATATATTATAATTTTGTAGATATTTTAATTTTTTAACAAATAATAATCAATTTTATTATATTTGATAAAATGATATAATGTTAGCAAAAGTTGAGTACATTTTGTAATTAAATACTAAATAGACTTTCCTTTAATATAAAATACGCCTCACTTTTCATTTAATTTCAAAAGCACTTCAATTCATACAAATCATATAAAAATGACTTTTTTTTTGACACATTTATTGTTGGCTTAAAACATAACATTTGCTGTAATTTGTTGTGAAGTAGTGATAATATGTGTAAAATTGGTTGAAAATTGTTTTAAAAAATAGTTGAAACAAATATTAAATGCAAATGCAATGCATTTTTATAAACTTTTGACAACAGTTCACATATAGTGACGTCTAATGCCTTTTCATTTAGTTTTTAGTCAATGTTTACAAATAATTGAGTATTAGTTTAGACAATGACTGACACATTGAATGAGTGTTTAAATCAATGACCGAAGTGTATGACTGTATGTCCTAAATGACTGCCCATCCTATCCATACCCTATGCATACCCTATCCATAGATGTAGTACTTATAATGTGATCACTTGTTAACATAACAGTAACATTGATTAACAAAAGGACAGCCCATGTCTTGAATGCCATCCCTTAAGAGTTGTGTCTCATACTGTCATCCCTGAGCTCTACATATGAAACATAAAAACATCGATTGAATGGCTTTTTATGTGATATTAAAAGTGATGTCAAAACACAATCAATATAACAGAGTCTGTCTTATTGTTGATAACACAGTGCTATGACTCCACCCATAGATACTGATATTACCAGTGCTTTATCCAACTGTTCACAAGACATGACAGTACTGTGAATATCATGTTTAACAGCTGTCACTCAATTGGTTCTCAACTTCTTCTCGCAATTATAAACATCTGTTTGTTATTTAACTTATAAATCATATAAATTGTTTGTCAAAAACTTTAAGCATTTTCTAATAAACGACAATATATTGTATAATAAGTGCATTATTTTTAACACAAAATTCAATGTATTTGAAGACACTATTGTCCACACAAAACAAATATTAATCATCAATAGTATCACTGAATAGATCTCATTTGAATTGTCATAATCATCAAAATGTGTGGCGGATTCACGTGTACTAAGAATGCTCTGACGGCTCTTAATTTAATATATATCGTAAGTATTATTGTTTGACGACATTTGTCACAGACATTGATAATATCTGATTGATGACCAAACTGACCAAATGATTGTATATATGATATCATATATATAGTTGGTTTCAATTATCCTGATATCGGTGGCCGCCTATGGTATGGCCGCCAGTAAAGTAACGAGTATTTCGATAATCGGTGGTATCATTGCCTGCGGAGTATTCCTATTGTTGTTGTCGTTGTTAGGATTGGTTGGCGTCCGAAGTCACCATCAAGTGATGCTATTTTTTGTATGATATATCATATGTTTTAACAATGTATTGATTATAATGAAGTTGTGTCCTATTGTATAGTATATGGTTGTATTGTTCATCTTATTTGTTGTACAATTCAGTATTGCCTGCGCTTGTCTGGCATTCAGTAGTCAACAACAGTCACAATTGGCCCAAAAAGGTTGGAATACTGCATCCAAACGGATCCAACAGAAAGCACAAGTATTTTATGATTGTTGCGGTTATGAGACCAACAATACTATAAATCTGATACTTGACAGAGACTGTCCCAATGTATGTCTTAATAATAAAGATATTTGTTATCATATAATTAGATGATATGCTCTATAGGTTAAGTGTTGTCAAGATATAGACAATTGCCAAAACTCGTGTCATCCCTGCGCTCCTCAGATCAAAAAAGCCATCAAAAATGCATTGGAAATCTCAGGTTACGTCGGATTATTCTTTAGCTTTACGGAGGTATTAAACAACTTTTAATAACCAAATGATTATTGACTCTTAATGTCTATTATTATGTAACTAATACTAATTGAATGAATATCTGCCTTTCCTTTATTTACTAATAGTTTATCGGTGTTTGGCTAACAGTGCGTTATAGAAACCAGAAAAATCCCAGAGCTGATCCCAGCGCTTTTCTCTAATATATTAATATTTGAATGTTTTATTGCTGTTAACTTAAATTAAACTCTTATAAATTTTTAATAACTTATTCAATAATTACTATTATATGATATTTTAAAATACGGTAATTGTTTTTTCATAAATTACTAATATATTCATCTTTTAGTTTCAATTAATCAATTTCTTTAATTTATAATTAACTATTATTTATAAATTAGTTAATATTTTTTAGTTAATTTTTTACATTTACATTTAATGCCAAATGATTGATACTATTATTTTTTAGTTAATATCTGTTTGGTTTGCATTTAAATATCGTGGACTCAGAAATCCCGAAGTAAATCCTTATCATTATTTTGTTGATTGATTTTTGTCATAAAACTAGTCATTGTTTTTATAATTATAGTTCATTTCTTTACTAAAGAAATTTTGATATATTTATGAACCAATTTATGTACCAATTTATGATTTTTCATTATATTGACACTAATCTAATCAAATGTATTATATCATGTATTTATTTGTTAAAATTATATATTAATAAATGTTGAAACAATAAAACATTAAATGTGTTATACATTTACTATTTGTTATGTGTTTTATGTTTACCTGAAATTAATTTGATTTTCAACCAAACTAATTAAGGTTATCAATTATAACGACAATAATTATTATAAGTTTATAATAATAATAAATAAAGTATTGATTAATAATTATTTAAACTACCGGTATATCAAATAGTTGTATAATAGTTGCCAAGAAAGTCGAATAGTTAATGAAATAGTTATTTATTTTTAATATTTGAAAATAATAGCCTAATATTACATATGTTTTATGAAACATATTATGAAATAAAATAACAAATTATAAACCAAAATATTACATTTTTAATATTAAAATATTTAAAATTCTTATATTATAAAAAAAAAACTAATTGCAAATTAAATACAACAATACTTCAAATAATACAAACAATTATATATTGACAAAAATAAAAAGAATAATTATTAAATTAATATTTTGTTTAATTTCACAATTGTTACCATAGATTAACAATTAGTTTCTTTTTAAATTGAAACTATATATTGTATTTTTCTTAATTTATTAGGAATATTAATGGCTTTTATAGAATAATTAAGTAAAAATAACATTTAATTTAATTTTAATTAAAATTAACAATTTAAACTATTTTACTCTCTGGTATCAGCAAATTATTTTGCATAAATAAATTTAATGTATTATTAATTAATTTTTTCATAAAAGTTTACTATATAATTGAAGGTAATACTATAAAAAATGAAATTTAATTATATTTTAATTGTATAAATCAAACAAAATTGGCTTTTATATCAATTATTATTTTTAAATGTCTCTGTATTTTGTTAAATAAATTTAATTTATAATAATTTATGAATTTATATACTATTAAAACTACAGAATATTAATATTAATTACTAATATTTATAATTTACTCATTGTATGAATGAATGTTAGTTTTCAATATGAATTCAATGATGAAATGATTCAATCGATACAAACAAATGTGTTATTATATCAACACATAAAACATGTGTTACAAACATATTGTGTGAATAAATATAATATCAATAATAGATATAAATTTATTTATTGTATTGTATATCATATATCAAGATATTATTTTGCCTTATTATCACCAATGGCTGATCCCATTAGCTTATCTTATGATGACTTTGTGTCTACACATTCAAACCAATTGTTGTCATCAGATGTACCGCAAAAATTCTGGCCAACACTTTATCGCAAATTAATTACTGAAACATTTGATGCGGGAATTGATTTTAGGATAGAAAAGATTGTCTTTGAAGATACCATTGATGTCGATGTGATTAATGGAGATTACGAACAACAAGATGGTAATGACGACAATGTTGATGATAGTCACCAAACATATCGAGTCATTTGTATTAAAGAAGATGGTATTGAAGTGAACGGTCAGACCAGTGATGGTATATATCTTATCGATCATATGATTACATACAGAACTGAAGAAATTTGTAATATATTGATACAAAGCAATGGATTAATTGAGAGATTATGTAATTTATTTGAAATGAGTTGCGATGCAGATATCGACAACAATCTAGAGCTCAAGCAAGTGATAGCCCGAAGAGTGGCCAAAGAGTTGTGGAAATGGAACCAAAGCTATTCCATTGAGAGCCAAGAAGTGGAAAATTCATTACCCGTTTGGTATCTCATGGATGAGTTCGGTAGTCGTATCGGACACTCATTTGAGGCCAACTGCCGATGTGTTCCCTTTTATTTTATTCCCCAAAGAATTGCTTATTCATTACTATTTGCCAAAAGTAATATCTCTTTTGAAGAAGAAGTGACTCGTAATTATATCGAGGGATCACTTAATGAGGAGTTTACTGAACACAAGGACTTGTTATCTAAAGCATTGATGATTCCCTGGATTTACGATGACTTATCTCAAGTGGACTCAAACCAAACTGAACCCGACATCGCCTTCATTAGGAGGGGAAGAGTCGAGGAAAGTATTGTTGACAGCAATGCAATGGTTTTACCGAAATTACCTGAAAACAGAAAATTGAAAGTTTATTCTCAATATAAATATATTAATTCATATTTAACTAACAAATCATTTGAAATGACTGATCATTTGTCTGACGCCGATATCCTATGGTTGAGCACTCATTTCAAAGAGTTTAGGGAACTTCATAATGAAAAATCTAATGTCTTTATCAATCAGTTCCCATTTGAACACATAATTACTGTTAAAGATTTGTTTGCTATTGTTTGCAGACGTAAAAACTCTAGTGATTCCGTAGATGAGAATACTTTAGAGACAAGTCCTGAATGGTTGGCCACTACTTATAATTTGCAGACAGAGATTGTTAAGTTTGTCGCTTATTTTCAGAAGCGAGCAAAACGTCATTTGAATAATCTTTGGATTATAAAACCATGGAATTTGGCCCGAAGTCTGGACACAGTTATCACCGATGACTTGAATTGTATAATTCGTTTACGAAATACAATTCCTAAAGTTGTCTGTAAATACATCACCGAACCGGTTCTCTTTCAGAGGTCGGACCTAAACAACGCTTTAGTTAAGTTTGACATCCGATATATTGTTCTCTTGAGATCCATATCACCTCTCGAAGTGTATGTCTATAAATATTTTTGGCTCAGATTTTCTAACAAAGCCTTTTCTTTGGATAACTTTGATGACTATGAAAAACATTTCACAGTAAGTATTGATTTTTATAATCAAAGATCTAATCAATGTTTAGACAGTTTAGTAAAAATAAATTTATATTTTAAGGACATAATATCCCATTTATTGATATACAGTATATTAAACAATATTTATTATAATATATATATATATATATATGTGAGATAAAGACATAAATATAAAATATTGTTAATTTGATTTATTAGGTTATGAATTATAAAGTAAGACCAGAAGGAGATCTCACACCTGATAATCAACAAAATAACTCACAATTTAAACAAATATATTGTAAAGATTTTATCCAAGAATTTAACAAACAGTACGAACCAGACTATGATTGGAATACAATTGAAAAGGATATATACAAGACATTGAAGATTGCATTTGAATGCGCGACTCTTAGACCACCTCCTCATGGAATTGGAGATAATCCTCAGTCCAGAGCCTTATACGGAGTCGACATTATGTTAAAGTGGAAAACTGATAGCCAAACAAAGCGTCGTTATATTCAACCTGTTTTACTTGAGATGAATTGGGCCCCCGATTGTCAAAGAGCTTGTCTTTACTACAACCACTTCTTTAATGATATTTTTTCGACACTATTTCTTAAGGATTTTAATACAAAAGAAAATAATGTCATACTTTTATAATTATTATTTTTGAAAAAATCAATACATAAATGAATTGGAGTTTATTTTTAAATATTAACTTAAAATTAAGGCAATAAAGTATTTGATGGGCATTTGGTGTCGATATCTGAATAAATTGGAAAATTCATAACCAATTGTGAGCACTGGTTGTAGCGTTTAATTCGTGTTTCAATGAGTGGCCAAATCAACTCAAACATGAGTTGCGAACCCTTTCTCGAGAAGTGAAGTCCATCGCAAAGCAAGGTTTCATGATTTGGTTGTTCACTGAAATGCTTATAAATATCTAAGAACTCGATGTCATTGGTTTGTGCCACTCGTACTACTGCTTCGGCATATTTGCCAACTGTTTGGTTATCCTTCTTCGATATGGGTTTTTTCTTTTCATTACAAAACATAACCCATTTATGGTGACAATAAATAGGAGGTGATATCATAATTATTTTATCTTTTGTTATACCAATGGTTTCTAAATGATTAACAATGGCCGTCAAATTATCTTCAAACTCATTGATGGGCACATGTTGTCCGGACGGCGAATCAATATCATTGGCATCATTGGCACCCAAAAGAATGGTAACACACGAAACATCGCTAAAGTTCATCACTGGTGGGAATACTTTGTGTCCAATCATTCTTAAGTAACGACTGTTATAACCGGAGAATCCGCGAACTATGACATCACTGATTCTGTCACAGAATTTATATTATATTTAATGTATAAGTATTGCATAAATTAGTTGAAATGTGTTTCAGATAAACCTCTGCAGTCTGTCGGCAATCAGTGAACCCCAACAGCCCTCCTGTGGTTCAAAAGCTCTCTAATTAAGAAATTATCGGTTATTTAATAGATTTTATATTTTTTTAGTGAAAACCTGAGTTAAAGAATCGCCAAAAAGTATTACTCGATTCCAATTGTTTGCCATCAATGGATCAATTGATCAATAATTTCAAATCAATTAAAATTTTATTTAATAAAACGTTTTGAAAAGTTTATTTCAATTAATTAAACCATAAGTTTAATGTTTGAAATTGTATCATGCTAATTTCAATTTCTAATCACTATTTATTACTAAAATTTAATTTTTATTTTAAAAATTGTATTTTATTTGATGTCACAAATACTTAAATACAAACATATATTAAATGATATAAAAATTGATTTTATTTTCAAAATTGATATATTGTTAATAAAGTACTGTATATTTGAAATTTTGAATCAAATTTGACTAAATTGTTGTCAAATATTAGAAATGAATGTTTGAGTTGTGATACACAAGAGGTCACAACAATCGTTGAAATCATTTGTTGTTTGATTGCAAACGATATAACATTTTCAGCCATTAATTGATTGATTGAACAGATTGTCAGCAAAATGCTAACCAAAGCCCTGTTATTACAAACCCGTTACCAATTGATGCGGTCAGCGATCCGTCGGTCACATGAGACACACATCCCCGAGAAGTACGTCAAGTTCAGGACGGGTCATATGGACGAAGCATTGAAGCCGTCGGGCGATTGGAAAGAGGCCTATAATCGGCAACAAAGCAAATACAATAAGCAACTGATTGCGTCCATCGGCTTCTTTGTGGTCACAATGGCCTATATGTTCAACTCGGGTGACATTCAACTAGTATTGCCGCCGCCGTACAAAAATGAGTGATTAATTGTCGCAAACTATTAATAATTGAGATTTTATTTCAACAATACTTAGCTATTATTCATAACTTAATAAAAAAATTGTTTTTTCAGTATTTTAGTCATTTAGTAGATGTAGTAAAAGATATGTTAAATTGAATAAATTATAACAAAGTTATATTAAATATATTATTTTGTCATTTAATTAAATAATGATATGAAAAAACATTGAAACTTATAATTAAAATGAATACTCGATTTAGAAGTTGATTAGTATTTAAATGAATAGAAAATTTACATTTGATTTGATATTAACATATTTGTGTAAATAAAATGATAATTAAAATATAACTCATATTTAAAAATAAAAAGAACAATTAACTAAATTGTGATAAAATATTACAAAATGATTGTATAATTAAATGATCAAAAATATATATATATATATATATATAAATATATAATTTTTAAGATAATCATTACATTATGTAAAACTCATTTTTTTTGAGATATAAATTGTCACATAATGTGTCTGATAGCTAATACCACAATTAATTACAAACAGTTATTACTGTATTATACAAAAAAATTGAATTAAGCAATGGTTTGAACTCATCAGCAATTATTACCAAACATTTTTAGCATTTGAACTCTTGATTTGCCACTTATTGTGTGGAAAAATATAAATTATATATTTATATATAAATGAAATTTTTAATTAATTTAATTATAACATCTCATGTCAGACCATTAGATTCTAAATTATTGTTAACTATTTTATGTAAATTCCCGTTTGTGGTCGAAATTGTTATTATTTCTATTAAAATATAATAATTCATTAAATATGTTAATATATAGTATATATCTTAGAAGAAAATATACCATTAGATGAAACTGTTTTCTGTTGCTGTTGTTGAGTGACGGGACAGTCTTTGTGTGCGAGAAGTGCTGTCTTAAGAAGAGTGACTTCACGTCTGAGTGAAACCACTTCGTTCTGTGAAAAACAATATTATTATTCATAACTATAGCAATAAGTTATAAATGTGTAAAAGTATAGATTCAAGTCATACATTAAGTTTTTCATTGTGTCTCTCATATTCATCCGCCTTCTCTTCGAGCGAATCGATCCAATGTTTGCGTTTAAGACGACATCTCATGGCAGCAGCTCTGTTGCGCTCAAGAGATCGGGCCTTCTTTTCTTTGGGATCCTCTTCTGGTGCAAACTTACTCTTTCTTCCAGGTTTTGCTTTGGGTGGAAGTGAAGCCAAGGAGGCGTCAACTTTGCTTTGAACACTTGATGACAGACTAGAGCTCGATGTGATGGCAAGTGATTCGCTGTTTGTCACAGTTGTCAATGCGTTCTCTTTCGGTGTAATGTTTGTAACAGTTGTCGGTTGAAGTGATGTTTGATTGATTGGTGTTTGAATTAATGGCAACTGAACTGATCGACCGTCTGGAAGCTTAAGAATCACTTTATAGAGTGAATTATTGTTGGCAATTGTGATCGCATTATCAGCTTTTATTTTGGGTGCTATTATTGCAGTAGTTTTCTGAACGGTTTGTTGTGCGATTGGAACCGTTCGTAATTTAGTTGTATTTATTGTGTTTATTGTCTTAATTATCTGATGATTTGGTTTTGAGATAACAATGTTTGGTACTGTTTGAGTAATTGATATATTATTGTTAAGACTTATGTTAGTATTGGCCGTTCGAATCACTGGAACCGCTTGAAAACGTTGTCCTTTGATAGCAATACTTTTTTGACTTAATGTTTCGGTAGTCGAGTGACCATTTGATGCAGTCGTCACTACACGTGTAACCAAAGTAGTCATTGGTTGCAATGATTCATTTGAAGTGTTATTAATTGCGTCCACTTTGTCAATGTTAGCCGTGTTGGCACCGGTCGTATCCAATGGAAAGTCATGATAGGGTGTATTTAGTGCTGCGTTAACTATAGCCATAAGACCTTCATTCGGGAAAATCGATGGCGTATTGAGCGGTGAGTCTGATGTTGTAGTAGTGGTCAATATATCGGGTATTTTCAGTTTCGTAATCGGATTTTTCAATGCATTTTGAAATGACTGCGCAAATGGATTGCTAACGGAACTGGACTTCGAGTTACAAGTATTGCTATCTTCAGCGGTCTTCGATTGGTTCGTATCGTTCAAAATTGGTGTCAAATTTGTGATCTCTTGCATCTCTGAATTGAGTCCAACTGCTTCCCAATTCTGCAAAAAGTTGCCCAAAATTCGTGACGGAGTGGGTGTTTGGTCTGCTATTGTGAACGATGTCGAAGATATCGTCGGAAACTTTAATTTCATTTCGTGTCTCTTCTGGTGAACCATTAAGTGATCAATAGTTGAAAATCTCTTTTAAAATCAAAGATATAATGTATTTAAATATAATTGTTGTCATCAATGGCACCAATGGATCATTTAATGATAATCAACTACAAAGACATACCATAAGACAATCCTTATCGCTGCAGACAAATGGCTTGTCGTTGGTGTCAGTCATGGTGTGAGCCAACCATTCAATACATATCAATGTGGATCAACTCAAGTGATGTCTAATTGATGTCAATGTCTATACATTTACTTGTATTTAGTGTTTAATGTTTAGTATATTTTCAAAACTATGTAATTCTATTGAGTATTCATTAATGCATTCAATGTATGGCTTAATCTATACGGCAATACATTTTGCATAACAATAATAATGTCTACAGAGTGTCGCTTTCAAACTACAATATATATACATCAATAGCACTAATGTTTTATTTAATTTATATTTATTGTCCAAACTTTTTAAAATAACATTTCAATTATTTAGAACTTTATTTGTCTCTAATTTAATGTTATTTATCATTCAATATACTATTAATTCAATTAAATTCAAATAAATTTCCGAAAGCCTTACTCTCTATCGCTTTATTTAATACACAATTTCGTTGGTAAGTAGAGGTGTTGATTTACAAATCAAATTGATGTCAACCAATCGGGTGTCGAGATTTACATTTGAACACCTCTATTGTCATCTAAATTTATTACACAATGCGAGGGTTTATGCAATGCTTGCATACAATACAATCTACTGTCGATTTAAATGCCGTTATTTATGATATAATATAGACTTTGAATGCATTTATTTAATTATAATTAACAGAGATATGGCTTACGGACCATATGTTTGATATAATATACACTTAAAATCAAATTAATTATCAATTAATTTGATTTCATTTATAATTAATAAATATTATAATTATTGTCTCAATTGAATGATAAATGTATTGAAATGTACATCACTTGTCACATATCAATGACGACATCAATTGATTTGATTTAATACTGTATTGTATATGAAATGTCTAAATATTTAATATATTTGTTTGAAAATATTATGTAATATTTATTATTTTATGAATTATATTATTAATTAGTAAATGCAATGACAGTTATGGTTAGTGTATATATAGTAATAATAATATGAATTGTGATTATTAGTGGTAAACAATGTATTGTCAATATTATGATTGTTGTTCATAGATGTCATTGATGTGTATTATATGATATTATATGATATTATATGATAGAGTCAAGTGTTGTAAGGCATCCATACTATGCTATACTGTATTAATAGAGTTATAATATATGAATTGATTGTATATTTTGAATATTCCTTATATTCTGTATATTTTGTATGCAATTCTGTGATCTCATCTGAAAATAGAGTGAATATCTTAACACAAGAATCTTATATTAATTTTTTAATGTTTTGCTATTATATTAAGTTATCGCACAGTTTTAACACTATTTTAGTACCGATTCCTAAATATTGTACAAAAAATGTTAAATCAAATGATACATTGATTTTAACAATTAATATAATATGAAAATTTGACAATTGATTTGTTACATACATTGTGTTTCACTTATAACATGACGAATGACTTCAATATATTGTGTAAGCAATCAAATGAATATCAAAAACAAAACTTTTTATTAAAAAATTAATTTTAAAAATACATTTAGAGGTTATGTTCAGCTATTTTTGGCTCTAATTTACTATTAATTTAAAGTCTATTTATATTATTTGCTATTAAAATGCTTCAAAATTTGAGCAAAAAATAAATGCAAACAACAGTTATTTTTGACTTAAAATTTAAGTGTAATTTTGAATGAAATGTGAGGCACAACAACAAAATGCATACTAAATATCATTTAATTAATTATATTATTCAATATTATTGATATGTTATTGCATTTTATATACTTAGTTAAACATAATGTTGATTAATGTTGAGATTAATAGTGAAAATATATTGTTTTGATAATTGATTGTTTAATATGAATTGCATTTACATTGACTCTACAGCTCTGACATTATTATCATTATTTGCATTAATTATTGTCGGAATTAATGCTGAAGAGGAATGTCTAAGTAAGTGATGATTAACTTATTTGATGAGTAATTATAATATAAATGGTAACAAAAAATTATTGTCATTAATGTCCAGAATCTCGGGTTTGGTGTTATGAGTGCCAGTCTTGGAGTGACAACCGATGCGCCGATCCGTTCAATGTATCGGTTGAACAAAATATGATGTCTTTATGTGAAGGATGTTGTGTTAAAATAGTGATGAATAGAAACACTCGTGAGTTATTAAAGTTATATATATATTATAGAAATTATTAAATATATAACTATTTATAATTGCATCAATTAATTATAATTCTAATCAATTTGTTTTTATAATAAAACTTTAGGTTAATATCAAATATTTAATAAGTGAATAAAATTTATTTTAATTTTGTTTTTATGAGTTTTGGAAATTGAAATTTGTATTATAAAAATTAACATTTTTCATTTATTTAATAATTAAAAACAATAAATTATTACTTGTAGTGCAATGAATGTAAAGCTAAATTGCATGCAATTGCCATAATATTAAGGTAATTAAACGTAAATTAAATAAATTCATTTACAAAATAGTTTGGGTTTTCTTAAAAATGCTTTTAAAAATTTGAGATAATCAATATAATTTTAAGCTTTTTTAAAAATACGTAAATTTTGCATTAGCTTTTTTGAAATAAATGTTTTTTAGCTGCTTTGCAAATGAGTTTATAAATAATTTATTATTAATAAATTAATACAAATAAATAAATAAATAAATATTGAACATACCTTTTAATTAATACTACGATAACGTATTCATCAACCATTAGAGCAAATTATATTTTTAGTTTTAGTTTAAAAAAATAACAAAAAATCTATTATAATAGAGTTGTGATATAAAATAATAGTATCAGAAAAAGTATAAAAGTATAAATGATAACATTTTATTAGTTTAGGTTTTCTAATATATTTATCTCATTTTAGTTCATTTAAACTTTTATTTTCTTAAAAATGCAATTTTAGAAAATAAAAAATTTACTGAATTTATATATACTGTATATAAATATATAAATATATATATATATATATATATAGCTTATCAGTCAGTACGACGAACGTGTACATCGAAGATCCAAATAAATCTCTTTATGGTAGACCACGTCTGTATGGAAGAATCTGATGGACACGGTATGACCATAGATGACAATTAGATGACTATTAGATGATATAATTTAACTAATTATAAAACTATTGTCTGAGTTTAGGGCACATGTGTTTCTGTGAGAGCGATGCCTGTAATTCAGCCAAAACTCTAAACCAAAACCTATCGAAATACTTCCAAATTGAATGTCTAATCAATTACTTGATTCCAATTGTCATCTTTTGCTTAAATCATTTAAATCGGATATTATTGTGAAATATAATAATCAAAATACTTTATATAGTCATCAAAATCATATAAATTCTTTGTACAAAATCATTGATTGACCGCAAAAACACCAAAATGATGATAAAACGCGAAACAAACTGTTTTATCATGAATTTACAAACAGTCGATTACAATACTATTAGTGTTTTATTGATTAGACATCAAGACATCATCACAAATGTCTTTAATGTTATATATTTTATAATAGAAACGATTTTATGGTAAATAACTGTAAATAGAAGACTATAAATACAGTTATTTATATAATAAGCTGACAATTCATATAACAATATAGACTAATAAGTGATGTTTTTGTATTTAGTGCTGACTCTACTACTACTATAAAGTTCATTCAATTTTAATCTATATATTTATCGACTATTATTTAAAGGAAATATTAGTATATAATATTTTCAATGCATATTTTTAGTCGATTTTTAAGTGAATGGACGCCAATCCATAGATTTAATGCTCAAAACATCTAAATAACATTTTAAACGCTTTTATATAAGTTTTAGACATTCATTCATACAGTCAGTCAGTCAGTCAGTCAGTCAGTCCTATCTCTTGTGTCGATAAATGCGATATAAATGACAATTACATAAATTAATGCACAAAAAAATACATTAATGGTTTCTTTGGATTTATTACTATTAATAAGTAATAAAATAAGGGAATTAGAGTATAACTAACTTACCGTATGTTAGATATTAAATAAGTAGTGAGTTTTAAATCAAGTTTGAGAAATATACAGTACAGTACAGTACAGTATATTATAAAATCTCTCTAAATATAAATTATTATACAAATACCGGTACTGTTTATACTGTATAATACATATGTATACCAATTCTATGCAAACATTATATCATTATATATAATGTTTAATTATAATACAACTAACAATTAATTTGAACAAAAAAAGCAGCAAGAGCATTTATATTATAACTAATATAAAACTATATAATGTATGATTATATAAATAAATATATTGTAATTTTAAAATTATATAATTTAAAGATAGGACAATTATTTAATTAATAATAAATTTAATGTTATTGTTATAAAATAAATAATAAAGATAACTTTAAAACATAATATTAAGTATTATTTTATTCAATTATCAAATTATATAATTATAAAAATTATAGACATTATCATGACTTATGAATATTATTTATTAATTAAATTAAAAAATAATTTAAAATATTAAATATGAACTATATTTCTTATTAAATTACTAAATTTAAAAAATGGTTTTCATAGATGAACTTTAACTAAATTTATGTAAATAATTATTATATCAAGTATTAAATAATTTAATTAAATTTTCCATTTTAATATAAATATATTTTTTTGTTCTAAAATTTATGTTAATTTTATATATTGATAATATAGCTCAAGTATATACAGTAGTTATAACCATTATAAAAATAATTTGTATACACTTTATACAGTGTGTATAACATAAAGCGGAATAAATAAATCTTTAATTACTCGAAAAGTATTAGAGATATTTTAAGCAAAATAAACTAAAAATAATAGGGAATAGTTAGGGTTTATGAATCTAAAATTTAATAGGTGACACCTCCTTTAACAATAAAAATACAGGTTATTATGTTTACATGTAATTTACATAAAATTTTCGAAAAAAATGATTTCTACAAAAATCTGGCCTGGATATTTTTTCAAAATTTTTACATTTTGCTTTTTTTAGTGACTAAAGTGCAAAGAAAGTGTATTCAAATCAATCCTTAAAAGCATTAGTGAAAAAATTAAAAATTCATAAAATGTGAAATTTTTGATTTTTTTGCATGTATTTTTGAAACTTGTTCCCACCTCCTTAATATTAAAGGAGGTGTCACCAAGTAAATTTTAGTTTTATAAACCCTAATTATTTCAGATTATTTAAAACTTTATTTGCTTAAAATATCTGTAATACTTTTCGAGTAATCAGTTTTATTTATTCCGCTTTATCTTTGTACTTGCATTACAGTAATTTATAATTATATAAATTATATAATTATATATATATATATATAATTTGTTATTTATTTATAAGCACAGCTTATTTTTAAAAATAAAATAATTAGTTAAATGTTTCTCAAATTCTGATATCAATTGATAATCTATTGATAGGTTGGCTAACAATTGACTTAATATTACTGTACTATACTATATGTATATAAACAGCTTAACTAAGTTAGAGTCTATGTTAGGATCTGCCAATCAAGTGATGGTTAGTGTTATTGTAGCGGTCATTGTCTTATAGTTAGGGAAAAGTTGTTTTCACTGACGAGTAATTTTATACTCATTATTATTATTAAAGTTATTGTAATTGAAACCAATGCCAGTCATGGACTCGCTATCTATCTATCAATAACTTGTTTAGTAAGCAAAATATAAGTTCAGGCGAAGAAAATATATAATTTTCTCAATAGTATACAGTAATACATTATATCATAAAAAAATATTTTATTCTTTATAATATAATAATTATATAATGTATTTAAATTTTATTTTACTATTAACTTTTTATTTGCTTTATTTAATTCTCAGGTTTTTTCATTCAAAATATTTGTACATAACTTAAAATATTTGTTGTGTTTTACTATTTTGGGAAAAATAAAGTAAATTTTGAGAAAAAAAGAGTTGAAATAAGCATAAAACGAGTTTAAAATTGAAAAATAAATGTCACCATAAGTTACATTTGAAGATTATATGTGTTTTCATATAAACATCAACGTGAGAGCACCTGTACTATCACTGGCATCACAATTGGTTAAATGATGATAATCTTTACGATTTATCTTCATATGATATTTTAATAAAACCCTTTTAATCTTTTTATTATATTTTATTATATTTTACTTTATTTTATTTTGTTTTGTTTGGTCAGTTATTTAATTAAAAACGTCTTAATTATTAAATGACTATTTTTATTCATTAGCTTTAACTAGAATTTATTTGTTTCAATTGAATTATAAATTAATTTTGTAGCAATGTATAAAATTTATATTAATAATTTATCTTTATTAATAAATAATAATGTTCATTAAAATCAGTAAAATGCAATGAGTTAAAGTAATTTAAAATTTAGCTAAATATTAATGTTAAATAAGTATAGAAATGTAATTTATATTTAGATTTATTTGATAAAGTATAAATTTTTATTAATATACTGAAATAATATTGCACATCACTAATGCATCATTACTTTGATAACTATAAAACCATAGCAAAATTTTATTTGTTTTAACGATTTATGTTTAATTTTTTAAAATTCATTTTATAGTATGCCGTTAATAAAATAAATGATTTATTAAATTAAGAGTGTTTTTATATAGATAACAAATTCATGAAATAATAAACTGACTCTTATAGACACTGATAACAACAATGACATAATCATTAAATCTTAGTATAATTTAAATCATAAAATTTAAATTCATTTACACAACGTTTTTGTTGAAATATTTTATTGAATTAAATATATTTTTTCTATTTATTAAATTTAAAATCCCCCTCAAAAAGTTGTTTTATTATATTTTACAAGTAAATAATAAAAATAATACTTTAATTTATTTTTTTAGTTTAATTCCTATAATAATTATTTAGACAAATAAATTATATTATGTGTGCATAAATGAATGACAAAAATTTGATATTTAAAAATTTAAAATCTATTTGCATTTAAAATTATTTAATATTATAAACAGTAGTATAATTCATACTAATGAATTGATATTTATGATTTATGATACAATAATTTTATGAATTAAAAAGTTGACAAATAGTAAATATAATTTATATAATTAACTTATATTATTGTAAATACTGTACTATATTATTAGAATATAGAAAAAATTAACAAAATATAGTTTAACTTGAAATTAAAAAATAAATAAAGTATGATGAAAATAAATGTATATTTTGTAGTTTATTTTCAATATTTACAATTTTAATTTTTTAGTGCTTAATAAATACTTTATTTTTGTTATAATAAAAAATTTCTATGAGATAAATAATTTTATGAGTTATATATTTATATTGTAAATATTGACAAATACTTGTATATAACTGGGCGTTTTCTAGGTTATTTTAAAAATACAAAAAATTAAGTTTTCAATTATTTATTTATTTAAACATCTACAAAAAAGATAAATTTTATATTTAATATAGTTTTTATTTTTTAACAATATTCATGTATTATTTTAAAACAATATTTATTATAATATACAAATTACAATATTTGTGTAATTTTTTTTTTTGCTACGAATACTTAACTAATTTATTTATCTATTTATTTATTTAATTTTTCAAAAAAAAACTTACAAAATGAATTCCAAAAATAAGTTATTAACAAATTGTATTAAATTTACAATTATTTTAAATGGATAATTTTCAATACTAAAATAAATTAAATTTAAAAGATATATAAATATTTTCTTATGTGATATGTTATCTGAAATAAAATTATTTAACAAATGATATTTAATTATTAATTCTAATATTAGGAAAAATCAAAGTAGTATTGATTAAACACTAATTCATTAGAATCACAATTTCTTTTATAAAATGATAATGATTTCAATGTATTTTTTGCAATGATTATTATATAATAATGATTTCTATATAAATTATGATATTTATAATATATATATATATATATATATATATATATATATATATCATATAAATTAATATTATCAATACATATGATCTGAAGGCACTATATATTTTGCGAGACTATATAAAAATTTTGGATACCAGTGAACACCGATTTGATTGGACGACACCATCTCATCTCTTGACTTCTGGTCTCTTAACAAATGAAGATAAGAGGCCATTGATATAATGGTATCTTTAATTGATTCAAAAAGTCTGATTGGTATGAATGACATGTGAGCCACACTCTGGTCATTGATCACTGCATAACACGAAGCGATTATATTATTTACGACCAGATTTCCGGCCCGAGTTAACGGTGCAAAAGCACCAGTCGATACTCTGGTGCGAACATTGACGACACGGTCCAGAAATGTATAGTGTTTTTCATTTGACTTTTGAGTGTTCACTGTGGCTGTCATTGTTTGGTTATCACCCAATTTGGAGGTATAGAGGAACTGATCCGTTTGCACACTCCTTGCATACACCGCTCGAGTCATTTGCCGACTCAATACTGTGGTGTTGTCATCGGAAACAAATATCAGATGAGACGGTGTCAGTGATATCTTAGCGCCGGACTCTGTCTCGATGTCATAATATAGTTCATTCACATCGGGATTTCGGTCCAAAAAGAGTAGGACTTCACTGAACTGCATATTGCCGTCTGAATTAATGGCCATTATTTCATCGCCTACTTTGACATCTTTAATAGGCAGTACACCATCTTTTGTATAGACACTACTGGTGCCATCAAAACAACCACCAGAACGGGTAGCGTCGGACTTCTCTATAAATACATTTAATTACAATAAAATTGTTATCAATTAGTTGATTGTCTCTTTAAATATCTATAATATATTTAACTATTTTGTGGTCACCTAATAACGTAGTCTATCAATAATAATATTGTGAAAGCAATTAAATTTGTGCCCAAATTTTTAAGATATAGAGAGGCGACAGCAAAACACAACATAAATAAGAAAAGTAAGTAAAACTTTTTTTTTAGTTTTGCAAATAAAAACTAAGCGATGACTATAAAAGTGGTTATATTTTGTTTAGTGAATATTATTGCACTGGTATTGTATGTGACATGAGTTGCATACATATAAGAGTGAGGATTATATGGTCTCCTAATTCAAAGCGATAAGAGGTTGCAAAGCAAATGGCATTTTAACGGCCCATTCAACACAAGGGGACAAATTTTACAGCAGGTAATTGAGTCCTACCCGGGAGGTAACCATAATCACTCATCAAATAAAACTATATATATTATACGCAATTCTTGTATATTATAACCATATATTGCAGTCCTAACTATACCTACTGTATATAAATATATTATATATTATTTGATAGTAAAATAGATTCCTATGAGAGCATTGCGTCCTTTTAAACATTCAAATTACTTTATATATATCAAGTTTGGGTCCAATATATCTCATAATGTCCTCTAAACAACAACAACAAGGAATGCAACCGTAAATCCCACCGTTTCCTAAGTTTTACAACCAGTCCAACAATTATAGCACTACTATATACCATATATACACATATATATACATATATACTGTATTGGAGTCGATATGATTTGGTCGTCAAAATGTCATGAGATCATGGATTGGGGCACTTCTCACGCCCTCACTGTCACTATTAGTTCAATTATTGCAATAATATCCTCAATTAAATCTTTTAAATTTATTTATTGAGACAATATTTTACTGATTGAATTCCCACCGCTTATTCATAGTTTTCCAATATTTTTTTAAATGATAAAATACTTTTAAAAAGTTAATTTAAAATAAACAAAAGATTATATACACAATCTTTTGATAGTAAGATATATGAGTTGAATGTAAAATAGTAAAAATTCAAAGATCAATAATATATAAATGTAGTCAAATTGAATGCAATATATTTACTATAATAACAAAGTAAAACACCAAAACAAAAATTGATTAAACAGTTTGTCAAAAATTTATAAATGTTTGTTATAGCTGGAGATGTAAATAATTGGATAAATAGTTGGCATATATTTCTAAACATTAGGTAAAAGCTATGGGGAGTAACTGATAAAAATCTGTTCAATATATGGACGCTTAGTACTACTCAATATATAACTAAGTTGGCCGACAAAGTTCACAGGTTGGGCACGTATACTAAACATAGGTCCCTTAGCTTACTATGTTTAACATATAACCATACTGTGTATATATAATATAGTATATTGAATATTGTTATGCATACAAATGGTTTGTCCATTATCTGAGTGGGCTTTAAGAGAGGGGCAGTATTTCACTCAATGATTGATGGATTTACAAAATTATTTGTAAAGAAATTTAAAGTAAAAATCAATTTCTGGCTCTTTTAGCTGTAAATCAAATGAAAAATTATAGCCAAAGACGTATGACGTGATAGGCTGTGATGCTTGTGATGCACGGCATGACACACACCAGCCCTCAACCGGCATAAGACTGTATAGTATACTATGATATAGAGAAACAACACTCGTCTATAAACTGTCGGTCCATTTATAAGATTCTTAAGTTATATATTACATATTCATTGTATATAAAAGTCAATTTGTTTATATATTAAGAGAAAATGGGTATTGGCTTAACACTGGTATACTTGCATAGGGATACAGGAATATATTTGCAATAATGGTAAATATAATTTGTAATACAAAACTTGTATACATTTTTAGAAAAAAGGTGCAGCGCTTACATATAGTAAACATATAAATAGAAGAGCACCGATAGAGACCAGTTATCTAATCTGATCCCTTCATATCATATATACATATGAATGATATGAAGCAATAACGACATAAAGACCTTTGCTTAACACTCAAAATACATTGAAATACATATAAATCTAAATAAACAGTTGTGTTTAAGTGGTGTTCCTTTCATTTACACAAAATTATTGCATTCACATCATTATAAAAACTAAGATTTATAGTCATAAAAATAAATATGTTTTCAGTTTCTATTTTTTTCTTATCATTTCGATTTAAGATTAACAATAATTTTTGATATACTGTATAGAGTCATAAATTAATGAAATATTAGATTTTATGGTCATAACAATTGTTAAATAAAAATTATGGATTATATTACTAACCGGACTTAACGGAGCAGTGAATATGAAATCGAGATTCATAGTAAACCCAATCAAAACCGGCCTCAACGGCAAGTCGGGCCAGCATACCATACTTGGATCGGTCCCTATCACTGGTTGTTATATCAACAGCTCTGCCCTCATAATGAAGTGAATCGATGGCGTGATGTCCCTCTTCATCCCATCCCTCAGTCACTCTAAGTTTAACTCCAGGCCATTGATTCATCACCGAAATGGCCAAAGTGTTTAACTTCTCCTTCAATCTCTATATTTAATAAAATAATAAATAATTTTAATATTTATTTATTCTATAAATAGGAATTGTATTCAATATTTGATATATTTATGTATTTGTTTATTCGTTTAAAAATATGAAGTAAATTAATTTTAGATTTGTTTTTATGTTTAGTGTAAGAAAATGATAAAACACTTAAAATATTTGTGTTTTGTTTGTTAATATATTGTTTGTAAAGTATGAATGAATGAAAATTTTCATAAATAAAGTGATCTATAGTTTACTTATTGAAGAATTATAAAAGGGCTGTAAATAGGGATAAAGTGATAGAAATAAGAATATGTGAAGAATATATGAATTTATATATAGTATGGGATATACATGTATTTATGTTTTTCATGAGGAAAGGTAGTTGAGTGGTGTGTTTGGTAAGCTGTTAGCTGTCACGACAAATGGCTTTGGCTGTGAATCAAATGCTTTATTTATTCACAGGTGTACTCAACAAATGTTTTGATAGACACGAAAGACACGAATATACACCACTATTGCATTGATTCAATTTATTTTAATATTTGGTGTTATTTTAGTGAAAACCCTTCAACAAAGGTGGCCAACAAAAGACCAATCACTTATAGATTAGAGGCCAACAAAATCAGTCAATAGGCATATACTTCGGCGGCCTTTTCGGGCATTTGGTGTTGAGGGCTAAATCTGAGCTCTAATAATGGATATCTATTGTTATTTTAATCACATACCTATCGCACAAACTATAACTCATGAAAAGCTCGTTTTACAAGCCGTTGCCCACTAATGGCAGTTCAATGCAATACTTTTGTTTGTCTTTTTGTGGTCAACACTACCTCTCATATCGACTTAATAGAAATTGTACTAAATATACAAACAGTTTATATATAGACCATCAACTTAGTTATAGGGTCTACCAATTTGGTCTCAAATATTTGTGTTCAGTTAAGCAAAAACTAAGTAAATGTATAAATTGAATATAGTATTGAAAAAAATGATTTCAATGTCAAACAGGATGTTATAAAAGCACTTAAAATCTAAACTTCAAACAATTGGCCACAAATAGCCAAATCAACCGTTTTTTCTTCTTTGTGTTTCCGAAACCAGTTTTCGGTCAAAATATATCAATGATTTTTTTGGTTAGTTATTGCAAATGGTTGGTATATACAGAATATTACTGGTGTTGTATGGAATTGTGGTTATGGATAATGGATAGGGTATGATAAGCAAAGAAGTGACCGCTTCTAATGGTAAGGAATTGAGAGTCACTTTTGGGAATCGTTGGAATTCAAGCCCTGAAGCACACCAGCAAAAGCACATCTATTGCTCACTTCAAGTGGATGTCGACCAAAACACTGGGATGGGGTGATAGAGACCGTGGGAATCGAGTTGTGAGGGATGTCTACTTTAAATATTACAACTAAACCAGAGAACAGAGAAAAACACCGAGAGTAGAGTTTTGAGTTGAATGCTGTTAACGTAGGCTCAGGTAAGTTAAAGTGAGGCGATGTGAAGTAAGCTGAGGGTGAGGGTAGTTGGGGGTGGTTTGAATTGGATGCCACAGTGGGTGGCGATTGGCTTATGTCTTGAAATTAGGACAATAAAACTTTTACGCTTTCTTATCGTTTGAACAAAAGTTATCAGATATGCCATACCTGTGCTCTCTCTCTCTCTCTCTCTCTCTCTCTCTCTCTCTCTCTATCTATCTATCTATCTATTTATCTATCTATCTATCTATTTATCTATCTATCTATTTATCTCTCTCTATGTCTCACTCCTTGTAATTTGCACCTTCCCGCTAGCTCAGGGTGACCACAGTTACTTTTTTGGTGCACAACCAGCACCTCAGGCACTGATATAATGGGCATAAAGTATACTCTCTGTGTTATTGCTTTACTTATACTTACAATTTCTACACTACAGCTAATCATTGTTAATATTAGAGGTGAAGAGATTATATTATATATATTATTATAATTATATACAACACGAGAGAGAGAGAGAGAGAGAGAGAGCAGGAATGGGAGACTCATGTACTCTAAGTCCAAACAAGAGCACAGGGAGTGATGGGAGAAGGAGGGAGAGAGAGAGTACACGCTTGCGCTCAATCCTCAAAACTTTACATCATTTCAATCATATTTTCAATATCAAGTTTATCATTGATTGTATTGATATTATTTTTTTTTTGTATACATTTATATTTTATATATCATATAAAACACCTAATTGTTAGTAAAGTATAAAATATAATTAATAGCAAAACATGTTTTCAATTATTAAAGTTTATATTTTTGTGAATAACACGAATAGGAGTCAAATAATTAACACCTGAACTCTAAAACCTTTGCAAAACCTTTTCAACTCAGACATCATTTTTCAATAGACAATCTAATTATCACTCAATGGCTAAAAACTTATATCAAATGTATAATTGGAAATGAATTGAGAAATTTTAAGAATTATTTTAATTTTATTTTTACTTTAAATACTGTATTAAAATATAAACTTTTAATAATAAATGGTATTTTTATTGAATATAATGTAGATTTAGTAGTATTGGATTTAGTTGTATTGGATTAGATTTAGTTTTATTTTGTAATATTATATAATTGAAATAATAAGACATACCTGTGTCATGAGTCTATCAGCTCCAGTTCCCTCTTCATCTTTGAATATGATGTCTGGATTATAGTTTGGCACTAATTCTTTAAACCTTTGGTGATCTTTGGACACTTTGCCGTCTGGTTGTCCGCTCGCACCTAAAGTATTTTCAGATACATTGGGTACGTGTTGTTTAAAGACAAGAGGAGTTAATTTGCGAGGACTTCGACGTCTACCTCCACCTCTTCCCGGACCACAAGCATGAGTCACATCAAGCAATAACATTATAATTAATGTTAAAGCTATGGTTGTTTTTGTTGGACACAATTTGGTCACTGAATAGTTTCTGTGTCTATGTTTCACAGTTTTGTTAGAATTTGCCGAAGAGGTGGCAGAGATGAAGGTTTGTCCAAAAGACACACACAAACAATGCATACAATGAGACAATGGATGATCAAAATTGTAAAGATAATCGATGAAAGTTTGTTGTTTTCTATGACATTGGCTTCTATTGATGGGCCAAATGAATGGCCAGTTTGGCCTCGGAGTCGGCATATCATATGAGATGTGATGTGTTGGAACAATGGCTGTAAAAATTGAATTAAAAAAAGCTTTTCATTGGAAGAAGAAGTTGAGGTGGGAAGAGAAGTGATGCCACAACTAAACAACCTGTAGGCAGGTTTGATAGGTATGTTCAGTCTAGAGAAGCACACATACAAACACATTAACAAACATCCAATGATGTGTTAGCAGATGTACCTCTCATACCTCTAATGTTTTCCAATAAGTTTATGTTTGCCATCGTTTTAACTCAACTTAATTACAATCAACTTATATAACGACTAACGAGTCCCGACTCACACAACATAACATGTTATCATCTTATGGCCGGTTATGGGCACTCTTGCAATCATCATATATATATACACACTATTAGAATATATTGTATTTATACAGTATATACAGCATATATATATAAATACACAGAAAACAGTATCTATTGGAGAGCACCGAGAAGTTAACCACTAAAATAACCCGAAGGCAGTCCCGATCACTAAAATACTCAATGTTTGGAGCAAACAGTTAGACATAAATAAAATGTTTAAAACATTTTTGCGAAGAGCACTGCATTAGTAGTGGTCATCAATTGCCAACAGTTTGAGTGTTAAGAAGTAAATTCATTTTATTATTGATTTCTTTTAAAAACATTTGTCCAATCATTAGACACATAACCAATACTTGACGAAAAACCATAGCTTACATACCTGTAATGCCAACACACTTAAGGGGTTTGGCCTATTGGTAGGAGAAAGTGCAAAGGGTTTGACCAACCAATCCATGTACTCATAGGTATTAACATTACAACAATATTCTGTACCATATATTCTGTATTACAAATAACACGGTGTCTAACACATTGACAGTCAATCTAATTGTCAATTATTGACAACAATTCAACTGATACTACACTTGGAGTCAATGTTCAAAATACTGAGACCACAACTAACTTGTATTTCACACTTTCATACATCTTAATGGTTACTAATGATTAATAAAATACACACACATTTCACTATCACCTCAAGGCTTACTGTGTTTCATAACTCACATTATAAAATCAAATCAAACACTATATAATATAATTGAATTTAAATATTGATTTTTAAGCAAAATTGCATTATTAAGTTAACTTAAGATAAACTTTATGAATCAATGATACCAACACTTGTAATCACATAAAAGTCAACAATGTTTCAACAAAGTTATTCAATATATATATTACTGTATTTGAAATATGATAAACAAGAGAAACCACTAATACACAAGAGATTAGTTACTCAATAATATGTTTGATATATTGAAATTCATGAGGAAATCCAATACAACAAATGATAAGCATTTTATTGATAGGTAATGATAATGACCACAGATATAAATTTACAGTAAATATTGTACTGTAGTTACAGTATATGTCATTTTAAGTCTTTTAATACTGTATATTGTATTAATTACAGTATATTAACAAAATATTAATAAATATTATATATTTTTTTATAGATAAGTTATAATAAATAAATCATTTATTTAAAAAATAATGTCCGAAAAAATGAAAAATTTATTTATTAAGAGACAAAATATGTGTTGGAAAATACACAAACATTTTATTTATCGGTCGTCAAAACTGTTGGCAAAACCTAAAATCTTGTGATTATTACCGGTTTCATTGATTCTCTCTCTCTCTCTCTCTCTCTCTCTCTCTCTCTCTCTCTCTCTTCACACACATACTGTTTTTTCAATTTAAAACTGGGCCCCAAATATTATGGGGAATATAATGTTTAGAGCACCCATTGGTTGTTTGGCTCCAGAAACGATTTGATGCCATTGTGTGCGCTAACCTGTGTTTTCTGTGTTTGTAATGTTAGCACAGGTATGCATTTTATATGCAGTATATACAGATACATATATTGGCAAATGTTTGCAAGTTTAGTGTTATGACTATCTATTGACTTATTAATGCATTTATGTTTTGGTGCCTTTGGAATATAGAAAGAAAGAAAGAAAGAAAGAAAGAGAGAGAGAGAGAATTGATAAATAATAACAAATTGAGTTAAATAGTAAGCAAACATAGGAACAGTAGTTTCACAACTGGCCAATTAAGTATTTAACGCTTCACAGATAATTAATGAGAAACTTATCCCAAAGGCTAACAATTGAAATGATTATTAGGCCTTAATCTGGAATACATTAGTCGTCTTAATGTTTAAAGTTATGCCATTTATATGGATCTCATTGGAAATCATTTTTAAACAAATCTTATACAGTATAAGTTATACTGAATTACATTTTAAAACAATACTTTTGGATACAGTACTGTATATTATATTTATAAGTTTATAAGTATATAGAGTATATTTATTTTTATATTATATTAACATTAGATTTAATGACAAATTCACATATAATCAATAATACTGTATAATATTATACTGTAAATTATTTTTATATATAAAGTATATATATATATCTTAATGTTGTAATATATTTTGTGTGAAATAATTTTTCTTCAATTTAGATAAGATATAGATAATAATATTTATAAATACTGTATTTTTGTTTTATATGTTAGATATATTTTTATATATTATCACACTATTTGTGATATAAATGTTAATATACTGTAATAGTCATAATGATTGTAATAAATGCGAAAACATATCCATAAAAAGCACTTTTCAGTATAACGTTAGAAATCTTATAAAAAAGTTATTTAATTAAAAATTTCTATGAATAGCTTATTGTCTGGTGTTTTGTATTTTAAAATTATTTTACTTGTGTTTGAATTTGTTTTTGGTGCTCAGGTATAGACACTATACTATAGTATAGACAGTCAAAAAGGCACTTATGTTTTATGTTCTCCTAATCTCTCTTTCTCTCTCCCTCTCTCTCTCTCTCTCTCTCTCTCTCTCTCTCTCTCTCTCTCTCTCTCTCTCTCTCTCTCTCTCTCTCTCTCTCTCTCTCTCCACAACTAATAACTAATTGGAAACACCAGTAAAAGAGCATAAAATCAATAAAAATATTTACTACTTAACAAAGTAAAAGTTTTAGAGAAAAGTAATAAACGCTACAAAAATTTAATGGAATTTTTAAATAAATAAGGCATTGGAAAGACAGAGATTTTTTTATTTTGTTAAAAAAAAGAAAACACTTTTTAATACATATGTCTAATAATTTTTGTCGGTTTGTGTGCGCCCTCACCTCCCGTTGACTATTTTGCTGCCAATCTTAAGTTAGACACTAATTGTATGCTTTAATTTCAGTAGTGATTCTGTTATGTGGCCATTGAAATGAGTTGACAATTAAAATAAGTATTTTGTTTTTATATGTTTCTTATGTTTATTAAAATACAATTTATAATCACAACTAAAAAACTGGGGGTTTTCAAGGGGTTAAAAGAGATTTTTTCACATTATTTTAATTGAAAAAGTCGATAATATTTATTATTATAAAATTAATTTTTATAATATAAATTTGCAAATATAATTCAATCGAAAATATATTTATTGGATAACTTTGTCATTAAAACATTGTTCAAAGATAACAAATTAAAAATACATGTGTAAAATAAAATGTTTATTAGAAAATTGTATACATTAGATGTATTTAACGTAGTATTTTTTTTAATGTATTTATAAAATTATTATTATTATAAATTAATTAATTTAATAGCAAATAATTTAACTAAACTTCGATAATACTTTCAATTTAATTAATCTTATAAGTTATAACTCTCGTTGAGTATCCCTTCAAAAAAGGTAACCATAACCCCCCAAACCTACTGTTTGATTATAATAGTTGACATTGAATTTATAGTATGTCATAATGTAGTCATTTATAGTATTAGCGGCCACTGAGTGCCGAATACAATCAAAAGCCAATCATTGTATTGGTGTTAATACTATCTTATGTCTAATGAATTATCTTTAACTACTGTTCCCCGCTATCACCGTCCTATCTGATGGTATTTCTTATCATTTACTTTTCAACAGTAAGATTACCTTACGTTGCCTTTTGAATAACAAATACAAAAGTAATCCCTAATATAAATTCTATAGTAATATAATTAAATGTTTAATTTAGGCACTAATTCTCCATATATTTTAATGGTTAGTAATGATAACAGAGACCAATGCAAGGCTTAACTCAAACGTAATTGCAATTCAAAAGTATGAATACAAATCTTAGGGTTTTAGAGGATATTTTTAATACATAGGGTTTTTGGGTGGTTTGTTAGGTCTATTGATATACCGTTTCTATTATTGTTGTATTTGTTGTTTTGGCTAATTTTGGTCAAATTGAGAAAATATTTTCTCATTTTGTGTTAATTTAAATTCATGATAGCATTGATAGCAATGATAGCACTGATAGCATACCAAATGGATATATACTCTCATCAAATGTTGTTGAATGTTGTGGTGAATGGTCGGGCACTGGTAGAAAAAGAGAGAGCATAGGTATGTGTCTACTGGTGTGAGTTGTGATTGCCTATTGCTATACTATTGGCAGTAAATGATTGTCTGTATCTCTCCCTCATAGGTATCACAGTATGTTAAGTTGTGTTGCTTAGTAGGTTCGCTAGTTTGTTGGCAATGTTGGTGAGGTGTATGGCCTGAGGGATGGCATTAGCAATGGGTGAACCTGACGGCCTCCCGCTGGCTGTGTATGAGCTATGTTTGCCATCGCAATCAGGTCTACATATATTACTTACACATTCCGCTCAATACCTGCAATACCTCAACCAATAGGCCGCTCATGTCGTTTGTCTGACTCAAACACTCTCTACATTACTATCCAAAGGATTCATTAGTTTTCCTTATAAAGCATTTGAAATAAACTACAAAACTATACAAAACTTTAGTGCAAATAATGCATTCAAATAGTGACCCATAAGGAGACAATTATTTTCATATACAATATATGTTAAGCAAAGTATTAATGCATTTTTGGGACAACAAAACACTCATTTGAAATGACATTTAACTATTGATATGTGACACCCATTTGGTTATTCACTGTCTGTATACATCCTGTCATACCTCTCATACCAAACCAAAGCAATCGGTATCCAAATAATTGCTTTAAATGTTGTACTCATTCATAACCATTTGGTAAACATTTTCTTTAATAAAATATTACAAATGTTATATCTATTTGCGCTATCAATGCTTTTTCGCTGTCTATTCAACTTTTCCAATACGTTTGGACATATTTACCATACAATACATATGTATATACGGGGCACGAGGTCCAACACTGTACTCTTCAATGTAGGTCCTACACCGTGTGTGTGTGTGTGTGTGACTGACCCCTCTTTAACCTATCACTTGTGGGGTCTTCATGTGTGAGGTTCACCCAAAACCAGGTAATTATCTTTTTTTAAAGGTTTTCAATGGAAGACATTATTTTGTGATAAAAACTTTTATTAAAGTTTATGTTAACATTAATACTCAAAAATCCTGTTATTAAAATATGTATTACTATATTAAAATAAAAAGGGGATGTTATAACTAACATATTAAAAGTTTCAATTTGTTTTCAAATCATCAAATTTTGTAATAAAATATTTTATTTCTATCAAAAACATGAATTATTGATTCATAAAATTTTGTATATTAAATAATTTTGTATTTATGAAAAGACATTAAATACTAAGATTATATATATTTACAAATATAATATCATTTATAATTTTTAAGTTATATAAACGGCAAACAAAGCAAAGTGTTTGTCCAAAAAAACTAGTGTTAAGAGTAATGATGTTATGAGAAAAAAACGATAAGATATGAAAAATTAAGTTTAATATTACCAATGAAAGTGTTTTCATAAAAAGATTAATCATTTCCATTGAGTTTACATTTGCTTTTTTATATAACAAATAACTACTTATATAAAAGAGTACTTTCTCTGAATTTACTTAATAACACTTTATTAATACCACTTAAAATATTTAACAAATAATTTTTATATCACTTATTACTAATACTGAAAATATTGAATAAATTAATAAATTAAGCAAAAAATAAATAATACTTATAAACGAAAATGATTTATAAGCCTATATTAGTTTCATTTATCAAATAGCATTACTATTGTATTATTTTTTATTTTCAATTACATTTTCAAACTTATTCATAATGTTTTGTTATTACAAACGATATTACATTTATAGTACTTTAATAAGTAGTCAGAGATGGTAAAAAATTTAGCATAAGTTTGGTATTTATTTTATTTAAAACTAATGCATGTATTAAGTTATTAATATTTAATAAAAATAATATAATAGTCCAAAGTTTTGACTCCAAACAAAACATATGTAATTTGTTTTCATTTGTAAAATTTTTATATTGAATTAAAAAAATCATATTATATATAAAATTTTATTATAACCAAAAAATTAAACAAATATATTGTATATAATTTTAAGTGTAGATAAAATAAGTTAAAATTGGACTTAACTTGTTGTTTGACTTTTGGTTTTTTATAATCACGGCATACATTGGTTTGGATAGCTTGGGGTCATAACAAACCATTATTCACAGAAAAAAGTTAATATTTATGTCTCGATTGAAACACCGATAAAACATTTGATGTAAAATTTAGTGAAATATAGTTAATATATGACTTTAATTAATTACAAAAATATAGCGAAGGATTTTAATACATTATTTTTAAGGAATTAATCTAAAAGTTTATTCAATAAATTTAAAATTAATTGAATAAAATTTGTATTTATATTTAATATATGTTGTTTAAAAATATTTATTACCTGATATATTTTTTTAATTAAACCATTTAAATGATGGAAATGTTAATTGCAAGTCGACTGAAACTTCATAGATTAAGAAACATAAATAAACATATCAATGATATCACATTCAAATTTATTTTAATAATTATTATTTTAAATAAACTAATGTGTGTTTAATATGATAAACACAAACTATTTGGCATTCAATGTCAACTTTCAGAGACAATTGAGTTTATTGTAAAATTTGATATAATATACAATTTTTTCAATTTATATTATATGTTATCACTTAATTTTTATGTACTTTAATTTATATCAATTCATACACTTTAGCACAAAATATGTTTATTCAATCACTATATAATTAAAAATCTAATAAAAATTAGCATGCTAATTTATAAATTAAATAGAAACATATTATACAATACAGTATTATATTATTATTATACATGTATTTCTAATTTATAGATACTGTAAACTTTTAACTAAAATACAATATGATTATCACACTTTCATATGTATACATCAATTCAAACAATAAATTGTTGAGATATTTGACTTATGAAATACAAATACAGTATAACAATAAAAATTAAATAAACAAATGACAAATCATTCACAGGAAAGGCATTTGACTCCACATTTAAAGGTCTGGTTTTTGTTAGATTCACTTTTTATTAATCAAATTACATTTAAAACATAATTTGAAACATTTATTTAATTTATTGTTATACTTATATTTGATCATTTAAATTGTAATTAATCAATTGTATTTTGAGTCTAAATTACATTAATATAAAATAATGTAATTTATGCTAATTATCTTTAGCAAAATTTATTTCATAATATATCAATTAGTATGCTAAAATATTTTTTAAAATAAAATAATATATAAATATTTTTTTATCAATTAACGAATAAATTTTTAATAATAAAAATAGCAATTATTGCTGATATGTTTAATATAATATAAAATTAAAAATAAATATTTGTAAGCAAAGAGCACACTCTACTCTTAAATGATAAATATTGAGTAAAGCATTACTAAAATGATTATAAATGTTTGGCACGAGTTTTAATGGCATGTCTTTTGATAATAACTATCAATAATTGGTTCATTAGTTCTTATACTTCTCGCCATTCAATCTAATCAATGGTTTTTAATGACTAATTCATTTGCTTAAAAGTTATTTAAAGTTATTTTTATTAAAACACTTTAAAACAGTTTTTTTTAATCATTACTCATTCATATTTATGTTGCCATTCATTGCAAACATGAAATGCTCACAAAATATTTATATGAATATTGTTAAACATTTTAAATGCTTTTTTCCATTAAAAATGAGTTATTTTGTTGAATTAATTTTTAAAAATATTCAATTCCAGTTTTCAAATTTAACAGCTTTTGTTTTTTATATAAAACTATTAATATTTTTCACGTTTACTTTCATTAAAAAATTTAATAATAAAATATTTTAATTTAATGCTAAGAATTTATAAGAATTTAAGATATTATCTTAATTTTTCTAAAGTTGTATATAATATTTTTATTTGCTAGCAATCCATAATATTATGACTTAAAATATTATTAAAATGTAAATTATTAATAAATCTAAAAAATCTATTTATAATACAATAATATAGCACATAATGTATAACAAATATTACGAAAATTCAATAAATTATTATAAATACTTTATAATTTGCTAATAAATTTGCCATATTATGGGTTTGTCATTCAAACAGTTTAATTATAATGTTTGAATACATTGAATAAATTATAAATATAATATATATTTCATATATTTATTTGCAAATAAAAAATGAATACAAACGTCAACACCAATGAAGACATTTGTTGAACAAATCTAAGACTAAATGGAAACTAAAAAATAGTCTGTCATTCAAATGAAGTCCTCAAACATTTGGGGAAAGTATATGAATGAGTCAATCATTTGGATATAATATAACATCAATATTACGACAAATCCATTTAAATTTACCTCAATATGACAATAGCTGTCAAACCTATTGAATATTAAATGTATTTTTTAATGTAATTGTTGACTAATATTGATAAAGATTCAATAAAATTGCTAATAAAATTCATAATTGATATAAAAATAACAATTAATTTGGTTATAACTTATTCATACATAATATGCATATTTATATTATTTCAAGTATTATTTTAAAATACGTATATTTTTAAATTTTAGGTCACTAGTTTTATGTGAATTCAACTCAAATAAATCTTATTTATTTATATAAATATATAGTCAATAATTTGTAATACAGTATACATTTATTGTTTTTACATACACTTACTTTAGAGTACAATATAAAGTTATATAACTTATAAAATATTTGACAAAAATCCAAACAAAGGTTTCTATTGAATAACTCTCTAAATATTTGAATTAAAATAATATAATAATTTTCTCAATTATGCAAGGTTATTTTTGTATATTTAGTATTTTTAAATCATAGGACATAATGTAGGGCCAGTAAACTCTAATATTTTCTCTCTTAAATTAATTTTGTTTAAACAACAGAATTTATCGTTAAAATTTAAAAACATTTCTAATAATGACATATAATTTAATATATTAATACATTGCATAAACTTTTACAGTACTTGTTAATACTTTTATAGTCATATAATTTTTAAGATATTATATATATATATATATATATATATATATATATATATTGAAATAATCGTAATTATAATTATTCTATTAATTTATCGAAAATATTTGGAGAGTTATTTAAGAAAAACCTTTGTCGGACTTTTGTCACTCAATGATACATCAATTCAATATATACTGCAAATACTGTACACTACATGTATATCCCATATATACTGTAGTTTATAATCCCTGTCCTACTCTCATCTCATATAGTGTTGTCATTTGAATTTTGACTTAAAGTATGTTTTTTTTTATAAAATTAAAGTAAAATTTTATATTATGTAATAAAAAACGTTTTCACTCTCTCTGAGGTGCAATAAATAATAATTTAAAGTCCAATATATTTTATATTTGATTTTATTTGTCACGATTTGATATTCTATGATAATATATAAGAAAATAATGAATGCAATAATAGTCATCATTTGCTTTATCTCTTATGACTTTCAAATAATATTGAAGACATAAAATCATAGATTGTTTTTACTTATTCTGTCTTTGATTTTAAATGTATTTTTTATAAAGACTTTATTCTTTAAGATATTATATTAAATAATATTTTTTTAAATCAGACATTAATGTTGAGATGATTTGATCGATTAACAGCTTAGTATGTCTTTGCAATACCTGTGCCCAACCGACAACTCGTCTAATTTTATCTGAAATCAGTACCAAAAATGTTTTCTTTATAATACTGACTAATATACCGACAAATAACTCATACAAACCGAGATCTGCCATAGGTTTATAAGTATGACATTGTTTTACAGTCAAAATATTTGCAAACATAATAATATTAATAACCCTATCATTTACTTTATCTCAAATCTTTTTCAAAATATTATCGTTTATAATAAACTTCAGTATCAACTAATGCTACAATTGTATGCTATTGTTTATCGTAAATATAACAAAATTATTTATTATAATATAATAAAAACTGATATTTAAAAACAATAATATATTAAAATACTATATAAATATTTAGTTTATACCACATGAAGAATTGTAGTGATATTTTTGCATTTTTAGTATAACTACTATTAAAACTACTGATCAATCATATCATTAAATGGTAAGCAATGACCTTAAGATTAGAGACCAAACAAATGGGAATTAAAATGTCATTTTAAATATTTGTATGAAAACATAGTTATGAAAATGTTTGGTAAAAGTATTTGATTGTAAAAACCGATACAATAACTGATTGATGCTATCATTGAATATGATATAGCGATCACTCATTTGTGAGAATATTATAAGAATATAATATTTCAATGGTATTTGTCTATGAGGTTGACTATCAATATCTAACAAACTATATGACTGTCCAAATGAATGCTATATTATATTGTTTAACTGTGATTATAGCCATAATTCCGGTGCCAATTGAAAGTTCAGTCCATAATTTAGAGGAAACTATTGGCTTTTGTAGTGTAATGTGTGATAACAAGAGATTGTAATTTCTAAATCATCGTAAATATTATGTACATTACTGTTGAATAGTATATAATTTGCAGTTAAAAACCAAAGAGAAAACATTGAATTTGAGAGCAAATATAGAGAAAAAGTTGGAGTAAACAAAGGACAGGGATTGCAATGGCATAGGAATCGGCACTGTTTGGCAACAAATTCAAGTCAATGCATGAGCGGAACGTTTGGTGTATATATTTTTAGGAGACTGTTGGGTCTAAAATTGTTTGTCCAATAAGTGTAGACAAAGTGAGGATACAATGTTTACACAACAATATGATTGTTGAAAAAATTGAATTAAAGTTAGAAATTAACTGTTAGTTGATTTGATTTGTTGGTGGTCTCAAACTTTCACAACAAGTTTACTCAACTCTATGTCAACGAATGCACAATAATTTGCTTATCAATTGTAATGTTAGTCATATAATTGAAAGCTAAGTGCTGTCAATACATACACATAACACACATAACATCCATAAGCATAAGTCATAAGCATTTAATTCATTTGATAGAGTCTCGGAAAGTCTGCACTCATATGACTATCGGATATCAATTGAAATCATAATAACAAATATTTCATTGACTCTCCCTTTTCCTCAATAAATCTTTATAATAACAAACCAAACAATTTATAAGTATTTTCCGCACATAGTTTGTATGAAAATCTGAAATTCACGTTATATTAAACTAGCATGCTCAATTTTATTTTATTAGTAATTGTTAACTATCGTACATAATAAATATTGTATGTAAACTTACACATATATAATATATTACACATGTATAATAATTATTGCAAAAAACAACTATTTGATGATAACATTATATTTTACAGTATTTGGAAAAATTATATCATTAAATATACTCTTCAAAAATGACATTTACCAGTAGTTTTAATAAATTAGTGACCGATTCATTAATTCCTAATTGTAAACTAATTAAATATAAAATTTTTAATTCAATTAAAATTTAATGCAAAGAAAATAATGCTACGATGTTATGGTATTACTGTACCATAAGTTAAAATTGTTTTGAAAATAAGTTATACAGTTTTAAATATGTTTTGACATAAGTTTTAACTAAAAGATCATATAATTGTTTATTAAATATTTTTCTATTTGAATACCGATATATATACAATTAAAGTTACATTTAAAATTTTAAATACGATAGATAATATAAATAAACAATTTAACTATTTTATTGTATTATCGGTATAGATGTTTTTTGTATAAATTATAAATTAATGCCACAAACCAATTAATTTGTTGGATATTTATTTTAATAAATTTATATTATTGGTAAAACATTGCTTCTTTTATCCCAAATTGTTTGTATTAAATCATTAAATATTGAAATAATAGAAAACTTTATTTATTAATAATTTGAAAATTACGGTAATTGAAAAAATAAACAACAAATGAGGTTTTCCTATGATTTAAATTAAAATCAAATGAAATTTACACAATGCTGATACACAAAATAATATCTACAAATATTTGGTATATAATATTCATATATAAAATATTATTTTTTAAATTAAATTATATATAATTTTAATCAAAAAAGGTGCATTACAAGCATTTAAAAATAAATGCTTTTTGATACTAAGTTAATATTAAATGTAATATTATCTATCAATATAATAAAATATTTTGTTAGTCAATCATATACTTCACAAATAGTTAGTAATTAGTGTCTAATAAAAGACAATTCATTTATTTATTACACATTAAATATTTCCCTATTTTATGTTTAATTTATAAAATTTAACTTAATTTTAAGTTCATTTTCCATAAATTAATTGATTGATTGATAACAAACAGTCTATAAATGACAGAAATTATTTTAAGTGGTTTTATAATAAAATTACCATATTTTTGGTATTGTGTATAATATATAAAATAAATGAATTATTTGTGAATTATAACGATTTATGAATTGATTGGTGAAAATCAATAAATCAAAATTAAATTTAATAGATATTATCCAAATTGATGGTCACATAAGAAACCAAATGAAATGATAATTAATACAAATTTAAAGTTTTAATTTCTTGTTTTGACGCGTCGGTGACTTCTTTCGTGTTTCAAGTGGTGTTGTCTGCGATATCTCTTTATTTGCTGATATTTGGCTCTAAAATAAAATAATTCATTATTTAATATAAACTTTAAATAAATTAATGTTTAATACAAAACCTGATTAACATTATTTTGGTCAGCATTTTGCTTAACATTTGTTTGTAAATTATTTTTTGTAGATTTTTCACAACTGTTTCCTACATTTTGGTCACCATTTTCTTCATTTTTCAATAATGAGTGAATGGTTTCATCGGCCACTAATAAACCGATTATTACCGAATTATCGATAACTCCAGTGGTTAGCGACCTCTGATAAGTCAACATTTTATTAACCAAATCATCGGAAACCGATCCGTCTTTTTTGTTGTCCGTTTGATCCAACAATTTATCCTTTGATTTGATTTCCTTCTTCAAGAGATCAATGCCGTGATTGAGTGATGCAATCAATCGTATTAAGGGAAGTGTCACGTGTTTGGACAATGTTTCTGGATTAGTGCTAATCATATAAAAACTCCACTCAAACTTCAAAATAATTAACTGATTCTTGACTTTGAGTGTCAATCGTGATGTGTGACAGTCAACCAAAAGTGTCTCAAAATGCCATTCATAAGCTTTAGTTACGTCAGTCAATAATGTCTTGAGATGTGATATAAGTCTTTCCCGTTTAACCTCTCCTTTATTGAAACGTCGATAGTGTTCGTCGATATCTTTGCCTTCGAGACACTCGAAGTATGTTTGTGTCATATCTGTTACCATCACTGCATAAAAATCCTCTTCAATCAGAAATTTAAGTAATAATGTCGTGTCTTTGCCGTGGATTTGACAGTTGATTGAATACATCCACGAGACAGACTCCAAACGCTGTAACAAAGTGTCCGATGTGTTGGCCATTATGTTTGGTCACAAATTGTCGGTTCACACGATTTCAATCAAATAATTATTTACTTTTATTATTGATTTCAATTAATTTACAATTATATGTATTGACATTTGATTTATGATTTAAACACAAATTAATTACAAACTGTTTGATTGCAATGACAATAATAATAATCAAATAATAAATAGTCTTTAAAAAAACATGTGGTAATCATGAATCAAAACTTAAGTGAACTGATATTTGGCAGATCCGGTAGTTTCATGTCTTTGATCTGTTGCGGCAAATTCATTGACTTCATGGCAGACACGGCTCTCGCGGGAGCGGCACTGATGCCGGCCTACAGTATTGACAATACATTATTATAGACAACAATATTACACACAAAATGAAAGACTAATACATTGTCATCAATACACACATCAAACACATACTACTGCCACCTATCGTAACATACAGTGTATGTCATTATCAACCAATTAAGCTGTCATTTCAATAATTATTATTATCTGATCTCATTAATTGTTTTATTTGATCCAAAAGTGATCAATTGTATTATTATAAATATTAACAAAATCAACAATATTTCAATTCATCATTTTAATTATAAATGTATGGTTAGTCAGATAATTGTCCAAAAGTCTTAACAAATAAAAGTACTATTAGTAGGCAATTATGTGTCCAAAAATACTATTTTAATATTTTCATTCATAAGTTGCAATTTTATTAATAAAAATATTAATTGCAATATTTTTATATATATAATATTAAACTACAATTTTTGTATGGGATGGACGGCTAACCAGATTTACGATACTTTAATACTAAATCGTTTTAAACTATCTGTAAATTACTTTATAATAATTATCATTTTTAATACTATTATAATTTACTTAATTTTTATATTAACTTGTATATATATATAAAGCATATTATTAAAAATACTAATTAAATATAATAAGCTAATAAATAATTTAATAAATACCGATACTATTTATATACTCTAATTTAATTACCGGTAAATATAGCTATAGACTATACAGTAGTATAAGTTGTCTCAGTGGTTATTACCAGTAATACGAAAATTTAGTAAAAAACAAATTATTATATTTATAGACTATTAGTAAACAAAAATCAATTGAAAATTTTATCAAAAATAATAATATAATCATCTTTTATAACCAAAGGTTAGACGTAGTTCTGTATTGTAAATACAGTTAATAATAGACTTACTTCTTGTTTCTCTAATTTATTTTGCTCTTCAATTCTTTGTGTGATTTCAGCCATATTGGTCTCCAATACCATTCCTCCCATAACCAGTTCGTTAAGTATATGATGAACCTGTCATCAGATGAATAGACAATTAGATCAAATGTATGGTTAATGTGATGCCATTGCCAAACCTTGTCGACGTGGAAAATGAGATCCAATTCACACACATTTTCAAAACACTTGTCCAAAGTCTCGACAAATACCTAAATCATTCAATCAATTAACTAATAGTAATATAATTGTCACAGAAATCAATCAATTATTATAATATCAATGAAGTAAAACCTGAATCAAATCAAGTATTCCTAACTCGCTTTCTGACGAATCCACACAAAAGACAAAGTAAAGAGTGGCGTAATGTCTATAAATTAGTTTATAATCTGATCCACCGATTAAACTACAAATGAAGACAATTTCATTTAATAAAATCTAAAAAGAGGTCATCAATAGTGGTGTCAAATGTAAACCTTCCGCCTTCAAGAAAATTACAGACATTTTCGTCCCGTTTGGACACCAATTGAAATGTCTCGCGAATGATCTGTTGCTGCATGTCTTCGGGCTTACCATTCAATCAAAAATAAAAGATATTACAAGACATTCAAATATTAGTCAGTTATGACATGTCATACATAGTAGTGATAAAACTTAGAGAGTCTCGGCTTTCCATAGTTGTTGAACACAAGGATTGCTTTAATCATGTCTTCAAATAACTTATGATATTATCTCATCAATGGTTATGTTGTTATTGTTGTGATTATAATCAGACATATGATTGCAATGTTATGTCAATTAGTTTTATAAATATTATATCAAATAATGTAATAATAAATGGACTAAACATTTAAATTGATTGACATATACTGTACTCCACATTCATATATAACGTATTAATATTTTGTTAGTTTTTAATTTAATAATTAATAGTTAATAATGTTTGAAATTTATTAATTTATAAAAATAATTATTGATAAAAATATATTGTATAATAATTTATATTTATTTTAAAATATGATATTTTAATGTAAAAATTTAATTAAGTTATTACTCTATGTTAATTATTATATATTCATATTAAAGTATTGTACTATATTTGTATAATACAAAACTTGACATTTTACATAATTCATAAATAAAATTAAATTAGTAAATAAAAAAATATCTATATTGTATAATACAGTATTTATTTTCAATTAAAAAATAAACAAATAGACTTTATTAAAACATATACAGGTAGTATGCATTATTATGATATACTTATTAATTAAGTATAATTATTAATAATAATGTACCTGTATACTAAAATTATATAATATATAAAATATTACCAAACATTATAACTTATTTATAAATTATATTACTTTTTGCAATAAAATTTAGATAATAAACATTTTAATATATGTGTAATAATTTGAAAAACATATGTTTTTCATATTATATATTTAACATAGGATATTGTTTTATTGAAAATAATATTAAATTAAAATAATTTCCATTTATATTATAGTAAATAAAAACAATTAAATGGAAATATTGGTCATAATATGAGTTGCAAACTCTCGATAAATTAAAGTTAAGATAAGTCCAGTGATGAGTCAATATAATACTGTATTTATTAAATATAATTTTAAATCTAATAAACTTTGAAATATTGATTTAAAAAATGTAGACAACATTTAACTGATAATCGTACGAAATATAGAGCATATAATATGATAATTGTGTTTAGTTAGACTATATTTATAAATTATAATTATTATGTTAGTAGTGATTGGCTATAATATATTATTAAGTATCGGTCGAGACCTAAGTTCATTAAACACTAAACATTGATAACAACATTACTGTAGTTAGGTTTTGAAAATTATTATATAATATAAGTAAACTATAAATGCATATTTGAAAAATTCAAACCTTGAAAATTCAAGGACTGATCCGATAGTACTGTATATATATATAATACAGACATAGAGTTTAGTGTTATTTTCCATTTGGAAAAATACAACTAATCCCTTAACATCACAGTTCTAAATGTTAATATAATATATAGTATATAAACCACATTATAATACTATTTAGTTTTATTTGAAAACAACTAGTTTTCACACAAGTTTCAGTTTTTTGCTAAAATAGTAAATTTATATTAAATAACAAATTTTGCCACTAGTATAGTGATATTGTGGTGCTTTCAATTGCTGTCCATTTTTACCATTATTTTTTTATTTAATTTTATTTAATACACATCAAGTTTTATTTAACATTTGTAAGTACTACAATTAAAATTAATTTTTATTTAAAATATCTAATATCTTTTTTTATATGCTTTAAGTTTAAATTAATTTATTTTTTTTAAATTCAAAAATCAAAAAAAGTTAAAATTTATTTAAAGAAATAGCAAAATTATTTACTTTTTATTATTGTTAATTTTAATGTTACATATATAAGATAAAAACTTAATTTATTTTTTTGTTATAATTTTTAAAATTTTACTTTAAATCGATTAGATTTTAATTATATTCTTAGTTAAATTAAATGCATGAATGAATTGTTGTAAATGTTTACTATTATAAGTGTATTAAATTGGAAACATTATTACAAAAAAATGCTCAAGTTTCTTTATCTAAAATAAAATCTATTTAAAATTTTTGATAATAAATTAGATTAAAAAGATGTTTTTAAATATACTGTATATACATATTATTTTATATATAATAATAGATTGACGGTTAGCACACTGTTAGACTATAATAGATAATTAAATAGATTGTATGACTATATAATTTATATTATAACTCCTACTCACAAAAAAAACATTAGTCACTATTTAATCACCATTTCCTCAAATTATTTTTTAATTAAATTATTTACTTAAATTAATATAAAATAAATTAATAAAACGGTATAAAATACACTAATTTTTGCATTTTATACTGTAGTTTATTCACAAAAAATATTTTAACTATTTATTATTTATAATTAAAATCCACAATTACTTCATAATACTGTATGTAAAACAACATTAATAAGTTTTTAAAATTTCAAAACAGAAAAAAATTATTTGATTGCCATATAATAGACTATAATTCCTTTACTTGATTTTGACTCAAATGACAGATTCTTGTTTAAGCACATATGGCAACCCTACTTACTATTGCATATTATATTTTTTTCAATACAATTTTTATCTATTGAATGATAGAATTTATTTATTTAAACATCAATGTCAAATTTAATAATATAAAATTTAAAATCTACAATTAATAGTCAATATACATTTTTGCCATAATTTTTAATTCAAGTATTAAATATTTAGATATTTATTATTAGATGAAATTAATTATTGTTAATTGCAAGTAATGCAAAAGTTTTTTATGCTTTATTGTAGTAAAACTACACTAAAAAATAGAAATAAAGCTATATTTTGCTGAATTAGATAAAAGTATATACTGTACAGTAATTCAGTAGTAAAACTATAGACTACTCTAACCGATTCAGTAAAGCATTAGTATTACAATTGTATAATTGAAGTCTATGTCTGCGCCTGACTGTTATCAATACATTTGACATTAATATGTAATTTAACAGACCTTTTGCTGTTTAACTGTAAAACAATTCAATAAATATCATAATAATAGCATAATTTGTGGTTAAAACTGAAAGTCCGATTTTTTATAAGCATTTTTTGTGTCTTGAGTATGTATAGTGTCTAGAATATAGAATATACAGAATATATAACAATAGTTTACTAATTGTGTGTATTTTAAGTTATGTTGATTTATTGATTAATATGTGTATTACTATTATTATTATATAATTTCTTAATCCAGATCTCACACACAATGAGTACTAAGAAGAAGGTCGCTATTATTGGTTCCGGCAATTGGTTTGTATTCACATATTGAATGAAAACTAAAAAATTGTTGTTTTATCTAAATTTATGATTTATTGATTTGTTTAGGGGTTCAGCCATAGCCAAGATTATTGGTGTAAATGTAACAAAATTTGCATATTTTGATAAAGAAGTCAAGATGTATGTCTATGAAGAGATTGTGAACGGAAGCAAATTAAGTGAAATTATTAATACTGAACACGAAAATGTCAAATACCTTAAAGGACACCGACTTCCCGATACTATTGTATAATATATTGAAATTTTGTAATTACCGCTAATAACATAACTTAATGTAAATAAATCTATGATTATATAGGTAGCGGTTCCCGAAGTGGTCGATGCAGCCAAAGATGCAGATATTCTGGTGTTTGTTGTTCCGCATGCATTCGTTCCCAGAATTTGCCAGAATTTAAAAGGAAACATCAAACCGACTGCTGTCGGCATTTCACTTATAAAGGTATTGTTTACTACCGGTAATTATAAATTATAATTTACTAAATATTTAATAATAAATTAGGGTTTCGGTGAAACACCAAACGGTGGCATTGAGTTAATTTCCGATGTAATTAAAAATATATTATCAATTGATTGCACTGTTTTAATGGGTGCCAATCTGGCCGGAGAGGTGGCCGACGAAAAGTTTTGTGAGACAACAATTGGTATGTTAAACATAATTTGAATTAAAATGAAAAAACTATCTGAAACTTAACTGTTGGACAGGGAGTCGAAACAAAGATAACGGCATTTTATTGAAGGAGTTGTTCCAAACGGACAATTTCCGCGTTACAGTAGTTCCTGACACTTATACCGTCGAGATTTGTGGCGCTCTCAAGAATATTGTTGCTATGGCTGCAGGTCTTTATAGTTATTAAAATCTCTCATTATATTGATTTTAATGAATATTTTTAAATAAAAATTTAGGATTTTCTGACGGTTTGGGTTACGGAGATAATACAAAGTCTGCTGTTATCCGAATTGGACTCAAAGAGATGATTCGTTTCATAAAAACCTTTTATCCCGACGGCACCAAAGAGACCACATTTTTTGAGTCGTGTGGTGTCGCAGATCTCATTACCACTTGTTATGGCGGAAGAAACAGAAAAGTATCGGAAGCTTTTGTTAAATCAGACAAATCGATAGATGAATTGGAAAAGGAGTTACTCGATGGTCAAAAACTTCAGGGATATCAGACCTGCTGTGAAGTGATGACTATGCTTAGGACAAATGGACACATAGATAGTATGTGACTTTTTTTTGATGATTAATGCAATTACATAATATTGATTGTCATAATTATCTATAAATAATAGGATTTCCATTGATTGAAGCGGTTTATCTAATCGGTCGCCGAGACATTCCTCCACAAAGAATGCTTGAATACTTACGGCGAGAGCCGGAAGATATGTAATGATATTAACATTTTTTTGTATTTTACCCTTACTTTTAAAATTGTTATAATGTTATAAATCAGATTAAAAACTAATTAGTTTTATATAAAATTAACAAACGGTAAGATTTTATTGCAACTCAAAATACTAACGCGTAAATCGTGCCTCAAATCATAATAGGATTAATTTTTTGTTAACTTTTTTCAATTAAATTAAATTTAGTAAATAGGTTGTGACAGTTTCATCGAAATTGCATTTTACTATAATTTTTATATTTTTAAATATTGTTTTATTTAAAAAATTGTTTGGAATTTAGTTTTAAATATCAAAGTTAATCAAATTTTAACAAATTTAGTCTTTATTTGAAATATTTTAAACAATAAATGATTTAATTTTCATATATTTTGTTGAATTATTTATTTTTGAATTGAATTATTTTTAAACTTATTTTTAAATATATTTGTTTGTAATGGTATTAAAATTATACAAACAATAGATGAGACTCCTGTTCCTCATCGGATAACTGTGTCTTTACTTTGTATTTTTCTTTCAATTTTTTCAGTCTCTTAATCAGCAAATTATAATCAAAAAACTTGTCGATCTTAACCATTGAACTGATCAATCATCAGCTGTTGAGACAAACTTTTTTTTATTGTATATAAACTTAATAAATGTCTTAACAATAGTTTGTCTATAATCTTATTTTGTTATAAATTCATATATTCCTATCCCTTATAACTTATTAATAATAAATTACATGATTTTGTATTAAAAATAATTATTTATTTACTTTTTCATATCATATACTCATTATATAAGAGTTGGTGTTTGACTACAATCAGAGATATTATCATTTTGTATGACATATACTATATATTTGTTAATAATTAACAAACGGTTCACTTGTTATATAAGTGTTGGGATTAAATGTAATCATTTGGTTGACAGTCTTCAACAGTTAACATCAAATATGATATCAATAGTCAATCAAATGGATAATTGTTTGACATATAATGTTAAAGAGTAAAAAATGGTATATATTTTGGTAATGTTGTCCTCATTAAGGATCGGCTATAATGTCATACAATGTATGGACTAATCATATGATACTATAATAGCAATAAACACAATGTCTTTACATTCAAACCAATAGTTAAATAGAAATTCATTGAAAATAATTATTTATTCAATATATCTATTGATATATCAATTGAATTGATTGTAAACCAAACATTCACAGCGCGTGCGCACACTTTCACCACAAGTTTCTAATCGAACACATATTACATAAAACTTTAATTATATGCGTAAAGCACTCAAGTATTGTGTAATTCAATGCATTACACATTCATAGGGTTTGTTATAAACGCTTTAATCAATACGTTATTAGTTTATATTTATAAAAAATAACTTTAAAAAGTTGACAATTATTATTAGAAAGTGATATATTCCCATAAATTTATTATATTTTATTTAATTATTTAAATGCTTTAAATTAAATAATTAACAAAAATAATTATATAAATAATATATTTTCAATAATAATAATAATAATAATTATATTAATATTACAATTTGATATTACAAATAATAATTTATATTGAATTGATTGGGAATATAGTGAATGAATTGAATAGTAGTGTTGGAAATAGTAATAGTGTTGTATTAATATTGATGTGTTAACTATACGAATGATGTGTTGTTTAGTTATATTTGAGTGAAACGTAAGCTCAGGTGTTGTAGTGTTTAATGTATTGAATGTATAGTAAGTAATGGCGATAACCGGCAAACAGTCTTCGCGACCGCTTTCGGGCCATAAGTCGATGTCGAGTCAGGTATTGGGTCGACAATCATTGCTTCGGGTGACAGTATTGGCCTTGTCGTGGTTGGCCGGCTTCTGTTCCCGACTTTTTGCGGTCATCCGATTTGAAAGCATTATCCATGAGTTCGACCCCTGGTTTGTATCACTTGTTTTGTTACAACTCATCACTACTTGTTATCTTCAAAGAGACAAAACATTACGATTGCATGCAATGTGTTGTCAAAAACCTATACATATGAAGAATATAATTGAATTGATTGATGCAAATGTGGTTATTATTATAATTTCAGGTTTAACTACCGGTCCACACATTATATGGTAGAACATGGATACTATAACTTTCTTAACTGGTTTGATGAGAGAGCGTGGTATCCATTGGGACGTATTGTTGGAGGAACGGTAGATATACGATACATTGACTTATCATTTAATGACAATCATCTGATGCACCAATAATGCGTTCAATAGGTCTATCCGGGTCTTATGTTAACGTCGGGTGCCATCCACTATGGGCTGACATTATTGAATATTCCGGTCCATATCCGGGATATCTGTGTATTTTTGGCCCCAATTTTTAGTGGTTTGACAGCTATCTCAACATATTTGTTGACAAAAGAGTTGTGGTCAGAGTCGGCCGGACTTTTTGCCGCTTGTTTTATAGCAATTGGTATTTATGATATATATTTTGTAGTTTATTTGCAAACTATTATAACTACTGTTATCGTTGTATTAGTTCCCGGTTATATCAGTCGGTCAGTTGCCGGCAGTTATGACAACGAAGGTATTGCCATATTTGCCCTAATGTTCACATACTATCTTTGGGTAAGTCTTTAGAAAAATTTAAAATATACTGTATTTAAATATAATTATCGTAATAAAAAATCAGGTGAAATCAGTGAAGACAGGATCAGTGTATTGGTCAGCACTGACAGCACTGTCATATCTGTATATGGTGTCCGCTTGGGGCGGTTATGTATTCATTATAAACTTGATCCCATTGCATGTATTCTTTTTGTTAATTATGGGTCGATTTTCTCATCGCATATATGTTGGTAAGTCATACAATGATATTAATAATATTGTAATTTTATATTTAAACTGATATCATATTATTGTATATCTTATGTTTGCACTGTTAGCTTACAACACATTTTTTATTTTGGGTCTATTGTTTTCAATGCAAATACCATTTGTTGGTTTCCAACCGGTCCGTACATCGGAACACATGGCTTCGGCTGGTGTTTTCCTTTTGCTCAATGCCTACGCATTTTTAAAGTATGTCCAGAATTTTATGACCCGCTCTGAAATGAAGACATTTTTTGTGTCGGCTGTCATCGGAGTGGCCGGACTTGTGTTTTTGGGTGTCGTTGCACTCACATATGCAGGTTATATTGCCCCCTGGAGTGGGCGTTTCTATTCTCTATGGGACACGGGTTACGCCAAAATACATATTCCAATTATCGCATCTGTCTCTGAACATCAACCAACCACTTGGTTCTCATTTTTCTTTGATTTGCATCTATTGATTCCTACTTTTCCCATTGGTCTGTGGTATTGTATCAAAGAAGTTAATGATGAACGAGTTTTTAGTAAGTTTTCAATTGAATGAGTGAATAAAACAATAATTAATGTTTTGTCTGTTGTAACCATTTAGTTGCTCTCTATGCCATAACTGCTGCATATTTTGCCGGTGTTATGGTTAGACTGATGTTGACTCTCACACCAGTTGTATGTGTTTTGAGTGCGATTGCATTTTCCGAGTCCTTCTCGTACTGTCTTCAGGACGAAAAACCTCCTCAGAAATCACGAGCCAATAATGACGGTGCAGTTGACTCGAGTACTGATAGTGAGGAAACCAATCAAAACGGACCCGAAAAAAATAGTCACAAACATCTTTATGATAAAGTATTTACGATCTTATTATTAATTTGTTAAATAGTTTTGTAAATAATTATTTTATTAAAGGCGGGAAAAATTCGCAAAATTAAGACCGACAACAAAGAAAATCAAGGAATCGGTGCAAATATGCGCACATTTATATCAGTCCTATTAGTTATGATGCTTATGTTGTTTGTCGTTCATTGCACTTGGGTTACTAGTAATGCCTATTCCAGTCCCAGCATTGTGTTGGCCAGTTATAGTGGTGATGGGTTAGTTTGATTTGGCGTTTAATTGATTACTTTAATAATAACTTTGATTAAATGTTTGATCATAGATCTAGAGTTATTTTGGATGATTTCCGAGAAGCTTACTATTGGTTGTCCCAAAACACTGCAGATGAAGCTCGAGTGATGTCGTGGTGGGATTATGGGTAATGTTATTATATTTATTTATTAAAATTTGAATTATAAGTTATACTTATTTTTAAATAGCTATCAAATTGCCGGAATGGCTAATCGGACAACTTTAGTGGATAATAATACGTGGAATAATAGTCATATCGCACTTGTATGTAACGGTAATTTATTTTGTCTCTTAAATGTATACTAATTGCCGTACTATTACTCTATTACCGTTAGGTGGGCAAAGCAATGTCATCCAATGAAAGCGCTGCTTACACTATAATGCAAGCACTTGATGTTGATTATGTGTTAGTCATCTTCGGTGGTGTTATCGGCTATTCTGGTGATGACATCAATAAGTTTTTATGGATGGTTAGGATTGCAGAGGGAGAACATCCCAAAGATATTAGAGAAAGTGATTACTTTACTGATAGGGGAGAATTTCGAGTTGATTCTCAGGGGGCGCCCACTCTTCTCAATTGCCTTATGTATAAACTCAGTTACTTTAGATTTGGCGAACTTCAGGTATTACTATATCTTACCTTTTGTTATAAATTTGATTAACAGTAATAATCTGTTACATACTTATAGCTTGACTATAGAAGTCCGGCTGGATTTGATAGAACCCGTAATATGGAAATCGGTAACAAAAACATCCGATTGGAGCACTTAGAAGAAGCGTATACTACTGAGCACTGGTTGGTGCGTATATACAAAGTGAAAAAGCCAGCAAATCGGGTCAAAATCCCGTACGCTGACCGTAAAGTAAAACCCAAAAGGATAGTGACGTCAAAAAAGGTAAAAAAGTATTGTTAGTGTTATAAAGTATATTAACATTATATATATATATTACAGACAAGTAAGAGAAGGAAGGGAACCATCAAAAGTAGACCCGTAGTCATCAAAGGCAAGCGTATGATAACCAGCTCGACATAGGCGTCATTAAGTGGATTAGTAATAATTTATTATTGAGTGCCTCATAATTTTGCAAATCATTATTTAGCATTTTTACTATTATAAATTGTTTCATTATCTCATTCAATGATATTTTTTATTATTACACTTTATTTTGTTTGTTTTGACATAATCTTAAATTTATTGTTATTTCGATGAAATTTTTATTGAAATGAACACAATTTTCTTTAATTTCAATAACGTTTACTTTTAAGTTAATGACATGTTTTCAATTTATGATTCAAACCTAACGGTGCAATTCAATTTTTTTTTTGTCAACGACTGATTAATTTTAATTTATTTGTTAATTAATATTTGCCATCAATTGATATAATTTGTTAACCAATTTATATAACGAGAAATATAATCAACAGATAACTAGTCATAAGTGATGAACGAGTCTTTAATTATATATTTTCATAACAAATAATATTGTAATGACATTCCATAGACAAACATCATATGAAACGTCGATAGCAATCGATATATGTATGGTTTTCGGTAAATTTGGTCATAAATTGGCCAACAAATAGCAACAACATTCACATCTATACTTTATATTTGTATAACAGAAACGCTCTCATTTCCATCAATAAAATTGGGGACACTATTAATATTTACTAATTATTTGAATTTTATTTATTATTTCTAATTAATTTTTTAAAAATTTACAATTTTATAAATATTAGACAAATATTTTTAAAACAAATTATAGACTATTGATGTAAAGCTTTGGTGGATCTGATCTTATTATAGCATTCATGTAAATCAGTTCTTCTCATTTGATACAATAGTTTCTTCTCAATATCTCTGACCGCATTCAATGTCAACACAAGAGTCTCATGTTTTAACATTGAGATGACATTGAGTCCAAAGACGGGCATCAAATTGATGTGTTTTATTTCATGTGTTGCCAGAGCTATATTTTGAGGAAATATATCGCAGGTATCGATAATGAGGACACTGGGACCCCAACCCCTTTGTTGACACATTTTTTCTATATATTCGGGTTTATCGGTAGGAAATGACTCGAGTGTGTCCACCACTTTGAGGTCGTCCTGAGCTAACTTTGTCGACAACATTGACGTCAAGCCTTTGACTCGTTTAGCAAAAGGCAGTAAATAAAAGTAAGTCCGCGGACCACGTGGTCCGTGACACCACTCGCCGCCGATCCACTGCGGAGCGCGAATACCTCGTGCTCGTGCCCTACCCGTACCCTTTTGTGGCCATGGCTTACGTGTTGTACCAGAAAGTTCATGGCGTCGGGGAGTCCAACGCCAGTCAATGTGTTTGTATAGTGTCTGCCATTTATGATTCTCTTGGATCAGGTCTACGCGCGGAAATGTGCCGAAGATATAGGGATGTAATGACACAATCGACAACTTGCGGGACTCAACTGTTGACATGTTTTCCAACCACACCTCACGTATTGGTGTTACTTTTGGATTAACATTATCCATGTCCTCCAAGTGATCACTTCTAGTGATAATGGATGTCCACAATGGCATATCTCCAGCCTTTTCGTCCCCACTTTTAGCAGATTCTTGAGTTTCGTTGAGAGTCGAGTACTGTCGACATATCGGTAATAATCGGTTGTCAACAGCCGTCGGATGACTCAAAAGTCTTACAATTTGTTTGGATATTAATCTAAAGTTAGACATCACTTGATTTGATTCAATCAAAACATTCAAACAAAACAATGCTTAAAGTTGTGTACATTAATAGAAGCGACATTTTGGTACTTTTTTAAAACTCGCTTTAATATATAAATATCTGTAAACTTATATATAATAAAAAGGCCTGTTATTGTACAGTATTGTTATTGTAATAAAATTTTTAATTATCAGTATTTAAATTAAAGATATTTTACATAAATTTATTTATTAATAATTAACTTTAATAAAGATTCAATAATTAAATATTAAAAATATATATTGATTTTATTTAAAAAATGATTACCGTATATTGAAAAAATAATGACAAAATTAATGACAAATAAATTAAATATTAGTCTTCATCGAAGTCCACATTGTTTTGAGTCGCTTCCAAGTCTTGAGTAGCGGTCGCTAAATCCACTACAGAAGACTCGCGAAGCCTTTCACCTAAACATTAATGAATTGTTAATATTGTTTGTTTATAACAATTTAATTAATTTAAAAATCAATAATTAAACGAAAGACAACTAACGGATCAGTTCGGCGATAGCTCTTTGAGTTCTTTTCTCGAGTTTATCTAACTTTTGTTGTAAATTTCTCTTCAAATCCCAGTCCACTTTACGCGGCGCTAAACTCGTTAAGTCCTGAAATTCATAAAATGTTTGATTAAATTTTATTATAACTAAAAATCAATTCAAATATTAATTAATACAATAACAGACCACTTCATCCAAGACTTGAGGATTGTTAGCGACAGTCAATTGGTCTTCAATTTGTTTTTCAACTGTTTATATATATATATAAATAACTTTAAATAAATTAAAAACAAATACAAAATTAAATCAAAAGACCTGATTCTGGCTTTGGTTTTGGTAAAGAATTTTCCTTAAGTTTTTCATCCGTTGGATTATATGACCGAAAGATTGGTCTGAAAACAATGATAATCAGTAAACAATATCTCATAACAATTAAGAGACAATCAGTTAATACTTCGGCAAAACAAGTTTGTTGTCCTCAGAGGTCGAGTCGTTGTTTTCATTGTTCAAACGTCTCTTCATTTGTTCTAATCTTTCCTTTCGTTTTCGGGCCTCTTCTTCAAGATTACCAACACTTGAATCGTCAGATTTCATGTTAGCTAAAGAAGTGATTCAAACTTTTTGGTCACAAATAAACAAAAATTATTAATTAATAATTCAATCAATGAGTTGACTGACAAAACAATTTAAACATCAATTGAATGAAAATAATAAACATTAGACTAGAGATGCAAACTGTTTGCATAAAGACTAATACAAATACCTAAACCGTTAAATAAATACAATTTTAATTATAATTTATTTACAAAAATAATTTTTGTTTTAATATAAAGATTTATTACAATAAATATTTTTTTAATAATATATATTTAATAAGATGTTTAATAAGTTTTTATATGTATGGGTTATATCAATAATTTTAATATAAATCAAATCAAACCAAACCATATAAAACGGTTTTACACTTTAATGTATTTTATTTACGTTTGCAATGAGTTATAATAACAGTGAAGACGTCAAGAAGTTGATGGCAAACATCGGAGATCTCAAGACATATGCCGTGATTCCCGCCGCCGGTAAAGGACTTCGAGTGTCCGGTGATGTGTCGGAACCGAAACAATATAACATTGTTTGCGATAAACCATTGATTTATCACACAATTAATGCTTGTCTTAGGTCTGCAATCAATATGTCTTAAGATTGATGTATTAATAATAATATTTTTAGGATTAAATGGATTAGTAAAGTGATTGTAGTGTTTGATGACAGTAACTATCAGAAGATGAAGAATATTGTGGACGATATAAAGCATCAAAAACGGGTTCATTTAGTTGTTGGAAGTATTACAAGACATGGGTCGATAGCTAACGGTATCGATTCAATAGCGGCGATGAAGTGGCCGCTGCCGGACATTGTAGTCATTCACGACGGGGCGCGACCTTTGCTTGAGGAACAACTGCTCATTCATTTGGTAGACTCTGCTGTCAAATATGGAGTAAAAATTTTGCATTTATTAAACACTTTAATTATTTGATCCAAATATTTATTTAATGTATATTAACCATCAAATGTTGCTTTTGTTATATCGATTATATGTGTCATTATATGTGTTGACCACTAATCAAATTGACGCCATTTTTTAACCACTATTACGCTAAACAAGGCCTCGGGTGTGATCTGTAAGCTGACCTCAACTGTGCTGTCGGTATCTAATGATAACTTATTGGACAAGGCTTTAGACCGAAGCCAATACTTCGCGAGCGAAACTCCTCAAGCTTTTAGATATAATCTCATTAAAGACGCCTATAATCAGGTTTATTATAATTTTATTGACAGGCATTTCATATAAGCGCCGGTTATTGTCTTTAGTGTTCACAACAAGACTTTGATTTTAACACTGAATGTCTGGATTTAGTCCAGAAATATACTTCATCGGCGGTCAAACTAATTGAAGCCAACCCTTCCGAGTATTTTAAAGTAAGATTTTTCTGTGAAAATTGTTTTAAAATGTTAAATAATATTTTCAACAATTTTAGGTGACATTTAAAAAAGATATCTATACTGCTGAAGGAATGCTTAGAGGTTTTTTGAAATTATTTAAATTAATTTACCGGTAATTTTAAATCAATATTAACAGAGAAAAAGGATGTTTTACTTCACTGTGACTTTCATTGCGAATCACAAGTGGATTATCGGTTTATTAGTGAACTAAGGGAAGGGTTGGAAAAGACATTTTCAAATGTATTATTTTATTTATTTTTTGTACATTTATTTATAAAACGTGTTTAATCAAAAATGCAATTAATAATAATTACATTTTGCAGTTTTAATAAATTAAAATATAATTTCTAACTTTATACAGTAATATTATTGATAATTCAATTTACTAACCGGTTTTCAATTATTTTTATTTCAAAAATTATAATATCTATATTGTATATTGAATTGATTGAATTATTGTTAAATAGTGTAATATATCATTTTAATTTCTAAATTAAAAAACTACTATTTTTAAATAACTACTAAATAAATTTAGTTAATAGCATTTTTGATTAAACTGTTTAATATTTTAAATAAAAATAATTGAATATAATATTACATTTAAAATATTTAATGCCTATTTAGGTGGCTTTCTTTAATAATTCCTCAGCCATTCAACTAACATATAATCCATTAATTGTGAGAATATTAATAAAATTTTGCAATTCTTGGAAAGATATAACTGAAAAATCGCTTTCAAAATGTGATTCAATGATATACTTAATCATAACGTGTGATAATACCATCGATTCCTTATATAAAGAGATGAATTGTTGGGTCAAATCCAAAACTAATGACATTAAAAAGTTTTTTGTTATTCACTCCAATCTTGACGTTAGTGTTATTATAATAAATATTTAGAAAATTTAAAAAATATATATAATATAATATTAATTATATTTTTTAGGAGCTTAACAAACATAAGGACAGACTTATAAAAACAGTATTATATTTAAGCAAACAAAGTCCCATTGAATTAAGTGGACAAATATTTTTCATGTAATCGTATAACAAATTATTATTTTTTGTTTTTTAATGGATTGTTTTGTTTAAAAATTTATTGTTAAATTGATTTAATAAAAAAATAATGTTAAATATATTAAAAATTAAATTAATTATTTTATATTAAATTATAGTTATTTAGTAGTTTTACTATATTTACTATATTATTATAATAATAGATTGCTTTCAAAACTTTATTGACGTAACGTTTTCTATGAAAACATGAACTCATAATAAATACATAAATATTTTGATGTTTGACTGCAAAACATGTGATTCAGTGACCAATTGAGTGATAGTCTTGAAGTAAAACTTTTTGTTAATACTATTTAAGACGAGATGTCGACAAATGAAATGAATTTGTCGTATCTGTTGATTAGTGAACACTTCGGGCCGATTGTGGCCAATGTGGCCAACGTTTTGCTTCACAACGGACTCTCACCATTAGGTCTGATCGTTAAGACATCGAAAGAGACGATGGAAAACGTGAAGAAGTCTTTAGTGATATTAATACAACATAATTATGTGATCCATGAGATGAACAAAAAAGGATTCATCGACTATGACATCGACACCAAACAAGTGATGTCTATCTTAAGATATCCAAAGTATATCTATGTCTCGAAAATGCTTTTGGGAGACGAAGCAGAATATATGTGTGAAGAACTTCTCAGACATGGAGTGATGACAATGAGTCAAACCATACAACAAGTTGTTAATCGGTTGGCCATTGCTTTGGACCACAAGAACTGTCATCAATTGGTTCATAATGTGTATAACGTGTTCACCAAATTAGTGTCAATACATTTCATTCAAAGAGCTCACACTCTTAACGATAACCGAAACAATTTTACGGCCATTAAAGACAAATCACTCGTTGATGATAATGAAGACAACGATCATCTTATGTATACATTGCCGGACATTGATCTCAATCTTATCAAAATTAATAACAATAAACAACAAAATAATGATAAATCAGATGTTAAAATAAAAAGTGAAGACATTGAAGAACCTCTTCCAAAGAAACGCCGAGTTAGTAGTGATTTGCCAAATGTTAGACAAAAGGATTTAGATATCTATTGGAAAATTAATTTAAAACGATTTAATCAATACCTTAGGGATCAGTTAATAATTGATGCGATTAAGACTCATTACGACGACCCGATTGCCGGAGAAATTGTAAGAAATATTCTGAGATTGTCTGAAGTAAATACACATCCAATGAAAGCCTCTACTCATCCGCTTTCAAAACATGAAATCATTAAAGAAGTTCTCAAAGAGAAAGTCTGTTCCGAAGGTGTTTTTGTGGAACAATTACTCCATTGTTTTAATGATGACATGAACTTTAGGTTTGTTACCAAAGCTGAAGATCGTAGCGATGGTATGTTTTCAGTTAATTTGTTGCGAACATTAAACAAGTTGGTTGAAGACACTTTGGTGACTATCATTCAGACCAGGTTTTGTAGTAAAAGTGCCAGAATTTTCCGATTGTTGTTGAATAAGAAATATTTACAACAAAAACAGATTGAAGACATGGCAATGATTCCCGCAAAAGAAGCCAAAGAATTGACTTATAAATTATATACCAATAATGTGCTTAAAGTACTTCAATGTCCAAAAACTTCAGACTATGCGCCCTCCAGAACCTACTTCTTGTTTACTGTGGACACGACTGCTATTGCTAAGCAAACATTGCAGCGCTGCTACCAATCGGTTTCCAATGCAATCAATCGACGACTCCATGAAGTACAACAAAATAAGACATTACTCGAGCGCAAGAACTTTATTGATGCCGTTATATCGAGTCTAGAACACCAACAGACTTATCAAGACGTTGAACAACAGATCCAGGATTTGAAAAATTCTTTCACTACTCACGACACGGAACTTCTTGAGAAAATTAATAAAAATATCAAAAAATTAGAAGAAAGTGAATTACAAACTGAAGAGACCATCTTTTTAATGCACACTTGGCTTAACTTAAGACTTATAAATAGTAAAGAAGGAAATATTATTGATAGTACAGTATTGGCTAAAATGTAACCAAATTTAATGGTTATGTTTAACCAATGATTGTCTTCTATAGTCTTCTAATTCCTAGTTTTTGTGATTAAATTTTATTTATATTAATATTAATAATAAATTTAAGATAAAATAAAACATTTTTTACGTTATCTTTTTGCGCCCGAATTAAGTCAATATCTCTTTCTTTGAAATTGATATCTTTTGCCGGATCGTCGGGAATAACCACTTGAGTAATCATTTGAGGAAATATTTCTGTGAACATGCGTTTGACGGCATCTATTGACTCATATCCTATCTTTTGAAAGGAATCGCTTCCAAATGGTATGACAATAGGTTTGGTATAATCACTTTGAAAGTGAAGTGAATCAATGGTTGTCTCAAAAGCCAATGCATTCAAAACGGGCCGAATTCTTGTCATAAGTGCTTCAGATTTTGTCGACACAAATATCAATTGAGCGCCAATTGAATGACAAACTATTCGCAAATATCTGACGATTAGTTTTTTCTTTTCCGGATCTAAATTCTTAAGTAAAAAAGTTTAAGAATTGGTTTTTAATATTAATAATTGCATTTAAAGCTAACCTGAAAAACATCAAATTTGGTTCCTATTATTACTAATGGAATCGGAAAATAATTAATTTGATTGATATCCTGATGATTGATACCAATTCTGTTGATTGCTTTATCTTTAAGAATATTCTCTAAATTTTTGTCAATTATATTAGATATGTGTTCGCGAATGCTATTCAAAAGAGTCTCAGTTGTTATAATCATTTCTTCAGGAATAGAGAGATCAATAGCTAATAAAAGTGATGTTTTCCTATATAACAATAATATTTATAGTTATATAACTGTAATAAAAGTTATTAAAATTACTGTAAATGTTAAAAATTGCTTAAAAACTAATTAACAAACTCAAGCATTTCACTATTTATGGCAAATTCAATGAGATTAGTAAACATGACTCCACCGCCTAATTCCCATATATTGCAAATAACTTTATTCTGAAAATATTAAAATATTAATAAATTAATTTATAAAAAGTTAAAAAATTAATAAACCGTTTCATTATTGATGTGTTTGCGACAAAACATATACTCCAAAGCAATTGTAGGTTTTGGTACATCAGTTTTGTCAATGAATCTGTAAATATGACTTGTTTTGCCCTAAATTATAATTAATTTATTCATAAATTCATATAAATATTTGAATAAATATCAATTTACTCCTCGTTTACTTCCGATGACAACTAGCGATGATTTTCCATTTAGTCCATCAAATTGAGACTCAGATTTTGATAGTTGTATTGCAATATCCCATATATTTTTTCTGTAATTTATAAAAATATGATTTATTACAATTTTGACAAAATCTTATTTCATACTTTTGAGAACTCATTTCTTAAATAATATATGTGTTTATCAAAATTAGAAATATTTTTTATAATTTATATTATTTGATATTATTATATAAATACTAAATTAAGCAAACGTTAGCAACACTGAGGTTAGCAACCAATTAATAAAATCATAACAAAAAACATTTTTATTTAATTGCTAATAAATGCTTTAACAAATTTAATGATTATATATTTAAATATATAAATTTAAAAATGTCATACAGAGAATTGAGAAGTATATAGATATTAATTACAATATATTTTAAAGTAAATTAAATGTAATGTTAAAAATTGTAGATTTTATAGAAATACTGCGAGCATTGGGTTATCCGAGACTCGTATCGATGGAAAACTTCCGAAATCCTAACTTTCCATTAATGGCTGAAATATTACAGTGGCTTATGATTAGGTAATTAGTAAATAAATTTTGTAATAATTTATACTAAATATTAACTCTAATTTAATTTTAATAGATTTGATCCATCGATAGAAATCTTTGGTGACATCGACACAGAGCAGGATCGGGTCATCTTTATTAGATCATGTGCTCAAACTATGGTAAGAAAATTATATTATTTAGAATATAATTATTTAGATTTTTAAAAATATTTAAAACATTATTAAATTAAACTTTAAGGCAACGAAAGCTCAGATAAATTTTAATACCAAAAAGCTTTATATGGCTGACGGACACGCAGTACAAGAACTCATTAAAATTGCCAAACTTTTATATGACGCCTCTAAACAATCAGATCCAATAAATCAAGACCAAGACAATGACAACGACAACGATTTGTCCGAATCAACCATTGTATCAAAAGTTAGTCTTTTATAATATTAATTTATACATATTTTAATTTAAAAAATCAAATAAATGTATATTTATTTATTAAGTTAAATGAGTTGAAAGTTTCGCGACAATTGACATCAGAAATTACCCAAAGAGGTGCTAATGTTTATGATTTATTAGCGCAGGAAATCCAAGTCAGGGTATTTAAAATTTAAATATTATTATATTTTTATTATATTTATATTTTATATATTTTTTGGTTTCAATTTAAATTACAGGAACAAAGAGTTTCAATAATGAGCCGACAGTTAGAGATACCAGAAATCGAGAAAAGTATTTCTGAATCAATAAAAGAGTTGCAAAATGAGATACAAAATATCAACTATAAGATTGATAACGTGGCCGCAGATGAAGCAAATTTGGACGCAAAGATTGAAAGGAAAAAACAAGAATTAGATAGAAATCAAAAACGATTGCAAACTCTTCGTTCAGTTCGGTATGAGTTTAAATATATTTTCATATAATCTATATTTACTTTATATATACTGTATATACTGTATATTTATATATGAATTTCAATAATATATAATATTTAATTAATAAATAATTTTATTATGACAACAGACCTGCTTTTATGGATGAATATGAAAAATTAGAGGAAGAATTGGCCACTATTTATGAACTTTATATAACTAAATACAGATGTTTATCATTTTTAGAGCAACAATTAGAAGAGATTGAAGAAAGTGAACTCCAAAAGATTCATGTAATTTATTATTCATTATATTATAAACTAATTAATAAACAAAATTAATTTAATTTTAAAGCAAAGAGAAGAACAAATTAAACAAATGGTGGAACAAATGAAAGACGAAGAACTGTTGAGAAATGAAAATGAAAATATTGATGACTTGATTAATGATCATCAAGAAGATGAAGACAGCGATGAAATTGCAGATAATTTAGGTCCAGAAAAGGAAAAGTCGAGACGACCCATGAATACGGTCACTCTTAACAAGAGAAGTGCTACAACTGGAAGAGTCAGAATGTTTGGCTCACTTTTAGACGAAGAAAAAGAAAACAGTCTCGACTCAGATCTTGATTTAGATGAAGAGGACGACGGATCAGATCTTGATAGTGAAGATGAAATGGAAATCATGAATCTTACAAATAATAAAACACTTAAATCTGATGTTAAAAAGTCAAACGAAGACATTCACAAAATGATCACTAATTCTAACGATAGTGACAATGATTTTTAATTAATTATATAAAAGCGTATTTTTATTATAATTAATTGTAATAAATTTAACCCAAAATATTATTTATTTCAGAATATAATTTAATAAATAAAAATTTGAAGTAATTGCTTAATTCATGTAAAATTTTGTTTTATTAATCGTCAAAATTTTTTATAAATATTACGTATTCTTAATTTTCATAGAAAATAAATTACAATATTATTAAATACTTTACTAATTCTTTAATTTTTCTTTTAATAAAAAATAATTTTTCATATCTTATTTAGTATTAATTTTATTTATTCATAAATATTATTAATTCTTTAGAGATTACATATAATTTGTACATAATTTTTGTTTTGCAAAATTATTATTATAACTTATTTAAAATTAAATATAGTTAAAAAATAAAATAATTTTATATGTGAGTTTTTTCAATAGATAATTTTATACAGAGTATTATATATAGTATTCAAAAAATTAATAATAATGTGAGAACTGTTTATTAAATTGTAATACTGTGCAACACATTATATATTTTTATAATTTGTAATATAAATATTTATATGACATTAAATTATTTTAAATTTCTTATACTTAAAATAAATGCTTAAATAATATATACGTATAATAATTATTATATTCATTTAACATTAAAAATAGATTTTAGATCAAATTTAAAAGATTTTCTTGATTATGATATTAGATCACTAAATATATTGTTATATAAAAAGACTAGACTTTGAAAACATAACATATAGTAAATATACTGTATATATCATATATTATAAAATCGACATCAAAAATAGCATATCTGGATTTTAAAGATATATATGTATAAATTTATATATAATTTATACAGTATTTATGTTATACAGTATATTTGAAACAATTAATCTAAATAAATGATTTTTTGTATTAATAAAATTTAAATAATTATTCCACTTTACGAGCTATTTGTACGCTGATCTTACATACCGGTGCTGTAATAATCAAGAACTTATTATACCATTGTATAGTTCATTAAAACCAATAGTTGAAAGAAAATAATTTATTATAGTTTAAACTATTTCATATATATTTTCTTTAAAAATCCAGTTATACTAATTATTGTTGTCACCGATTATATAAATATATTTATATAGTACGGTATATATATATATATATAAAGGTATGATTAACCATGGTGCATTTTGCTTTTATTTTGCAATTTTTACTTTGGCATAGATTTGACATTAGATACGTTTATATAATTTAAATATATTTTCAAACAAAAATATATATATTTGTGTATTTATGCTTTACTATCATTACAGTAATGATAATTGAGTGCATTATTCAGTACATTAGAGTACAGTATTACTTATAGAGAATTCATAGGAATGTCCTGTAAAAAAGTTAACAAATTTTAGCAAATTATTTGAAATAGTTATATATAAAGTGTTAAATACTTGATCATTGATATCCACAACAGCTTTATGGATGCGCTCGACATTCTTGTCCTCGTTATTAAGTTCTTGTGCGACACAACTCGAGTCAAGAGTTGTTGTGTTATTGGACTGCTTAGGTATCCAATGATTTGACTGATTGGTAATGTGGTTGTAGTGAAGGCCCGTTCCGTTACAAATGGCTGACTTAATGAGTGAATTATTAAATAATTGATTACTGAATAAATAAGAAGACGACGGATTCATTAATGGTTTATTGCTTTGACTTTGCATTGAATCGTTTGGCGATTCACTTAATAATTCATTTAATGAATTCAATAAATGACTACTAGTTTTGTCGATAACAGCATTCATAACATCAATTGTAATACTTTCGGCCAAATTTTTTGCAAAAACATCCAAATCTGGAGACATCTCATGATTTTCATCTGATGTCTTTGAAACTAATGGCTGAGATTCAACATCGACATCAATATCAACATAGATATAGTTATTTGAGCCGTTAGGTTGAGAGTAGTTTCGTAATAGTTTTGCTGTTACGGGATGTTTAACTGTTCCCTTAAAGCTATCCTTACGACAGGGACAGTAACTCTGAGATGATTGGGTGCGCTTAGCATTCATTTTTGGTTTAGGTTTTGAGTCAATCAACTGTTGGACATAACAAGAGTTCTCTTTCTCTGTCTTCTTAAGCTTTTCCTTCAGATACGCCACTTCGTGCTCCAAGTCTTCCACTTTGAGTATCAATATATCAATCTTATGCTCGCAATGAGTCCTTTCTTTTTCGCAAACATTCAATGTGTAGACAATCCTTTGCTGTGAGTCTTCAATCACTAACTTAACAATTTGAAAGAATCTCCACAACCGTAATATAATCAACAATAATAGAGATTGTTTGCCACAACTTTGATCCCGAAAATTATAAAAATAAAAGATAAAACTTAAAGAAAATACTATAACAACGAGTATGGCATCCAATAAATCAAAAAGTTGGACAAAAAGTTTGCATTTTCCGCTATATATCCGAAACAATACCTATTTTTTGTATAAATATAATATAATTTATAATATTTATCATAAGATATACTCTAATAATGGATTTCAAAGTCTTACTTCAATAAAGAAAAATGATATCATAGTTAACGAAATGTATTGAAGTATATGTCTTGTTGTGGCCAAAGAAGGACTCAAATCATTCATTGAATTCTTACTATAATTAGTTGTCGTATTTGTAGTGTTAATGAAGTCAACGATTGGTCGCCACTTAGGATCTGAAGTGTCAAATAAATAAGATATCTATCAAGTAATGTGACAATTGATCAAACCTTGGATCCAATGGGAATCAATCAGTATTTGTGATATAATGACAAAAGTGTCGATTAAGACCAACACAACAATCACTACATTAAAGATCTTAGAGTTTATTGATTTCCAAATACGGGTCACAATTCTGTTATCAAATTAATCAATAAATCACTTAAATGTTAGTAAAATTAATCATTAATTATAGAAATACTCAAATTTAATGACAATTACTTATGGCTAAGATCTTCATCATTATTGAGGTCAAGTCCAGCAAAACCCCAAAGCGATGGATCCGATGATCGGATCAAATGTTCTTTACTTTGAAACATATCAACAATAATTATTAGTTAATGACGAGTGAAATATAACATTGTTTGACATTGTCTGCCATCGATGGTCATCACCAGTGATGACTAATCACCAAATAATATCATTGTTTGTCTTAAATGATTGTTATTATCACTCATTCAGAGATCAATCATTTGACAATCAAATCAATAGTACATTCAATTCATTCATTAAATAGTATTAATAGTATTGTATGTGTAATACATTTAATGTTGTAATCAAATTCATTCATAAAAACAAATTCACTACTATTTCACTATTAATACATTGACTTTCAATACAATGCTTTCATAGACTGATCTCTAGTGACAAACCTATGCTATGAGACAAAGCATAACAACAAACATTGCAAACAACAGGTGGCTCTCAATGCACTGTATATACTGTTATACAGGTATTATACAGTATAGGTATACACAGGTATATCATAATAAAAATTATTATTATTGCTTGAAATGTTCAAATAATTCAAGTTTTAATTGATTTACTTAAACTCTTTAAATTATAGACTAATAAAGATAAATACTGATTTATTTATTTGCATGTTTTAATAAACCGATATACTTTATATTTTAATTAATTTATGATAATTTAATTATAATTTATCATGGTGACATTTTTCTATTAATAATTAATAAAATTTATTTTATGGTTAATTCTTGTGATAAACAAATGAAATGCTAAAAACTCTAATTTTGGTAAATTAATAATAGCAATGATTTTAAAAAACAATATTTTATATGCTATTTAATAAAAAAATAGTGAATTAGTGGAAAAATTAGTTAATTAAATAAACTATTTACAGTATTTATTAATATATTTGATATAAGTAATTGTAATAATTATGTAATAATAAAAGTATAATAAAATAGGAAATCATAATAAATTGTAATATAATTCATAGACATTGAATTTCTTTAAATTGAAAGCAAAAGTTTAGCATAAGTTTGTCGATTGTCGACATCACCGGTGTATGACTTGTTATGTTTGATTTGGGTCACTGTTTATGACTTGTGTGTGTGAATAATATAACAAAAAATATATATCATATATTGAAAATGTAGTTATAATCGTTTTATACACCAAATTACATCATAATTAACAATACATATTATTTTATAAACAGTAAGTTTCAAAAAAAAAGTTTAACGAAATTGCAAAAATAATAGTTTTTTTCATTAAAAATATGATTAGGAAATTATTTTATTTATCAACAAATTTATCTATGATATCTTACAAAATATTTTTTTTTTAAATAAAAATAAAGTTTACTTTAAAATGTGTGTTCAAACAAACTGTGTGCTAACTATATAACTAATTAATTGTGTACAATATAATAAATGATGTTGAGCAATTATTTTAGTAATTTCAAAAAATTTGTGTTGTTTTTAGATATAGGTTTGTTTCAAATAAATTTCAACAAAAAAATACTATATCTTAATTGCAATCAATATATATTTGTCAAACTTTAAAAAGTTGATTGAATTATGTAAATTAGTGAACATGATCTTGGCAATTGACAGTATCTAATCATTTTTAGGTTTAAATATTTAATTATTGATTTAATAGCAGAACTTATATATGATATAAATTATATACAAATAAAAATACAGGAAATAAGAAAGTGAGAGATGAAATGATATCACATTTGAAATCGTGAACAACATTATTAAATATATATGACATTTATTAATTTATTTTAGTAAATGATTTGGTTTTGTTTTTAATAAAATAAAAATAAAATAAAAGAGTTATAATCTACTTTTGACGACTAATATCACAATTGAAAGCATTACTAAAACAGTGTCGACTGTGTATCGATTACTAGTATTATATTGTTTATGATAATTATATATTAGATGTGCTGCTTTAGCACCTGAATCGTAGGTCATATCTTTGACATTAATCCAGGAGCCGTTGTTTGGTTTGGCCTGAATGCCCAATATATAGCATAAATAGTTATAGTGATCGGTCATCATAAGGGGTCCGGATGTATAATTCTTTCTAAATCCTATAATATCACAGTTAATATATAATAAGCTAAAGAATCATACAATTGTATTAACGATTATATTGACACCTACCTGGCCCGCGGGCATACATAATTGTCCGCATCTCTTCAACTGCATAGGGATCATAGCCATGATGTCCACTATAAATAGTGCTTAAAATTAGTCTATTTTAAGAGGAAACCGGTTTATATTAATAAAAGTAATGACTAATGACATGCCCGTAGAGTACATCCCAAACTGGTTTAGTTTTAGATTCTTGTGAAAACTATATTTTCATAAACAAAATCATTTAATGAATAATTTGTTGGCACAACACTTGTGGCAATACCTACTCCTCGTACAAAATATCCCTTCTCTGCCATCACAAGTATTGGTGATACTCTTCGGTTATTTTTGATGTGATAGCGAACTGGTATTTCATCCTTTTTATAAAACTTGAGGCCTTTAGTTCTTGATTTAGTCAATGCCTCCAAAATCTATTTTGTAACACATTTTTAGTTTTTTAGCTTTAAATATTTAAAACATTTCAATTTAATTAAAATTACATTTGTTTATATAAAAAATATAATACAAATTATATATTTAATATATAAAAAATGTTGACTAACTTTAGTTTCTTTGTTGGGTTTGGGTATAATGAAAGATGTTGTTCCTCTGTCTAACATCACTTCAACATCATTAGCGTCCACTATATTCTCAATATTAATCATTTTTGTATTTTTACTTTCATCGACTTCAATCATCCCGTGATCACTGACCACAACAACATTAACCTTATATTACAAATAATAGTATTATTTAAAACAAAATAATGTAATAATATATTTATATAACAATGAAAGCGATATTAGACCTCATTATCGAGATTTCTCTTTTCGATTTCGTCTTGTAATGAATTCAACAATTTGTCGAACTCTTGAACCGCTTCTATTCGTTCCTTAGATTGTGGACCAAATGCATGACCTAAAGCATCGATAGCTTCATAATAAATGAGACCTAAATGCCATTCCTCTGACTCAAAATTATCAAGTATTTCATTTAAAGCACTCAAAGTGTCTTCAGTAGGCTTAGGCCACGTCCAATAGCTCTGATACTCTAAGCAAAAGGTAGGCTCTTTGCCTTTAATCTTAACCTGACACCCATCCCACCAATAAACCCCTGTTTTAAGACCATTTTTTTCGGCATTAATCCATATGGGTTCGGCACCGTTCCACCAGTGGGGGTGCGACGCATTGGGGTGGGGGGCCATCAAAAACATGTCCTTTTCTTTTGGGTCATACATGTAGTTCTGGACCATTCCATGACTTTCCCCGTACAACCCTTAATGAGGTTTTAAATAAAATGTTTTATTTAGACCGATTGACTTTCGTTGATAATTATATTTTTTAATTAATTAATGCATTTTTTCTTAATTTCTTAATGTGATGATTATGATTGCAACTCAAGTGAAACATGCAATTCAGGGAATATTTCAATTAAATAATATCTTTTAAATGGGTAATCAAACATTATATTTTTTTACTTATAGTACTTTAACAAATTGATACCAAACCATAAAAATGTGTATAAATAGCAGTTACCGGTAAGTTATATATACTTATAAGTATTGTATATACTGCAAGTTATATTGCATGTTAACTTAATGATAAGTTGATGAAAAAAAAGTTTCCGCAGCTATTAATACAATAATTTAATTAAAAACTGTTTTGAACAGCTTATTAAACGAAAATAAAATAAAAGAGATTTAAGTGATCAAAACAAGTGTTTAAAATTTTTATAATAAAAAAATAATGGAAAATGTTTTAATTTCACTTCAAACCAGTGAACAAATAAAAATAAAATAAATATTGTCATAATTCAAGTAATTGTTTCTCTCAATAATTAATGACTTTGTAAAAATCAATGAAGTAAAAGCTAATAATTTTAAATTATAATTAATGGTAATTGAATGCAAATTATTGGTTTAATATTTGCACTTAAACTCCAAAAATGCAGAACAAAAGTCAAACAATTTTCACTAATTACTGAGGATTTGACCTCTTTTGATGAAAGTTTTTAAGAGGTTTTTATTATTGCCATGTCTTTCATTAAAAGAGGTCATATAATCATCAAAAATACACATCAAAAATAAATCTATTATTGGCATCTTTCATAATAATAATAATAATTATTATTATAGAAATAATCACACATACAAATGCAAAATATTTTAATCAATACTCTTAAAAGAAACTATTGAAACAATTTTAAAACCAAATAATAATAAGTTTGTGTAAAGATTTAGCAAAACTCAAATACAAACTTAAAAAAAAGAGATTTTGTTTATATTAAAAATAAATAAGAAATAAAAAAAAATTAAGCCATTAAAAGATAATGTTAAAGTCATCTAATGTCCACTTTATTATTGATGAAACTAATGACAAAAGTGCCAAAAATTATAAGCAATAGTCAAAAATATATTATTTGTATCGCTATTATTGAAAGGTTAGTGGGTTTTGAGGTTAGTTTAACAAACAGTAAGTCTTTTACAGGAAGTCTTGAGAAGAGAGAGAGAGAGAGAGAGAGAGAGAGAGAGAGAGAGAGAGAGAGAGAGAGAGAGAGAGAGGTGAACATTAAGTATTGAAAAAATATATTTAGATATAAGTAATAGACAATAGGTTTTTGTCTTACCGGTTATTATTGTGTACCAATTGGGGTATGAATTTGCTGGAAATATTGGCTGCACGTATTTGGCGCGGACACCGTTACGTGCAATTCGAGTAAAACCTGTAAGACTCGTGTCGTTGACATAATCATAACGAATACCGTCGGCTAATATTAAGATAGTTTTCGGTCTCCTATTTGCCGATTCTTTTAGTTTAAGATCCGGTTCATAGCATAACACAACACTTATTGTCAAAAGTTTCAAACAAATCAATGATTTCACTGAAAACATATTTGAAAGCACTCTCATTATTAAAGTTTCAAATTTTTATTATATTTAAAACTCTAAATAAATAATTTAATGCCAAAAAGTTTTTGCCAAACTTTTTAATTCAGCTCCAAATGAGACCATTTATGTCAGACACGCCTCGGGGAAGGACTCCAACATTGCTTTACCTATACGTATGGATATACCTATCGCTAATACACTACACTATATGTTAGCAATAATCAACTCTACTTTTAATCTCTATATAAAATTTTAAACAACTATTTGTATCCTTTCATTTGAATAAATCTATTAGCAATAAACAACTTTTTATAAAACAAAATACAATTTTAATAATAAACAAATTTGGGATAATATAGACATTTGTTTATGACCACTACCGGTGCCCTTATAACAATCCTTGAATAGCCAACAAATTAGTAAATTTAATTTCCTATTTTTAATTATATCATTTTAAATTTATATAATAATTATATAATAAATTATGCATAAAAACTGAGAAAATTTAAAAACATTTTATTGAAAATATAACAACAGAAAGATCAGTAGCAATAAATTAATGTAAAAATTTAATTAATTAATTAATTGATTACTCGATAAACTTTTTTTTGTATTAGTTCTTTGTTGACGAATCCTTAAGAGAAACGGTTCGGTTAAAAACAAGTCGACCTTTGGTAGAGTCGGGATCGACACTAAAAAAACCGATTCTTTCAAACTGAAACTTATCGTAAACTTTTGCGTATTTAACCGACACATCAACCAAACCCTCTTTAATAACAGTCAATGAATTCCTATTACAATCCGATAGAAAACCGTTGGGAACTTCATTAGGATCTTCCGGATTCTTGTGGTTAAACAATCGGTCGTAAAGACGTATTTCACACATCAATGGAGTGCAAACCCAATGAATAAAAGATTTTGGTTTATCGACATCAGTTGCCTTATGACACTTGACTTCCAAGTAATCAATTTTATCGTCAGCTGTCTTAACTATATTTGTCACTTCAATCACATAACCCGTATGTTTAAGACCAACCATTTGATTGGGTGTTAGTCTTCGATAATTTTTATCTTCTGTTTTTTCCATAAAATCTGAGCTCTCAATATATATTGTACGTTCAAATGGTATCAAATGAGTTGATTTGTTATTAGGATCTGATGGAAAATCAGGTACTTCAAGATATTTAGGAACTAATCTATATTCAGATGGAAAATTAATAATCTTGACTTTAATGGGATCTAAGACAGCCATACATCGAGGAGCTGTTAAATTGAGATTATCTCTGACAAAACTCTCTAACATTATTGGATCGACAACAACAAGAGCACCGGTTAAACCCATTTGAGCTATAAATGCATTGATAGAGTCAGAAGGAAAACCTCGACGTCTTAAAGCTGTCAAAGTGAAGAGTCGCGGGTCATCCCAATCGGAAACTATCTTTTCTTCAATCAATTTTGCAATTTTTCTTTTAGATACTACAGTATAGTTGATGTTAAGGCGTCCGTATTCCCACTGAACGGGACAATAAACATCAACACTATTGCAAAGCCAGTAATAAGACGATCGACGCGATTGAAACTCTTTGGTACACAAAGAATGAGTGATATTTTCAATTGAATCACATAAACAATGAGTGTAATCATAAGTCGGATAAATACACCATTTATTGCCTGTTCGGTGGTGTTCTGTATATCTTATCCTATAAGCAACCGGATCTTGTTTACCCTCTTCAAGGGTTATTTTCATGCGAAGAGTTGCCTCTCCCTCTGCAAACTTGCCTTTTCTCATGTCTTCAAATAATTTAAGACTTTCTGTAATCGATCGGTTCCTCCACGGAGATGGCGGAGGATTAAAACCTTTCAGTTCTTCTTGTTTCTGATGGCACACATATGCCATATCTTTTTGAATCAATTTAATAGCGTATTCATAGAGTTGATTGAAATAATCGGATGAAAATGTAATTTTATAAGCTTTAAATCCTAACCATTCAACAACTTCTTTGATTTCGCGCACAAATCTTTCTTCTTCTTTCTCTGGATTGGTGTCATCATAACGAAGATAACAGTGTCCGTTGTGAGCTTCTGCGTAACCAAAGTTGATATTTATAGCTTTTGCGTGACCAATGTGTAGAATACCATTAGGTTCGGGAGGAAACCGAGTCATTACTTTACCGCCGGTAGCTTTCAAGTGCTTTGCAATCAAATCATTTGTTTTATCTGTAATAACATAACCGTCTGTCTTATAGTTTTCGCCAACTTTATGGAAGTGTTCTTTTCTTCGGATTAAATCAATAAAATTAGTTTCCGTTATCTCTGATGTCTGACCATTCAATTCGGTCACAGATTTCGTTTGTTTTTCCTTCTTCTCTTTGGTTGGTTTTGCCGAATCTGATTCAGTTTTAGGTCCCAACAGTTCCAGTATTTGTTTATCGACTTCATCTTTAATAACCTTTCCGTCGGCAAACTTCAATGTCTTCTTTAAAGATCCCAAAAGTATTCCGACATTAAATCGATATCTTTTTTCAATTAATTCATTTTTATTACTTTCAATTAAAGACTTAACGGTGTCTTTAATTTCTTGTTCACTAACAGTGACTCCAACTCCACAATTGGTCTCAAAATCTTTAATACTGATATTATTGGATGGATTAGTCAACAAATAATCGATGGCAGCAATCAATTTGATTTCAGAATCAATCTTTTCTTTGGCAATATATTCGATAAGAAGTGGTAAATGAGACTTAATTTGCAATTTAATAGTTGTTGCCGTTTGATATACCAGTTTACCGATTGATTTACTAAAACCATTGTCGGTCTTCAAGTATTTATTAGTTTCATCAATCAATTCATCCAAAGTTTTGCTCAGACTTTCATTCTTCAGCGTCTCCTTAGCCTTGGCTTCACTCAAACCAATTGATGCAAACTTTTTAATTAATTCTTCATTCATATCAATTAATTAACAAATTTGATAACAAAAAGTATAGACAAACTAATCAAAGAGTTTAATTAAAGACAAAAACAATTATAAAAATTATTCATTTCTTAATAATAATTACTTACAATAAATATACCAAAACTTGTATTAAATGTTTGTAATGTTTAGTGCAGTTGTGATAATCACAATATAATCTAACAAATAGTTGATTAAATAATAGACAATATGGTTATAAATTTGATTTTATAAAACAAATTATTGAAAATTAAATTATAATTTTCATTAAAATAATATTAATATTTTAATCAATCAATTGATAATAAATTTAAATGATTAGTTCAGTGATGTGTTAACAAATATTTAGTGATTGACATCAATAGTGGCGTCAATGCAATCATAACTACAAACATGTGCTTCAATGCAGTGTCTCTACTGTAGTGAAAACACATTCAATATTACAATAACTTTATATAATTTACAAACAGTATTATAATATTACATACAAAGAGTGCATTCATTAATAATGTCATAAAACGGATATATAAAATGGTTTAATGTTTTACAGTATAAGTTGTAAATGTATTTATTTGGATCAGTTGAGAGACATCGATATCATCTAACAAAACATGTTATGCTTTACATATGTCTTGGATTCACATTATTATCAATACATACTAACATTTCAATGAAATTGTCTATTAATTAAAACAATTATTAATTTGCGTTTACTATTGTAAACAATTAATTGTTTAAAAAATAGCAGACATTCAATCATTAATAGACTTAAATATATTATTACCACAAATGGTGATCACATTTTCAATTATATTTAAAATATATTTGTATTAATGTATTTCTAATTTGATTATACTGTACTTATTTCTATACTGTAAATTTTAGTACAGTATATACTGTACTATTAATACAGTATATAAAATATATTGTATAATATACCGGTACAATACAATAATACTTTACTATACAGTATAATAAACTGTATAAAAATATAATATAACTTTTAATTTATATGATTTTAAAGTTTGACAGTTAATTCAAATATGCAATCAATTATAGGATTGCATCAGATTTATAGACAAAACTAAAATGTAATCAAATGTCAAATATTATACTAAATACTTGACAATATCGCCAAAAAATGTTTATTTACTTACCATATGTTTGGACACTAATTATAATTTATTTATAATGAAATAAATGCCAAATAAAGCTCAAAAAAATTTATTTGTAAACAAAACATAATCAGAGATCAACAAAATGTGTTAACAGTAAAAATATGGCATTTGTTTAATTATAAGCCATAAGCTGACTGACTAGTAATGAATCTGATTTTTTAATAAACGTTGTTTTATATACAATATATAAGATATTTTATATTTAAACAAAATATTGCAAAAATTATTTTAAAAATTTCAATACTCTAAACGCTAATATAATTATATTCAATATATAGAATATATAGGTATATAAACATTAATTTTTAAATAGTGAACAAAACTAAAAACAATATAAAGTTCAAGTATTTATAAAAAATTAACTCATTTTGATTGACTGATGAAATTACAACAATATTTAAAGCTTATGTATAAACAAAATTAAACAAATGGTTATAACCATTATTAATAAAAAGCTATAATAATAATAATTAAAAATTTGATAACAAATAATAATTGAGAACATCAAAATTCTATATTATCAATAAAATCTAATTATTGAATAAACATTAAGCAATAATCTATAAGTGATAATAATTATGATTTTCATTATGATTAGAATTCATTACAATAAGAATATACTGTATACTAAAAGATTACACTAAATATTATGATAAGTCATAATAATAATGCACTTAATTAACAAATAAATCAAAACAATTTGTGGGAGGGATTCAAAAGTACCGGTAATTAATTGCAAATTATAATCAATCATATGATAACATGTGATGGCATGACTGATGGTATTTATTGCATATATGAGGCCTTACATCTCCTTTCTATAAAATATAAGAACTTATTGTTGTAATTATGTATACAATTAATTACAAGAGACATACCATTGAAACAATATCTTCGAGAAAAGGGATCAATTTAAGCAATTCTGAGTCACTTTTGTCGACAAACCAGCTCTCGATAGGGATTCCGTTTTCCAGCTATAATAAACAGTATACATATATTGCCTATAATTTACTTTAACCTATTAGTACAGTACTTGATATCCAAATGCTTGCGGAGAGTTGTCAATAATTATAGTTTTGGACAAATCACGGCCTAATATATTCAGATCCTTAATATAATTGCCCGAAACACAGACACAATGTTCACGAAATAGTCGAAACCTTTAATATATAATACATTTTTATATTTAATTTTATTAATCTAATGAATATAGTATTACATACTTAACAAGTTTGCGATCGGGATCTAAAAGATTAAGAAGTTTGTCGGCATAGACTTTCTTGGATGCAGTGAATAGTATTACTTCAAAAAGTTGAGAAACTCTTTCCAAGAAATCCCTAAAGTATGGTCGGGTTCGCACATATATCTTGTACTCGTTGTCCTGAAATGTGACCGGAAATGTAAAGGTCGCGTCCGACAACTCGGTCAAAGAACAGTGAACTAATGTTTCATCTAAATCTAAAACAAGAGTAAATTCGGGTGAACTTCGGGTTTTCAAAGGTAAAGCGGAACAACGGGATCTCATTTCGGGAGTCAATGGCGGTAAGGTTTTGATGAAATAGTACGGATCCATAGGTTCCCAATCGGATGTTTCTTCATTACTGTGATCTGAAGAGTAAAAGGATGAATCGTATGAAGAATTACAATATATTTGTACTCTTTTGTCACTATTTATGTCATTATTATTACTGTCATTTAAATTATGAATTAAATGATTATCGTTTATGTGGTCGGCATTGATGTAACCATTAGTTTGTTGTAACAAACAGTGAGATTCAACTTTAGATTCATTACCACACAAATTATCATTAGATTTCTTATACAACAAATTCTTAGTAAAAGTGCTGTCATTTGTATTGACATTAAATTTTCTGAGACTTGTTTTACGTGATTTGTTGGCCAACAGATGATTCTGTGTTTGGTTTGTATCAGTCATACTATGATTGTGTCCGCAAACAATTGATGGCAAAGATTTGTTCTTCACTTTATAAGTTCTTAAGGATGTCTTTCTCTTGTGTTTCAGATCTGCAGTTTCGGCAAAATTGTTGAAACATTTCTTTTTCGTTTTAATAAATTTTTTCTTCTTTTTGTGCGAAAAACGTTTATATCTTTTGTTTGAAAACTCAATTTGTTTATCATTCAGACATTTCTTGTGTTTGCTTTTAATTTTGTCTTTAATGTCAAACCTTTTGCTATCATTTATGTCATCATTGGATTGATTGGCGCAATGTCTCGACAAGTGTTGTCTCAGGTTTGTAGCCAATGGAGGCAAATGTGTGGCCATCGGGACAATGGGTGATGATCTTAGAGCTGGCATATCATAACATTAGTGGTTAGTGATGGCCATCACTTGTGGACATCAAATGGACAGTCAGTTTATATCGCAGTAAACATTGCGTCAAATGTTTTGACAACACTTTTGGCGCAAAAACAACACATTTATTGACAGTTATGTCAATCTATTTGTCACTTAATTAACAAATATTCAACACTTTTATCATTTGCTATCATTTAATAGATATTAACAACAAATCAATGTTTTTATGAGTTAACTATCGATTAGTCGATAGCTCTTTAAAAATGGTTGAATGGCTTATCACTTATGGCTATAACTCTATGGCTATAACTCTATGGCTATAACTCTATGGCTATAACTCTATGGCTATAGACTTGGCTTCAATTGAGTCGAGATATTCACTACACTATTGACTACACTATTCATCAAACCATTGACTATACAGTAGTATTGCTCACACTTCTAGTCAAACGTCAATCCATTCATTTGACTCTTTTAATACAATATAGAGGTCGACACCAATGCTATCAATTTAATGTAATGTTTGCGATAATTATTATAATTGTTATAAATTTAGAGTAAAAGTTAATTACTTAATACTTTTTGATTTAAATTAAATATCAATATATTGTAAGTTTTATTGTATTAGTATTTATTTAATTAATTTAATATACAATAATATATAACTATTTTGAAATATACTGTAAATTAGTCAATAAGTTTATTAGTAATTAAAATTAAATTTAGTTTACGATATTTTTTAAAAAATAGGATTAAAAATTCAATCCATTAATTGATAACAAAATGAAAGTAAAAATACATATTTATATAAATTATAGTAAAATCTTGAAAAGGATTTGTCAGGAATTGACTTTCAAAGATCTCAATCAAAATTTCACATAAAAGTCTTCTTATAAAATGATTAATTTTAATATAAATATCACTATTAATAATATCAGATAACAAAAAAAAATAGTTATATAAGTTTTTAGATAAAAAATTAATTCATCATAATTTAAAAATTATTAAAGATATTTGAAAAGTTATTTTGTTATACTAATTAAAATAACAATATATTTAACATATATGAAAATTAAGTCGTAATAACTTCAAAAAGTATAACTAAATTAATATATAATAATATTGTCATTTTTCACTGTATTGCCAAAGAGTAACTATTAATATTTTTAATGAAATAGTAATAATAATACATAAAATTAAAATATTAAAAGAAAGTAATAGTAAAAATGTGAAATTTAACAAAAATGTTACAAAACTTTAATATTATCTACAATTTTGCAAAATACTGTGAATTTAATTTGTTGACACAATATAATACGTTTCATAACAATATTATTCATTTTTTATTCTGACAAAACCTTTGTGAAAATTATTTTATTATCTGATTATTTTAATTTTAAATTAATTGGTATATATATATAATATTATAGTTTTTAATAGATATTGAGAATAATAAGCTATTTTAAATAAATAAATATATATATATTAAAGCTTTAAATAAAATTATAGAAATAAATTAGATTTTGCTGAATATAATTATTCTGAATATACATAAGTATTTAATATTATAGTACTTTAACATAATTGTAAGTACTATTGTTGATTTTATTTGTTATAAAAAATCAATTTCTTTAATTATTATTAGAAAATAATTATTTGTGTAAATTGTTTTTTATTAATAAATTATTAATACATTTTTGTTAGATTTTTCCCAAAGATGTCTTAATTGAAATCAATTTTTTTATTCTCTTTGATAATTGTTTTTCGGGTAATTAAATATAAGTATTGAAAAACAAAATTTTCTCATTTAATTGAAATAGTGATCCCATATAAAACTTGATTATATAATTATATTGAGTTATTTAATATGAATGTCCATGGCAACTTTGTCATATTCAAAATTTATTTAGTAATTTGTTATTTGTGAACTAGTACATTTTAAAACTAATTAAAATTTATTATAAATATTACTATAATATTTATACTATTATACTTTATACTATTCCACTTAATACGGTTAACATTTAAATAATAAAACTATTATATATTATTTTAAGAATGATATAATCTTAAAATACATTTTATAATAACAATTATGTAAAATATTTATCAACAATTTTATTATATTTGTTTTAAGTACAGTATATATTAATATGTTTTAAATCTATAAATTTTGCAATGCAAGTATATATAAATAAATGTATGATTTATTACTTTTATAACATATCTTTTAATTAAAACATGATTATTTTTAAAGATAAAATTATTTTAAAATTAACTCCATTTTATAATTTCTTTAAAATTGAATTTTTAACTATAATATATAATTAAAAAAATTATTGACAACATATGTGATTTATAACATTATTTGGATTCATGCAAAATAATGTTTATATTTAGTTAACATTAATGAATAGTAAAATTAATAATTTAAAAATTTTAAAAATATAGTAAATTTTTTTATATTGCAAACAAGTATTAAATTTTATAAAATTTTTATAAATTATTACATAATTAACCTTTTTATCTAAAACTATTAAGTATCATATTATAAATACAATATCATAACTCAATTATAAAAATAATTGGTTTATTCAATTCTATCCATATAAAATTTTTAAAAATTATTTTATTATTTTACATTATAATAACTAACATTTATTGTAAATTTATGTTTTAATATTTAATTTATGGAATATAACTTTTAAATAACTTTAATGATGTTCTTGATTTTTAAACATGAATAACAACAAAAATAAAAAGTATAATTTTAATATCAATTCACACTTTTTGACTAAATATATATCAATTTATAGTCATTATTAACATAATTTTTGATAATTCTGATATTATGGTAATTATATAATATGTGCTATAATTAAAATTAAATAAATCGATATATAATAATAAAGTATTAAAATTTATATAAGTATTAAAAGCAAATACATAAATGATTTTTAATTAGAAACACAAATAAACCAAACAGGAGTGTGCGGGATAGTCAGTGATAAATTGTCCACATTTTGCACTCTATTATGTTTATATGGATTATCGAGTTATTTATTATTTTATTGGTTTTTTATTTTGTTTCAACTAATGATTTATAACTTTTATAATATTTTCTTTTACTATATCTTTACACTTATATATTATATTAAATAAAGTATATGAGGAATATATGTTACACTGTATAATATATAAGTCATATACAAACTCACCGCAAACAGTCATTATTTTTTAGAGTAATAGTTTTGTGTAACTCTCGTATCTTAAGATTATTATTAAAATGCTAATATAGTAAATATATAGTAAAAATTTTATAATATTTTTTATGTTTTCATATAATACTTAATAATAATAAACGTAAGCATTATATATTTGCGCTAAATTTATCTAAATTTATGTAAATTAAGAAAAGCAAGTAATAGTTATAATGCTTTTTGTAGAAATTACAGACAACTTATAATATGAACTCTCTTTAATGATAAATGCCTTCAATATGTTTAATAGCGATGAAAATGCCGTTTCGCTGTTTTACATTACCTTTGAATTCACAATTCATTATAAATACGATTCAAATGGATTTGTGATGAAAATTACAAAAATAAAAAACAAAAAATGATTATTAAGTCTTATAATATATTATTAAACCAAATATAATCTCTTGTTTTCTACAATAAATTTATATTTCTATTCTATATATTTGTGTATAGTGTGTGTCTGTGTGTGTGTTTGTACTGTATGATTGTGTATATGTTATCACTATAACTGTATATCATATGATAAATCATATATTACATAGGGGTTGGTATAGCATCATTTCAATGGTAGATATAATATAAAATAGTAAGAAAATGAGTCAAAGTGTGTGTATATGTATTAAAGAGAGAGAGAGAGAGAGAGAGAGAGAGAGAGAGAGAGATAAGTAAGTAAAAATTGAAATTCAGTTTCTCATCAAAGCATTACATAAAATCCTCGACAAAAATATTTGATGCGATTTATGTGACAATTTTGGACAAAGAATTAGATTTTTTATCACAAAATTCAAAAATAAATGGAATTCAAAGACTTTATAGCTATTTATACTTATATTACAATTGCTTATAAAATAAAGTTTATTGACTTTTAAAAATTGTAATCGATTTGAAAATATTGATAAACACTCAGTCAATCTATAATATACTGTACTTAAGTCAATAATTTTATTTATAATATAATATTGTATACAATAAAAACAGTATTAATTAAATTACTGAATTTATTCCAAAATAATTTTTATGAAAATTGTTTAATTATTTATTACTATTAGTTATTAATTAATACAACTTTGTAAATATACATTGTATACGTGTAGTATACCGGTATATATATATATAAACCTTTATATACTATATATTAAGTATTGATAAACAAATGTATTACTGTTTTCTCTGTAATAAATTTTTATAATATTTGTAAAAATTAGTTACGAAATGTAGTTTAATTATAGCATTAAGCAAAATTAACTAGAAATTAAATGTAACTAACTTTCTATAAAATATTTTTGATAAAAATTTGAAGTTATCTATTGTGAAAACATTATGGTTTGTATATAGTGAATGTATTCGCAATATATTTAATTTTCAAATAAATATTAATATGCTTTAAATGGGTTCACCAGATAATGAACGCTTAATTAGACGCTATTATGTGAATCAATAATATTGATATAATATGCAAATTAAGGCAATGGTTTTAAATGTTATTAACTGTGTAACTATATTTGCTGATCAACCAAATGATCCAATGGCACGCATTGTATTATTAAATATTATATATTATACCAGATATACAGTATACTGTATATACAGTATAATTAGTATATACTGTACAGTATAACTATAAATATAATACATACAATAAAAGTATGACTTAATAGTGCAACAAACAATATTACTGTATTATAGTTACATACAGTATATACAATATACGGTAATAATAATTTAATATACTGTATTAGCTTTAGTTAGCAGAATATTAACATTACTGATATAACTTATAGAGCATCTTATATCTCTCACACATTAAATTAACATCAAATATATATTAATAACAATTTAATTTTTTGTTGTTGATAAACACTCAATACAATTACTTAATTTACATACACTTAAACAAAGATTATTGATATACAATTTGTTTGTAATCATTTAAAGCAAAATACTTTTATAAAATTTTTATTAAAAAATTTGTAAAATAGAAATAGATTTTAAGAAATGTTTTGTTATCATTGTTTTTATTTATTTACTGTAATCATACGTTACATTTCATATAAGTTAAATTATAAGGTACAAGTTTTATCGGTGTAATTAGTTTAATAGTAAACAACTATAATAACAATAACCATATCATTAATATATTATAATTAAAAGATATATTATCC